AAGTTCAAGTCGTAGAAAGAAACGGGAAATGGCGTCTTGACAAGCGAAAAAAGCTCTACCAAATATGTGAAAATCGTTTTTCGGTTCATATGACCTTGAAACAAGTTTGCGATAAAGTTTCCTAGACTACTACACCTATGCGGTAGCAAATAATGATTCCTTTGCACTTACTGCTTAGGCTTAGTCCTGGTTTTGGTACATTGCTTTCTTCATCTCCACCGTCCATTCTCCTGCATGCCAGGTGGAACGGTGAACTAACAAAAGTCACCTACAACAACATGTTGATGGTCACCTCGTAACCATAGTATTTACTATGCTCTTAATTTACACCTGATGTGAATTTCAGAATACTTTGACAATTTACACTGCATGTAAATTCTAAGTACGAGGATATCAAATCTTTATCTTCCAAAACAATACTTATTGAAAATACCCCTCGTTGAACTTGTCAGAATGCAAGAAAGGAATGTTGGTATTTCTCTCAAAATATTTACTGCGGCATACCCTAAATGGAATATATAAACTGTATGTTCGACCACATCTCGATTATGGTAACTTCATGTATCACACACCGAGCAAAATTTGCGAATTCAGCCATCGCGTCACCCTAACCAATGAAATGGAAAAACTTGAATCTACCCAGTATTCTGCTGCACTAGCAGTGACAGGTGCTTGGAAAGGTACTTCTCGTGAGAAGCTGTATGATAAGCTTGGGTGGGAATCGTTAAACCTCCGAAGATGGAGTAGACGTCTCATCTTCTTCTATAAATAGTTAACAACCTAAAACCAGACTAAAAATGAGACATCAAATTCCCAATCTTTAAGAATCCAATTATGATCTTGACAGACGCAATTACGATTGGGCCAATGAGTGCAAGAACAAACAGTTTTTGATTAAGCTTCTATCCCAACTGCTTGTTGGAATGGGAAAGGCTCCATCCTGAGATTAGGCAATCGACCTCGGTAAATGTTTTCAAGAAAAAATTGTTTTTCATTATCCATCCACCTCCTAAACCAGTCTACAATATTCATGACCCAAATGGCCTATCCATCTTAAAGGCTGTCTGCTGTCCCCTTATATGCTCAACTTTATTTTCACGGGAGTGAAATTCACGCACCATTGAATTTGATCGATAATCAAACGATTTAAACCAATCAGAAACAACTTTGATTCCAGAACTTTTGAATCAAATGCCTGTGTTCCCGTTGAAGTGAAGCTGTGACTAGAAAAATATGGCTCCCTGTTTGGTTTCTGCGACAAATATGTCAACAGCGAAAGGAAATGCTTCCATTATCATCATTCAATTCCAGTAATTAAATCTTCTTGCCATTCCCGATTGTATTTTGCTCGCAGTTTCAAAAGTCGTCCATTACCGCAGCTAGGCCAGCCAAAACAAGTATCGTATCGTGATCCGTTATCCGTTAAGGCGGGAAGACCTATTGTTCATATTAGCCAATCATTGAGGGGACAGACTGCCCTAAACGCAGCTACGTGTTGGACTCAGTAAGCTAAATTTCCACAAACTTAAGCACAATCTTAATGACACTTTGAACCCTTTGTGCCCAATAATTGACGGTGTTGGGGACACGGAGCCCTATTTCCTGCTCTGCCATAATTATAACGTAGATAGATGTGATCTCCTCAACAGTTTAAATGCGATATTATTGCCTCGTGGTCTGATAAATCTTTCAAATGAAGATCTGCTAAAAATCATCCTTTATGGCCATGAAGAATTACCACTCGAATCAAATTCGAAAATTCTCGCTGCAATGCTTAAATATATCTAGGCCTCTAAAAGTTTTGAATAAATTGGTAATACAAACAACATATTTCCTCTCTCCTCTCCTTTTTCTAGAACTACTTTCTATTTATTCTTTTCGTTCATTTTCCATCTTTGAATTATAGTTAATTTAGGTTTTTATATTGAATGGAAATGGCCACAGAGCTGCTATGTATTCCCATGCTCCCTGTGGTAAGGTCTAGTAAATTTGTGTATCTTTGTAAAAATTTTATGTGAATTTAAAAAAAGGATTTAATACGTACTAATTTTGCAATCAACCTCATTTAGATTATGTTTTCTAAGAGGTATTGCTTCGTTCTATTTTTGAATAATATTTTGTTGCTGGTTTTTTTCAAGTCTAATGGCAGTGAATGCGAAAGTTTAATACCATCGAATTCAGAAAATTTATCTTACAATTGGTAATGTTTTTTGTAGGGGAAACCAAGACTAGAGGATTGACTTTTATTGTATGGATGAGTGTTTTTTGCTTTTATAAGTTCTTGTCCTAGATTCGCGTAATTATTGTCTTTCTTTATTTGAAACATAAATTTTGCTATATCAAGTTTGTATAATTTGTCAAAGTTTAAGATTAAAATGATTTTTGAAACCCTATTCTGAGCAGAAAAGCTGCATTGACATAGGTTTAATAGATAAGTTTCAAAATAAAATTCCATACTGAACAAATGGTGAAAATGAAGATTTATAGAGACCAATCAAACCGTTAATTAGTAGAAAGTGCCCCAGTTTAGAGTAAGTACCATAGGTTTTAGGAAGTATTTTTAAAAATTCTATCAAGTGATAATTCTGGGAGATACTTTATTAACATATTATCATGATTCACTGTATCAAATGCTAATGCTAATCAATAAAGATTCCACGGCTACATATTTTGTCTGATGGGTTTTCTGACGACCTTTGCGCACTTGAACTAGGCAAAAATGGGCACCTCAGTTAGCCCCTTTAATACTCAAGACATGGTTAAGTTACTGGTTACATTCAACGACTTTCTTAAAAACGTTTGCTTGTTCCATTTCAACCTTTTGAACTGGTCACATGAAATTGAACAAACTTTAGATCAGACAACAAAATTTTCAAAGTAAAGATATATAAACTAATACCCAAATACAGGAAGTCGGTTGAAAAAAACCACTGGAGCCTAGAGTTGTGCCTAAACTCCTCCATTCCGTAATACTTTTTCTCAATTTCTCAAACTCTTTTCATATCATATTTGTTTATGTGCAGATGTTTCTTAACGAAAGTATAAATTCTAGTCTATTCTGAAAGAAAAGTAGCAAGACCAGTTGCCAATCGTTTAGACTTCTACGATCGAGAATAGTTCTGGGAGAATCGTCAGATCAGAACAGAGGGGTCGAGGTCGTGTCTTTCTAAAGTGAAAAGACTTAACCAGATCAAGGCATTTTATGGAATTTAATGGGTATAATAAGTTGTTTTGACATCTGAATTCCAGAGAGGGCCAAAAAGCTAATTTACAGTAGTCTTGTGTTCAAGCTTACAGAAACAGTCATAATAGAGTTTTTGTATAATAGACTCTCTCCCAAAAATTTCCGACATGTCCAACAATGTTTTAAACAGACTGTCACCATAGCAACAGAATGCAGAGATCGAAGAAAAGATTGCGACCGGCGTTGACGTTTCAAGACAGAATACTCGATTATATTACCTTACATCGTTGTGTATACGTTTATTCATTTATATGTTCCCTTCTTTCTCAAGATGTTCATGCCAGTGGCGGAAATTCAGGCTTTCATTTGGGGGGGGGGGCCTGGCCTACAATTTTCCGACAAGATAACATCTTGGATCATGTCTCATTTTAAAGAAACTGCACATTTGATAAAAATAAGTGATTTTTGACGGGGCCCTTTAGAAATTTTTCCTGACCACACAATAATTAAGTAGCAAAAAAACAATCCATTAAAGATTTTTGATATCAAGATCGATATCTCATCTAAGACAATTGATGATACAAGAGGTCGACCGATTACACTTTTGATAAGTCGTATGTTCATTTCATGCATTTAATCTTGCTTTCGTCAGTGGGAAATACGTTTGAAAATAACTTTTATTCGAAAGAATCCGATGGAAATATTGGCTAATATTTACAGAATTGAAATTAAATATACAATTCACAAGCAGTTTTTTTTATTTTGGTCATATATTATTTGATTGATTATTTAGTACTGGCTAATACTTTATCACCTATGCTATGTTCAAATTTTGCAAAAAGGGCACAGAGAGGTTAAAGAGGCTCCTGGGGTAAAAAGGGAAAATGTAGATCAGCTGCGAGCGAAGCGAGCAGAAAATTTGGTAATTACGCCCCTAAGATTAGCTTAAAATTCCTTTTCAGAACAATTTCTTGGAGTAATTTCGACCCGTTAAAAGGTTGCCAATTATCCGACAAAAGCCCGAATTTTCCGACGACATCGCTGATTGGGGAGGCTCGAGCCCCCCAAACCCCCATAATTTCCGCCACTGAAGTTCTTGCTATATTCTCTCTTCTATCATCATTCCTCCAATAGTTTTTTTTAATCTGACTTTGTAGAAGGCAGTGTTGAATCAGTAATATTTTAATCAATTTTCTTGTTTAGGTTCAAGCTTTTGTGTTGCCCTAGGAAAATTTCATGCCAAGGCCTCCTGATCAATTCCTTTCTCAAATAAACGTTTTTTGGTCCGATGTCATTACGCGATTGACAGTGGAAGAAGATTTTTTCGCTCCGGGTTTGAATTTTCCACGTTACTCTGTTGCTTGTATCGATAGCTTCCTTAGTACTGTTGACTCTGCTCATAGTCACTTCAATTAAAGTCAAATTACCATTAGCGGTAACATAGGACTTAGACTCAAATACGTAAAACTATTCAATTAGGTTCCGTTTACAGTCATGCACCCTTTTCAGACAAGTTTTCAAGCAACATTTTGTAGGACTATAACCGGGCTCAAATTATTCTCTAAATCTTATTTTTTTGCTGAAAAATTTTAACAATTTGCTAAAATTATGATTTCGGATGAACAAGTGTTGGCAAGACGTGTTGAATTGCCATCTGCGAGTGTTGGCAAGACGTGTTCAAGCGATACAGTTGGAAAAATTATTCTATTTCTAAACTGGTTTGAATTGATACTCCTGCCTCTATATACTGTACATTTCGATTGAACAGAGTGTCAAAAGGTTAAGCGTACATTGTGACCACAAAGTGAATAAAAGAAAGAAGGAGCGGCTGCATTTGATCTTGTTCGCCTCTGATTTGAGGAAAGGCATTCCTACCAAGCGACATAGGAATTGGACAAGCATTTTAGCAAAGGTGAATTATGAAGGCTTCTGGAGTATTAGTTGGATTGCTTCTTGTATCAAGCCTTCAAGGCTTAGTTCAGAGTAAAGGAACGATGAAGAATCTAAAGGAAGTATTCATAGGTCGCTGTCATGAGTTCTATCAAATTTCACAGCCTCAAATACTTCCAAAAAATTGTTCGCTTTTGTGGAGCAAGTTTCACGAGGCATTTCGTAATAAAAGTGCATGCCAAGTAAAGCCAAGTGACTACAAAGAGTATTGTGAATACGCTGATGATTCAAGAAAAATAAATCAGGTTGGTGCAGTAGACTTTAAGACATTAAAAACAGGCAAACGGGCAACAGAAAGTTTCACAGTAACTTTGAAGGTTGATTTTCTGATTCCATCAGGCAGGTGTTGTTCCCCTGCGCAACTATTCGTAGCCCTTCTAGAAGTTATATCTACCTAGTTGAGAATACCATGGAATATTGTCATTTGTTTACCTTATAAAGGTCAACTGATGTTTCTAAAGTATAACCCTAAAAATCCTTGAAATTTGAATAGTTTTAAAGGTTTTTGTAAAGCCTGGTTTCCATATAGCCGTAAGGCTGCCTGCAGATGCCTGCGACAGCTCTCTGCCATCTTCCATCTTCCATCCCTACGGTATCGCCGGCACATAATTCTTTATGGAAACGCTTTTTAACGGTACCGCAGGCAGCTGTTTGAAGTGCCGTAAGACTGCTGGGAGAGCCGGGAGAAAGTTGAAAGCCTGGTTTCCATATAGCCGTAAGGCTCCCTGCGATTGCCTGCGATTGCCTTACGGCAAGACGAAAGACGAGGACGACGCAATGTTTTTTGGAAAGATGTGACAACGAAAAACAATAACAATTTCCAAAGGCCCTATTTCAATTGGTTCTTGCACATCACATGATTCGTTTGAACAATAGAATGCCGCAGGCAAGGCGTTTCCATTTGTAATTTGTCTGCCGGCGGTACCGGGAGGCTGCCGTAAGAGCCGGGAAAAGTTGAACTCGTTCAGCCTGGTTTCCATATAGCCATAAGGTTGCCTGCGACTGCTTTCTGCCATCTTCCATCCCTACGGTATCGCCGGCAGATAATGTTTTATGGAAACGCTTTCTCACGGTACCGCAGGCAGCTGTTTGAAGTGCCGTAAGACTGCCGGGAGAGCCGGGAGAACGTTGAACGAGTTCAACATAATTCAACGGGAGAACAATTCAAGGGTGAGAACAAGACGTAATTCAACTATCAGCTCCTTGCTGGGCCCAAATTTCTGTTTACATGAAAGGAGAGAAACTTTAGATATGTATAAAACCTGGAAAGTTTAATGCTCACAAAGCTGACACTCTATCTCTAGAAGTCTATAAACTGTCAATAAATAGATTTTGAAATTTTTCCTTTTTTGTAAATGAAAGCCTCGCTGTTAAATCTATCTTTTGATCGTAGAGCCTTTTCTGGGAAGCAACGAAAGATACAGTGGATCTTATAACTCAAGTTTATCCAAATTTTGTGTCTCTTGGAAGAACAATTCAAGGGTAATTGATCTTTGGGAACTGGTACTTCCGACTCTTGAAACGTATTTATCCTAAAATAATCATAAAATCCTCCTATATTTAATTTCTAAGAGCATGTTTTATGCTCTTAAATATGTCTAAGATCAAACTGTGCAATTAGAAAAATTTTGTAATTATACTAGAAACACTTTCTATCAAATAGCAAGCATTTCTGCGTGCCAGCTTAGTGATTCCAGCCTGAGAAAAGGCGTTTTGTCAAATCGCTTTAACTACGGAAAAGACAATTTAACAAATATTTCTGTGGATTCAATATTCAAATTAACTGATGAATTTTTTTGGCAAATGTTAAGTTATTCCCAGGACATTGATGCCCATTATTGCATACTGACTTATATTTTTATGAATAAATCAGTCTGCTGGTGCTTTTCTAAAAGTCAAAAAGAAAAATAATTTAGAAAATATAGAAACATAGAAAATGCTTATTTAATTGCACAAAAAACCCACAAGAGCCATCCCACAAGAAGGGACAAAGCTTGTCATACATGTGGCTTAGTCGGCATGAAGGTTACTTTAATCACGAAGGGAAGGGACATTAAGTGGATATATCAAATTTGCAGATTGTTTGGTTAAGCTTTTTCACCACAAATTCTTTTGCAGGCTTGCTTTACAAGAAGCTCCTAGATTTCATTACAAACTGCCAAACGCTTCTTCGTTCTTTCTTGTTGGATCTAATAGGCCCAAAAATAAGCAACTTTAAAGCAATACTTGTTTTTTAATAAGTATTACAATTTTCAAATCTAACCTACGCTCTTTTTTTTATAAGAAGAATCTTATAACAACATGAGGCTCAAAATTTGTCAAAAATTAAGAACAAATTAAGAACAAGATGAGGTTGAGCTACTGTAAAATGCAATTTTAAACAGCGTTTTTTCTCAAAAACGAGGATTTTTAGCCATGTGTTGGTGCTTTTTCGGTGAATATTCGAACTTATCGGCAAATGAAGGCTGTGTCTCACTTACTTTATTGCAAACAATCTTTTGGTGGTACAAAACTTGTAAATGGCTTTGAAAAAAGCAAACATTTAGTAAACTAAAGCTTTTCGTCTGACACTCTTCAGAGTTTAAAACGTCAGAACATAGATCAAAAACTCTACGCTAAGAAATATATATACCCAGTTGTGGATCGAAATAGGCCAATCAGAAACACGAGCACATGACTGTAAAGGTTGACCAATCAGTGCCGCTTGCCTATTAGAATGTTACCAATGGAGTACAAAAAAGGCCCTTCCGTCCATTCAAAAGGACTGCGCTCCTGCCACAAAAAAAGTTCTGTTATTTATGAATTTACGTGCCAGTGTGATTCTGGCTACGTAGGACGCACCACCCAAAGATTGGAGGATAGGATAAAACAACACGTTCCATCTAATATTAGAAACAAAACACATCCCCAAAGAGAACAGCCACCTCGGTCTTGCAAATCCAAAATTAACAATAAAACCTGCGATTCTGCTATCGGGCAGCATTTGCTAGAAAACCCAGATTGTACAAAAAACTATAATGGCGACATGTTTCGGATTATTGGTAAAGCCCGATCGTCGTTCCACCTAGCAGTTTTAGAATCTATCTACATAAGCACGAAAAAACCGCTACTGTGTAGACAAAAGGAGTTCGTTTTCACCCTAGGACTCCAATGGCCTATTTCGATCCACAACTGGGTATATATATTTCTTAGCGTAGAGTTTTCGATCTATGTTCTGACGTTTTAAACCCTGAAGAGTGTCAGACGAAAAGCTTTAGTTTACTAAATGTTTGCTTTTTTCAAAGCCATTTACTTTATTGGCAAATGGGGCCTGAGCGAAAAAGCTAGCAATCGCACTGCTAGCAACCTATTACGGTAGAAAAATAAACTGTGTTAGGTGCCAATATCTTTCACGGTGTTTCAAATCATCACTATAAGAAATAAATAATTTTACGTGATTTAGTATCTAGGTAATTACAAGAGGTGTTCGGTTATTTGGCAGCTTTCATCGAATATCATTAAATACCATTGTCAGAGTATTTCCAGTGGTTTCTTAGGCCCCGTTTAAACGGGAACGGATCCGCATAGATCCGTACCCAAACTAGCTACGGTAGGCCTTGCGTTTACACGGGCACGATAGGATCCGTCGCATCTTTTCTAGGAGAGATCCGTACCATTTTGGGTACGATTCGAACGCGAATTCATTTGGATCCGTACCTTCGACGGCGCCGTGTAAACGGGAAGATAAGGATCTGCAACAAAAATATGGAAGCGCCGAAGGCGTACCTTTCTAACTCACAGGTACGCTGTGAGGCAAATTTGTTCTTCCGCCATTTTGAATAGTGGCAAAAAGGAACTTGCTCCATACTGAGCCCTTATAAATTTGGTAAAAGTAAGGATTAATTTCGTTCACTTTTCCTTTGAATATCGATGTGAAATTTGATGAGTAGCCTTATATTGCCCTTAAATTTATGAATTCATGTTAATATTGGAAAAATAAGCCGTCATTCGCAAATTCCAAGCATTTACAGTCGTGGTGCATGCTGTCACGTTGAAATTCCAGAAAAAAATGATTGATCTGTTTTAAAACGGATCCAGCAACAATATTTAGCCACTCAATGCATAATTTTCTTAACACGTTTGTACAAAGATTTGATTTAGTTACTTTTTCTTTCTTTGTTTACAGAAACTGCCATGAAATATCTAGGCCTAACTCTTGAAAAATCCCAAAATAGGTCATAATTCAATGCTTGGTTATTAATAACAGAGTTTTAATAAAGTAACCAACTTTTTATTTTACAAATCATTGGTATTTTTAGAATATTTCAAAACCACACTCGTTGCTTGTAATTATTCTTCAGCACAATGCATCCTTCCCCGCATCTTTAGGCCTATAAAATACCTTGGGGGTACATTTTCACGACGAAGATCACTAATTTGGCCTTACCAAGAGAAAAGAAATTTGATTCATATCAAATTTCTTTTCAACAAATTCAATTTGACAAACTAAATATAAAACATTCGCATTTTCCTACTTACGCCATATTAGGTTCTAAACGACAGACAGAAAAATTCAAGAATTATATATTTGAAATGGTCTATATTATTAGAAAATAGACTCAGAAAGTTCTTTTTAATTTATATGAAGATAAAAATTGTAAGCACATATCTTTTCAACTCATAAAAACATGAAAGGCCACTGCTATATTCCTCCCGTAACTGCGTAAACTAAAAGAGCCATATTTTTTAAAATTATATTTAAAAACCCCAAAAAATTGTTATGTGTTGTTGATTTATATCTCCTCTGACTACCTGCACCAGAAAGTGCACTGAAATAGTTGTGAGCCACGAGAAAATAATTCATTAAAACAAGCAATTTTCCATACTGAACCCTATTGCAGCTCGCTTTTTGCCACTATTCAAAATGACGGAAGTAAACAAATTTGCCTCACTCGGAAATACGCAGCATGACCCGAGTTAGACATCTAGCGCCTTCGGTGCTCCTATATCATTGATCCGCAAAGGCACGGCAGTAGAACGAGAATGGAGGCTATTTCAATTGTACGCAGCACTCATCATACAACAAAGAAACTACTCTCCCACCCCCACTCTTTTTTCCACAGTCGAACCCTGTCTTCATTTTCTTTTCTTTTCACCTTTTCTTTTGTAATTTGTTCTTTATCCTGGCTATTTGGAAAGTCCTCTGTTGATGTTTCTGGATAGGCCTTGATAAATTTAAGTAGAGCGTCTTCGTATTTCGATATAACAGTCCCCCAGTCTTCTCCATTTGCATTTTAGCAGCATTGTAATCCATAACTACTTTCATTAACAAAGCTGTCTCCTCGTCTGTCAATGTAAAAATGAAAAGCTTATCGTTGTTTGCAAATGAAGCCATCTTACTGTAGGTGTTCTCCCGCAAAAATGAAAATGAACATTTACCTTGTCATTGCGCATGCTTAAAAAAGCGATTCGATTTTGATCCGTTCCCGTGTAAACGCTTTATAGTTTAGGATCCGATATCGTGTAAACGCTTGTGGATCGTAGCCATGTTGTACCTAAAAGGTTCGGATCTTTTGGATCCGTTCCTTTTTCTCTCGTGTAAACGGGGCCTTAATTACTCAATTCAAGAATGTATACTATTTTAAGAACCAGTAAAATCAAGTTCAGGCTGATTGTTTTTAATTTTTTCGAAAATGGTTTTTTCTTTATTTGTTCTTGAATTTACAGGGTGTAAGCAGTGCGATTGCTAGCTTTTCGCTCTAGGGAAGTGTTCAGTGCTCATTTGCCAACAAAGTGAGCGAGACAACCTTAATTCGCCGACAAGTTTGAATACTCACCTAAAAAGCACCCACACATGGCTAAAAACCCTCGTTTTTTGAGATAAAAATTGTTCAATAGTGCATTTTACAGTAAATCAGCCTCGACTTGTTCTTAATTTGTTCTTAACTTTTGACCAATTTGAGACATATGTTTTTATTAAGTTTTTCTTACAAAAAATAGTGTATCCAATAGTGTATTGACTGGGATTAGTTGGGCAATGAGAAAATACGATAATGCTTTTTCTAATAACCAATTTCTAAAGTAGATTATTAGAAAAGGCATTATCGTAAAACATCAGCCGAAAATATTTCGATTATCAAAAGCCCGTAGTACATCACGCGACATAGATACAGCAATCAAAATATTCCCATGTTCTCTTGGACACACACGTTTTTCGTTGTCTCCTTATTGGCATATCAAAAGCAGATTTCTTCTCTAGGTATATTGCAAATAGACTTCTTTGGTGCGGTGGCTCAGGACCAGATGGGATAAACTACACACATTGTCCTGGTGATAACGAATGTGGCTTTGAAGTTTACTATCCATACTGGGCATATGCTTCACAACAAGTGAGGATTTCTACTTAAAATTATGGATAAAAAAGTTTGTGTGATTCAAGATTCAATGTTGTACTTGTATTGATAATGTTGTATTTAGCTGGTCTTGAAGGAGAATTGTGACACAATATGCTTCATCAAAAGTGATAATATAAGAAAATAATACAAAAATGCTAATTAAATTCCTTTGCATAAAAGGCATAGCTATGCCTCTGAAGAAAATTATTGCACCGCAAAAGTTAAAAACAGACAGAGTTATTTACCAGTGGCAGTGTGAGGAAAATAGATATTTACTCTTTGAACTGGAGTGATTTGCCCGCTTCTAATTGACTACATAAATTCAGAGTTACACAATCTATGTTGCCTATTATTATAAATGATTTCTACGAAAAAAGGGAAACTTCTTAAAAAATATATGCTTTTTTCTATTTAAAATCTTTTGTTATCTTCTCTGCTAAACTTGTTTTTTCATTTGCAGTTGGCAAAGAAAGCTACTGGTGTTGTTCACGTTTTGTTGAATGGCTCTAGAGAAGATGGAGTGCCGACATACAGCAGAGACAGGTAAGGTCATACTAGATGCTAGATATTCAAGCAATCGGTGCAAAATTTCAAAAATGGCTTTAAAAAAGCAAAACCTTTGGAGCATTCTAAACAGAGGGACGGGGGAGGGAATAGAGCCCTCCAAAAAATCGACTAAAACGATTCTTTTGAAATTATCGTCATTTTCTTTTGGAATCCCTGGTAGCTGGATTAGAACCAAACTAAGTGTTGCTATGTTATTGCAACATACCTCAGTCACTATGTAATGGTGTCAAGCGCAAGCTCACAATTGTAGATGGCTGTTATTTATGTTTGCAGAGTGGTGTCAAGTTGGTGACGATGCCCATGGGGGGGATTAGAATATCTTATCCACCGGTCACCCCTTGAATGAATCTAAAAAACATGCAAGAAAAGAATCGTTTAAGTCGCCATAAATCTTGACAAACCCGCATAACACATATTTCCATTACACGCCTTTTTATAAAAATCCTAACTCTGAACTTAGATCATGATGTCCCTAATTTCTGAACCTCTATCAGTCGAATTGCGGTCCCAAGACCTCCATAATTGCTCCTTAATTTTAACTGCACATTTAGTGACATGATAATAGCATAGACACACAAAAAGAAATTCTGAGTTTTGCTTTTAAATGTAGCTAGGAACAAGGACAAAAGACAAAAATGGAAAGAAGTAAAATTAATTTGCGAAAAAGTACCACGTCAATAAATAAATACTTTTCCATTTAATATAGAGTAGAGCAATGACTACACTCTTTGTTATTAGAATGCAATAAATTTTGCCCAGCCTCGATTTTTAAAAAGTTTTTTGTTTTGAGCCCGAAGACGGATGTTTTTTTCAAATCTGATAAGGTTTCAGGGAAAAGAATCGCTTGCTCTCGAATAGAAAACGCCTTTTCTTTTACCCCCAACGTCTGTCACCAGAGTTCAAGCATTTCCCCAACATCTGTCACTAGACTCTTCCCCTTGCCAATTTCTCCCAGAAACAATAATCTGTGTTCTTCTGAGAAACGTCTATTTGTCTATCCTGAACGGTATAGTATTTTGTTAAACTTGGCCTGGGAGATGCTTTTTTAGCTATTTAGAAGGTATGATTTAAAAAATTTCCTTCCGCGTCGGCCCCAACCCTTGGGTCATCCTACTACACTAAACATGATTCTCAGCCCCCCATGTTCAATTTCTACAAGCTGTCTCTGAAAAATGTTATCAACTCAACTATAAAAAAGTCAACTTGCTATGAATATATCTGTAAATACCTTCTATAGAGCTGAAAAAACTTTACTAAATTTAAAAATCTATTTTTTGTTTATTAAGTCTTTGCCCTCACACTGTTTCTATACACACATACCATAAATTGGTTTGTGGTGCCATGACCCACTGCACATTGATATTCATTCGCCTTGTTGACCCCTCTAATTGACATGACAGATTTACCGCTCTGATTCTAAAACTTTTCGTCTGACATGATTCAGAGAAAAAAACTTTAAGATCACAATGTTCGCAAAAAAGAAACTAAGAGTATATCATGTTTTATGAAAGAAAACTAGTTGGATACATTTATCAAATAGTTTCCCAGGCCCTACGGTGCTTTCCCCCAGAGATGCTCTCCAAAACGTGAAAGCCTCCTCCCTAATCCTTAACATACTCTGCGGATTTTGCTTGCCCCACAGCCATTAAAAAACTTCACCAACACTCCATGCTTTCTGTAAATGAAGCAATAGCTCTACTAAAGGACCTTCTAAATTTTATTTCCCGGAGTATGACTGTTTGTAAGCAAAGAAAGGGAAGTGCATGAGAGCTGTTTGCGCAAACTTTCAAAGAGAAATAGCCTTTATAACATATAATCAAACCCCTAAATCGACCCAGTTTGCCTACAAATTGTAAACAGTAGCTTTTCTCGTATTCGCAACACCCCTGTGAAATAAGCCAGATGAAAACCGTCCTTGATGTGAAATTTCCCGATCAGAGAGCCCTTTTTATAAAAAATCAAATGACCCGGCCATTTTTCCATTTCCAGATGTCTCCTGGCAGCTGCGATTTTTTGTCACCTGTCAATTTTAAGTTCCCCCTTTGGCACGACATCCAATTACATTCTTGTCCAAGAGACGAAAATTGCTGCTATTGTCATATTAAGCTACTATCCTCCCTGAAGAAAAGAGCTCGCAGGAACTATTACACAGGGGTGTTTCGGATATGAATTGGATAAACTATAATTTTTAGATTTTTAATGCAGAAAAACCACCTCTCCCTTGTCAAAACCATTTGTGTTCAGTCATTTAAATAAGTCACACATTATAACAAGTTGCCCAATAGCTTTAGGGGCAAACCTTGAACTGCTCAAGAATAAAGTATCCTTCATACACTTTACCTTCCAAGTTTTTTTGGATTAGTTGGCTTGAAAATACTATCAATCTTTATAATTATTTGGTGCTTTCAACCCAAAAGCTTTATTTAAGTCTTCTGTTTTACTTTTCATGTGCGTTGTAGCTTCGTGGTTAGAAAGAACACTCACGTATATTGGCTTGAAAATACGATCAGTCCGAGACCAAAATTTTCTTTCTACAAAGCTTTTTGACTTTACAGAAGCAGTTTTCAAAATTACTTTTTTGAATAATATTTGAGGCTTATAATTGTCAATTTAAATTTTAAAAATTACTTCGCAATTAACTTTCGATCTGGGATTGAATACCTTGTAGCTACTTTGCAAAACTGGAACTCCCAAATATGGACAATAAAGCTGTTACTGAGGTGCGTGCATGGGTTATATACGATCTACATAAAAAGCAAAAGTAAGTGCATAGTTTGAGGCGACTCTTACTTAAAGATGCGATTATTCAGTAGTGTAACGATTTGGGCAGCTAATAACTTTTCGAATTCTAATCTTTTCACCATCTCATGTTCGAAACTATTTAATTGTGGATATATGCATACTTTATAATTATCTTTTATATCTTTGATGCCACAACCTTGATATTATACATAAGCAGATTTTTCTAAAACACAAGTTATCCGTTAGTTATATATTATCGTCTTTACAGGGTCCACAAAAGTCTTTACTCACTAAATGAGTTTTACGTCAATTTATATGTTTAGGCTATCGCTACTACAACAGTAGCTGGGGAACTGTTTAGAATTTTCTAAAAATTTTACTGAAGCAATAGGCCTTTACCAAAAAATTTTTCTATTTTTTCGCCCACGGTTATGATAAAAACGACCTGTTGGGTTCCCTTAAACTTAGATATCATATCTAGATATTTAACCTTGAGATTTTTGTCGTTAAAGTGAAAAGGACGTAAGTTGATTTGTATGAACCTTTTTCTCCTTAGCTGAATTGTTATAATCTAAAGACTTTATAATGCAATGTACCATTTTTACACTTTTAAGTACCCCTCTATTAGAAAGGAAAAAACGCTTTTTACATTTTACAGTGTCTCCTCGTCTTAAACATCTTTTCATCTATAATACTTAAAAGCAAATACATCAAAGATTATAATAAATTTTATGCTTTCACTACAGGGAGAAGTGTGGTGAAAAGTCACTGGTTCACTTCGCAGAAGACGCTGAGAAGTTTGGATTGAACTTTACTTGTACAGACAACCCTCTGTAAGTTATTCACACTTGAACCTCTTACTATTCGTGAATGATATTTCGCCTCGTAAGTAGTTCGCCTTAACAAGCAGTAGCAACGTTTACGCCTCAACCGAAATCGATGTATTAACAGGTTATATTTAACGAAATCTACAAAAATATTCCACACCCATTCTGGGGGGGGGGGGGCTAACAATGAAACACCATTTTGTAAAAAAGGGATATGCAAAAGGGTTACTTTTAAGATAAGAAGGTACACATTTCACAAAAAGGGAGCAAAGTATTTGTTGCTGTAAAAGATTTATCTTTTTTAGGGGGGAGGAAGAGGAAAAATTGATATCGAACAGAAAGAAAAGCAAATATGTACATGTCATAGCCTCTCCATTCTGCATTCTTTTTAATTGCTCAACCAGTACAGCTTACCACATTCAAACCATTTCTACATGGAACAGAAATGATAGCAAATCTGTGTTTATGTTGTAAATTTTTTTTTATATTGTAGGTTCTTGCGGCCGCTGATGTGCTTCAAGTACCAAACTGCAAAAGCTTGTAAGGTCTTCAATTCCTTGCCTTCCGCGGGAGTTGATATCTCCATTGCATGGTATGTAAGATTCGCTTTGTGCTTTGTAAACACACTTGATTTTCTATTTTGTTTCACACTGTGTACCCACATTTGTTATCAGAATACCTAATTTTTGCTCATCCTCAATATTCTTGAATTTTTAAGATTTGAGCCTAAGATCCTAAATTATTCTTAAGCTATACAAAGCGTATCTGGACTGCATTTTAGTGTAGATGAACCCAAAGGCAAACACCAGTAGTTCAAAACATAAAGTGTAAAACTTGCATTTGAATTGCTTTTCAAAAAGACTCAAATGAGCGAAAAAATTAAATTCTTGATAAACCTTGAGCCTTGCATTAATCGTAAATCATTCTTACATTACAACGATTTTGAGCCTTAATTTTCTTTTAGACTTATTAACATATAAAAAAGTATATAGTCCTCTGAAATTTATTTAACTTCTATACTAAATGTCATTCGTAAAATGATGCTTGGACAGAATAGCGACCCTTTTGCTATTTTGAATAAACTTTTTTTATTGTCTATAATCACTTATTTTTGTCTATATTATCTTTACTTATTATTGTCTTTAATGTCTATGTTTTTATATTGTTTATTGCTATTTTTATTGACTAAACTTTTGCTATTTTGAATGCTATTTTTGAATAATATTTTTAACATATCTTCAAGGAATATAAATACATATCTCAATAATTTAATGCTACTCTGCACTTGAAGCACTGATCTAAAAAGTTATAGATATCAGTTACAAATGATCTGAGATATGAACTTCAGCTGGTCTGCGTTCAACATTGAAAAGTATTTGAAAGAGACTGTCAATGCTAGCTCTTTTAGATCAGAGAGTTGCAACCGACTAAAATATTTCAAAATTATCCCGATAAATGAGGTGTATCAGAATCTAATGCATTCCCTACGAATAATATTTGTAGTGGACACATATTTGCCAGCTCTTGATTATCGCAATTAAAGAGTAAAATAAATACACAGTTTTGTGAAACTACGATTCCGTGATATTAATTTTGAATTCATTAAATATAGATTTCATGTTCAAGTTTCATAGCTGATGAATAAATGTAAATACTTTTTAAATCTCAATTTTACAGGTTTTGCAGTTTCCTTTTGTTCTGCAATGGAGTTCGTCAACTTGTTGCTGGAATTTGGTGAAAAAACTAGATTCTTTCATTACCATGAAGGGCAAAGAACCAAAATCGAACGCTACTTATTGACTTCTACCATTTTACCATTTTCAAACCATTTCTTTAAATTGTATCTTTATTTAAAGGTTGAGGAACAGAGTTGCATTTCAAGCGAAGTTTTGTGACCAGTGCTGAGCTGAGAAGTTTGAAGCATCGGTAGTAGGGGCTATTTATCAAAAGTGTTGCTCATGCACATTTCGAGGGAACTTACCTTACAACGAACTTGAAAGCAAAATTTTTAAAATCATTGGCACCATTGCTAAAACTTTTTACATGGTATTCTAATTGATGATAGTTGTTTTGAGCAACTTTTTCTTTACTCCAACGTGTTTTCATCAAAGTCAGTGGTCGTGAGTTCGAGCCTCGCTCGGGTCGGTTATTTTCCCGCACTCTCTATTAATTATCTTTAAAAAATCCTGTTGCCTGTAAAGATTTCTAATAAAAAATTCTAATAAAAATGGGTTGATGCCTACGAGAAGTGCTATGGGACCTCACAAGACGGTTCTTTGGAAACATCAATAAAACAAACTGCTTCTTTTCGAAAACTTTCAATTGAGCCAAAACGTTAGTAGACTTTGATCTGTGTTATAAAGTAACTTCGCAAATACAGCCTCTGCGAAGGTTTATTCTGCGCTCTTCCCAGGCTTTCTATATAGCACGTGCGATGAGGTGTGATTTTGTAGTTTTGTTATTTGGTTAGTTAGGTTTTAGAGTTAAGCATGAGTGATGATTTAAAATGTTTGCGATAATTATCTAGTAGTTTCTTTTTGGTCAAATATTCTCAACCCACACGGTTTATAGTTTACAACAATCTGTCAGACAATTAATCTTTCAACATTATTTCAGGAGTAAAGAGATGCTTTATTTATCACGTGATATAAATTCAAACAAAGCGAGTAAATTCATATTCAACTGGATTAAACTGTAAAACACTCGTAATATGCTAGTTCACTAACCTAGGCATTTAGCACTCTTTGAAGTTTTGAGAAACAAATACAGCATATTCCCAAGCCTAAACGATTTTTAACCATAAAAAGTGAATGCTTTTAAAAACTTTCGAATTTTGTTGATATCTTTACCAAATCAAACTTACAAAATAGCCAACAGGCTGACAAAATTTCCATTAGGCAAAATCTTCTCTTTTTACACCTTAATTTAAGGTGCGACTTAAAGTTCTCTTTGCACTGACTGTATAAAGCCTTAGGACCTTAGGATGGGTATTTTACCTGGTGATCGCATTAAACATGAAAATCACAGAGAAAAAATAGAACTGTATTTTTCTATAAACTACAGGGCAAACTGCTGAAATTTAATTTTTGGACAATGCAATCAAAGACACGAGATTTTCAAGAAAGAGATTCCATTTACTAAAAAAGATCGAATAACTTTACAATAACTACACAAAACTACATCCAAACATATAAAAAATTGAATTTTTGCTGGTGAATTTCTTTCTTTTACAAATGATGCTATTTTTGTGTAAGAATAAAGAATAAAAGGACCTGAAAAAAATCTCCATTGACCATTTGGAGACATTCTACGGAGAAAGAGCGCTTTATTTTGCTGCATCCGTCTTGGTACGGGTAAGTTCGTTCTTACAGTAGTTCTTTAGCATCTTCAGCCAGTAGTTCTTTAGCATCTTTAGCCTCAAAAGAATATTCAATGAGCTCAGCACCGTATGACTTCATGCACTATAGCCGCTACACTCTCTTGCTTTATCATTGCTAAGGTGGAGTGCTATTCTCGTTTTCAAACTATCTCAAAATACAATGGAATATCTTATAGCCTAGCCAACGATGTGAGACGTTTTTAAGTTGGTGTACTATAAAAAATACTTGACATGACTTTATTAGTAATGAATATATGAAATATTTAAAATCCTTTTAATTGACATTACCTTGATATAGATAGGGTCTGGAGATCCAAAAAGTTAAATACTCCCATAACTGTTAGCATATACCCTTTGTTTCACTCTCATGTCAAACTGTGTTCTCGAAAAGCTCAGATGTTTGGCAGTTGTAGCTGTAGGTGCCAATTCAAGTGAACCTACAATTTCTGTTGTCAATATATAGGGCAAAAGCAAGATTTCCAGACATTAAGGCTCCAGTCCCAATGGCCTAAGTACAAAATCTGCTTTCTAGCAGTTTTTCACCACAAGCTCCTACATTAATTGTTTACATACAAAGTGGATGCACATCAAAAACAGCTCCGGATGTCTTCAACGGTACCCCTTGAGCAGTTACCTTTTCGTGCCATTTCTACAAAGGATGACATTATTTTTTGGATACTTCAAACAGTGCAACTTTCCATTGTATACAAACTGTGATTTTAAATTCGCAAAAGAACCACTTCCTCAAAAGAAATCTACCAAAGACTATAAGATAGAAAAACTCTTTCAACGAGCAGATACCGGAGGTGATGGATCATGTGCCTCACTTTTTCTTAAATGAAGCCAGCGTGGTAGATAGAAGAAGGTGCCATCTCTTATCACCTTGTTCAATAAAAAAACTGCTAACATGAAGTACAGGCAAATAAAACCAAGAGCCGCCCATTTCCTCAATGCATGTGACATCGAGTAGCCCTGAAATTTAAAACGGAAATCATTATAGACAACTGTTGGGTAATGAATAAGTAAATATTGAATTGTTGTTGTGTGTGTCTAAAAAGTCAAGAATTGCGTATTTCAGAAGAGTTTTGGAGACATGCAGCAATCATTTCATTAATCAAATAGAATTTGACTTGTATGCAAGATATGCTTGTATGCAAGACATATTACATACATCCTCTTGAAATATTACTTGGGGGAAATTTATCTAAATATATGGGCAAAGTACTAGAAATAGTTCATCCTATTCTAGGTTTCAGAATCAATGGTTCCACAAACAAGTGACAATAAGTATTCCAGAAAAGAGGCTCTTTATTCAGATTAGTTTTTGATTTCCTCAAACTTAACAAAAAAATTCCTTAAAAGTTCTTTAGGACTGGGATGCATTATTTGAATTGCTAAACAATTAAAGCTCTATTTTTGTGTTTATTAGCTTAATTGCCTAAAGTGGGATATCAAGAATGGCCGAGAAAGGTATAACAGAGTTGCTGAGATGAGGGAAAGATACATTTCTCAAGTCTTTACGTTTTAGTACAAGATTCGGAAAGCGAATACAGTGGAATCGAAAATACCGTTAATCGAAAAATGAAAAAGAGTTAATTACACAATATTCAAGTCTCATTTTAAATCAAAAGAAAGACCATTTCTATTTTATTTACTGTTGCAACACTTGCCTTGGACAGAATGCAACTTTTGTAGGGAATCGATGTATATATATGCTGTACCTGGCACAAAAAACCAGATTATGTAATAAATGACCTGGATAAATGAAACAGTACTTTGTCTTGCACGTCTGGATCGTTATCAAAAAGGCAGCCAAGATATGCCAGGTTCCAAACTGCAATAAAGCCAAATGCCAAATTTGCACATGTCACCCAGAAATTTCCCTATAAACCGATGATAATAGTGTCCTGGTCCTTCCTCTCGATGTGATCACACCTCGTGATCCCTACGCCTGAAATTACAGAGAGCTGGCGACTCTCCTCACTCTGGGTGAAAGCTTGATTATGCCAGGGACTCGAACCACGGACCCTTGGGTCTGTAGCCAGAGCCTTTGAGCCATCCTCCACCACGTCGGATTGAATATGGCCACCAGCGAACATCCTCAAGATTTTTCTAGAAACTTTTTGCAGGAAAGAGTTGCAAGAAATATAGCCCCAACTTTGTAGGGTAGCTTCATTACGTTCAAGACGTAATTGTAAGCTCCTTTTTCATATAAACCGGAAAACATGGCGGTGGTACGGTCAATGACCCTGAGGAAGGGCAATAGAGAATGATTTAAAGTGCCATTCTCGAACACCACCTTACTTTTTTTCTTAGGAAGGTTTCCAAAGCTTAAGGAAATTGTCCGGAGGTAGACCTAATCAACACCCAGATTTGAATCGACGAGGTGTCTGATAAGATTTCTCTTTGTAAAATTCTTCACCGGAATCCAAGCAAGAATAATAAATAAAAAAATTATTCTTGCAGAACCGAGCCTTTAGACGAATAAAAAAGCTGATTACTCTCCTCTTTCTTAGTAAATGTTGTGTCATGTCAGGGACTCAAATCTTAGACCCTTGGATCCTTAGGCAGTGACTCTAACCACTAATCCATCATCGTACCTGAGTGACTTGTAAAATAAATATGCATAATCCTGTACTTACGTGAAGCAGCGAGCTTGCAAAATATGTCAATAATATGGCAGGGAATGTGCCTAAATGTCTTGACGTCTTGAAAACATCTGAAAATTGAAAAAATGCATTCTTTACCAAAACAGTCATACAATTTGCCACATTAATGCATACAAATAATCAACAGGTGTTACACAATTTAACAACATTTAGAAAGAAACTGTAATATTCCCAACAAGCAAAGGAATGAACAAAAGAATACTAGACAAGGCAAGACACATTGGAAAACTACTAATCTAAAGTATGTTACAAATTTTGTCGGAAAACATGTTTTACAAAATTTATCTGAGAAACTGATATAATAAGCGATATGGAAGAGACTGGAAATATCTGGACACATTACCAGCAAAGGGTACCATTTGGTTAATAGAAAATGTACATCAAAATAATAAAAATATATCGTTGATATAACTGTATTTATCTCAGGCACCATTTTTAAACTTCACTTTCAGCCACTTTTGGGCACCAGATAATATGTGACACCTGGCTTCAAGAAATTGAACGGTACCAGAAAGTTCTAAAATGGTATCAACAAACTTGAAACAACGTGTATTGAAGAGTTATAATGTTGAGAAATGATGCAAACAAGCTCTATTAACAAACAAGTTATGTTTCCAGCTTTGGCACAAATCAACTTGTAGGCCAGAGTATTAAAGATGAAGAAATGTCATATAATGCCCCTGCATTAGTTTCATTGATGGATTTTGTTCTGCCAGTAGCCAGGAAAAGCATCTGAATCTTGTCAAAAAAAACATTGGGAAGGCAGTCATATCACATTGCTGAAAATTTTCGAGCCGAGATGAAATTTTAAAAGGACTAGAGTAACCTTGATCACTGGGTTATGATTTTAATGAAAAAGGTTAGGTTTTGATTGAGACCCAATTCTAATCTGAACCAGATGATTTTCAAATTGAGTGACCTGGCATAGATTGGTTTAGATCAGGGGTTCTTAAGTATTTTCAGTACTGGCCCAGACAAACATGAGGATTATGTTCTGGGGCCACTGAGTTTCAACATTTAGATAGCCTTTGTTAAAAAAGCTGCTCAAAATGAAATTCAGATCTCATACTTTCCAGGATACACTAGAGATAATATAGGCCAGCCTATTACTTTGTTTTAGATTCTATATTCATAAAATCTATTCAGTGTATGTATTTTCAAGAAATATGTTTTGGAAAGGTAGAGGATAGAAAGGAAATAGGGGGTGGAAATGATAGCATGGAATGACATGGTGCTCGGTAAATGCTGGAAGGATTGGCTCAATGTGCAATACACAGTGAATTTACATGCCCAAGGCTAGAAGTAACTTTCTTGGGGAGGGGTCCCAGAAGCCTCAAATTTACAAGGTACATAAACCGAAAAGTGGTTTACACAAAATTTTGTAACTTTATATTTTAAGTACCAGATTAAGTCAGTAGATTTTTGTTTGTCCCCACTGTGCTATTTCTAAATTAGGATTTATCTTTGTTAGGTTGACTTATAGCGCTTGGAGTCAGACCCAGGACCCAGGACCCAGGACCCAGGACCCAGGATCCAGGACCAAGGACCCAGGATCCAGGACCTAGGACCCAGGACCCAGGACCAAGGACCCAGGACCGAGGACCCAGGACCCAGGACCCAGGACCCAGGACCCAGGACCTAGGACCTAGGACCCAGGACCCAGGACCCAGGACCCAGGACCCAGGGTTTGTGAAATGAACTCTATAAAGACCAAAATGTGATGATAGTGGATTTGCTGCAAGAAAAATTTTAGATTTTGTTTATCTATGGATGGCCAGAAACAGTATCTGAAATAGTTTTTAAGGAGAGAAAATCCAAGGCAATATTCTTAAGGTTTTTTTATAACTAGGTTCAAAAGTTTTCCACTATTTTTATGTTAATAGGACGTTCTTGCAAAGTTATTTGGTGGTGACCAGATGAAATCTTGTTGCAGGCCGGAGGTTAAGAATGGCTGGTTTAGATAATACATAAGTGGTAAAGTTTCCAAGTCAAATATACAGAGAAACAGAAGCATGAGGATGCATGTAATGAAAAATGTGACATGATGGAGACAAAAATTTTATTTTATCAACTTCTAACAAAGGTGACCTAGTAATAAAATTGGCATAGCACCATTTAGCAGGTAGAAAATAACTTGCATTAGCCCTAAGCAGGTATCAGCCAGCTAGCATAAACCACACACAGAGTCAACATATTGACTACAACTAATCAGCATTCAGAAAGCCACAAGAAATCAAATTTGTCACAATCAATTGGTAAATCACCAAATGAAATGGTATACAGAAATCCCTTACATGAAGTGGTTAATTGCCATACTTACAATTTTTTAACCAGTAATGCATTTGGTAAGTTCCAGTTGGTTACAACTTCCCCTAAGGAACGTGGAATCTCAACAGATATTGGTTTTGAGACAGGATATTTCCTAAAATAGTACAAAAGTAAGCAATCATAAAATCATTCTCAAGTTAATTAGCCTCTGGTACAGCAGAGGAAAGATCTAGCATTCAAATTCTGAAGTTTTCAAAGCATTTTTCATAATATGACCACCTATAAAGATTGTTACAATAAAAATGCATTTTAAAAGAACAAACAGTAAAAAGAGAAAAACTTCAGAAGTAATATAAACAAGTTTGACAGAAATGATCAAATGCTAAGTAATACCATTCTATAAAACTTAACAGATTTTTGACTCAATTTCTAGAAAGGTAGATTACTTTAATGCAAACCAGATATACATCAAAACGGCGGAGGGCTCAGCCCCCCTCCTTGTCTGTTCTTCGGTCAGACAAGAATCGTGTAACGCATAGAGGGCTAGGACGAACTCTTTGCTCCAGCACATTTCTGCCATTGTAAACTGAACAAGAAAAGGAGACGAGATGCAACAGGAAGACTAAAATTCATTACAAGCTTTATACTCATAGAAATGTAGACATAGTTTGGCATCTAAACAAAGAACAGAATGACTCTCTACCTTTGAAGATATCTTACTGAGAACACTCAGCTACTTTCTTCTACAGGCAAGACAGGTTCTTTTATTGTTTCATCTAGAAATTTGCTTAAAGTTCTGTAGCTCGAAAATGTTGCGCTTTTCGCTAAAAGTTGAGATTTTGATTTTGGACAATTGTGAACAAATTATCATCAGGGATGACAATTATTTTCATAGAATTACTGGGAAAGTTTGAGGAGATTGGCTTTACTCGAACACATTTCACTGGTCAAAAACTGTCATCTTTAGCCACAAATAAGGGTGCAAGAAAGAGAAAGCTAAGCTGTAGCCTTTTCTACATGCTCATTCGAAAAGGAAATCTTCGCAGAACAGTTAAAAGACATTGCTTGTTTTTGTTGTACTTATTCCTTCTAGTTTTGCCCAGTTTTGCTTTGTTTCAGTTTAGATTATCCTAGAGTCAGCTGCTTTGATTCTGACTCTCCACATTCGCATCGCTTGTTCCTTTTCCCACTCATTCCTCGTTGTAAAAATGTTGTTCCCCCTAGTCAAGCGTTGTTAAACGCTCAAAGTTCATTATAAAACCAACTCTAACTCCCTTCCCATTGTTATGTCAAAATCAAACCTCTTGAACCATGGGGATTATTGTAAAAGAAAGCTAACAGGCATTGCCTAGGATCCTCCTTTAGTCAAAATTGATGTTGTAAATATTTTAGATACATTTACTGCCCAATCCAAACTTTTTCTTGAATTCGGCCAAAATTCCTGACCATGGTGGTGACCTTTAGTAAACCCCGAAGCAATCTAAACACTTTGCCCCCCCCCCCCCCATTACCACCTTCCAAGAACGTTTTGCCAGCCCTGCCTATGCTACTGATGCTTCCAAATTGCCTGCTGCTCAGCCAATCAAAAGTTTAGTGGTAGAAACACTACAGCGACGCGTAATGCTGCCAGATTTTACCCTAGAAATTCATAAACTATAGGAAAAATAAGTTCTCGATCATAACCTACCGTTAAATCTTTTTGCTTCATTCTTCTCCCATTTAAAAGTCCTTTAGCTAGAAAACGATAATTTTCCCCCAACAATGGCATGATTTTCTCTTTCCTCTTAGCCTACATCACAATAAAACCCTAGGCAATACAGTGAAAATGACGCGGACCCAAATAAAGGATTGTAGAGCCCCAATATTAATCTTTTACGCCAATGCCTAGATCCTTGGTTTTTTCTTTCATTATTTATTTAAAGTTGGTACAATCTTTAGCTATACTCAAGCTAATTTAAACCAATTAATTTGAATTACCAACGCTAGATATAATGTAAATTAGGTATAGCAGATATATAATTGCAGTTGCGCAGTCCCGACATGAAGGTTTCATGTTGTTTCTTCTTCTGCAGCTCTGCACACTACTTCTGATAATCTTCTCCATTCTTTGCGGTCCTTTGCTGTGGATCGTATCTTTTCAAAATCTCCGCCTCTGAATCCCCTCTCCGATCCCTCAAAGTAAAAATCTCATTGCCTTCACAGCCGGTGTATCGTATCGTCGGACAAATTGGTCCTTCTTCGCATCTTTTGTACAAGTTCTGATTGGAGATTTTGTTAGGATACTTTTTTCCTATTAGCTGTCTCAGTTGCTGTCTGTGAAAAGCATCTAGACCTTTCGTATCTTTTTGTGTCAGTCCCCAAGTAGAGCTGTTATACATCAAAACTGGTTTACAAGTGTTCTGTAAAGCTTGAGGCGAAGTTTTTCGCTGACGTGGTCTTTTCTGATCCAGATGTGATTTAATCTATTCATGGATGCTATCGACAACTGTTTTCTTCTTTGTATATCTTCCGTATCACCTAACAGAGAGCCAAGCTTTTTAAATGTCCTCCATCACTCTGTGTTTCTGTCTCCTCGAAAAATTTCTGTTTGCTCTGTTTTGCTGTTGTTTACTTTCAAATTATCTCTAAGCAGAATTTTCCAATCGTTTCTGTGATGATATTCTTCTCCACTTCACTAGTTGTGAGGAAGTCAGCATCGTCTGCGTATATAGCTTCCTGAGGTAGAAATGTTGGAGACCAGTTACCACTTTCTTCATCATCTTTACTGTTAATCTCATGTCCAAAATTCCTTACTTTTCGTAGTGATTCTTCAAAATAAATGTTAAACAGTACACCGCTGAGCGCATCACCTTATGGTGAGCCCATATTGCTACTGAAGGGCTCTGTCTCGGCGTTGTTTATTCTTACATCTAGAGTTGTATTGCTTAATAACAACTGAATCATTCTTACTTCATCTTCGTCGAGGAATTTCTTTACAATATCAACAAGCTGTTCACGTCAGATTGTATCAAAACCGCTACTGTGATTTTTGTGTCTTTGCACTGATTCATTTGTATGCCCACACCATATCTGAAGTACTGCGACTCGGTCGATTTGCTGCTTGTGAATCTGATGAGAATCGTTCTACCTTAGGTTGGATGCGATGTAGAACTATGTTTGACAAGGTCTTTCTCAGTATTGGAAGTAATATCACTGGTCGTAGGTTGGTGACAGGGCCTTTGGTTTTTCCAGACTTCTGCAAGGACACAAGTATGCCGTCGCCCAATCCTAGTTCTATTTCTTTTTCAAAGGCTTCTTTCAGGGTATTTTTGATGGCTTTGGGCAGGGCCAAAGGGCCATACTTTACCATTTCGGCAGATATATTGTCAATTCCTGGAGTTTTGTTGTTGTTCAGTTTATTAATGCCGGCTGTAACTTCTTCTATTGATATTTCTCTATTCAGTTTTCTTGGCTGACCGTCGAATGGATTTATACTACTAATATCATCGTCGTTGAAATGTTTCTCGAAATGACCTCTAACTACTTTGTAGATTTCAGATGGCTTTGTTATGCATTTTTTGTTCTCGTCGTAAACATAAGGATTTATAAAGGACTTTTGCTGCAAAATTTTAACTGATTTATACATTTTAGAAGCGTCTTCTATATGACCGAGCTGACTAACTTTCAGATTCAGTTCTTGCTCCTTATTTTGCTCGAGTCTATGCTTGATTTCATGCCGGATTTTGTTTCGTTCTTTTTTCAGTGCCTTGTACATAGTGATGTTATTACATTGAGACAGATTTCGTCGAAGTTGTTTTTGCTTCTCTCACATTTCTTGAATGATTTGGTCGTGTATTCTTCTGTTTGGTCCAACTTTCTTGACATATCCTAGATAGTTTTGTGCTGAATTTGTAATTATTTCTTTTATCGTTCTCCAATCATTACTTTTACATTGCTTTAATTCTTTTTTAATTTCATTTTTGTACTTTGTTTGTACATTTTCATCTTTGATCCATGGCGTACAATTGAAAGGTGTTTTGTTTCTACTTTTTGATTTTCGAAATAATTTGAATGGCTCTATCCATATTCTGCATATAACTATACGGTGATCGCTGTTGACTTGCGTACCACCGTAGGATCGTGCATTTACTAAAACGTGTTTTCTATTCCGTGGACAAATGATGTAATCAATTTGGTTGTAAATATGAATAACTTTGTTGTTAACTTTTTTAGCATGTTGTTAACTTTATAACAGATGTTGCATACGTATTCCTTGCAAAGATCACAAGTGCAATTGAACAATGAAAATTCTGAGGTTTTTCTTGAATGTTTGTAAAGTTGTTGAGTATTTTATTTGGTTTGGAACTGAGTTCCATGTTTGGGTACATTTGTATGATACGGTATTAAATCCATTTCTTTTTTAATGTGGCTCCACTGTGATGGATCTGGCGTTTCTTTAGCTATGTGATGTAAATTAAGGAAAACTGATAGCAATATTCCAATAGCCTTTTAAGCCAGCTGTAAAAGTGTTCCACGAAAGACTTCAATGATTCCTGATCAGATCAGAACGGAGAGGTCGAAGTCGTGTCTTTCTAAAGTGAAAAGACTTAACCAGATCAAATCATTTATGGAATTTAAAGGGTATAAAGAGTTGTTGTGACATCTGAATTCCAGAGTGGGCTAAAAAGCTAATTTACAGTAGTCTTGTGTTCGAGCTTACAGAAACAGTCATTTCTCTGTAGGAGTTGATGTATAATAGACTCTCTCCCAAAAATTTTCGACATGTCCAACAGTGTTTTAAACAGACTGGTCATTGAACCCTTTAGCCACGATACAATTGAGGAAGGGGTACTATGGAAAGGTACTTGCCCCCTATTATCAAAATTTAGAGGGCATTTGGGAGCTCGTGCCCCTTCAAGTGAGCTTATGTTCTAGATCGGGTGAATTCTAGACGGTAATATGAACTACCTTTGTAACGTAAACTACCTCTGTAATACAAACTAACGATTTAATCCGACTCTAATCAATTGGCCTAATATTGACTATTCACCATAGCAACAGAATGCAGAAATCGAAGAAAAGATTGCGACCAGCGTTTACGTTTCAAGATAAAATACTCGATTATATTACCTTAGATCATTGTGTATACGTTTATTCATTTATATAGATTGTTCCCTTCTTTCTCAAGCTGTTCATGCTATATTCTCTCTTCTATCATCATTCCTTCAATAGTTGTATATTTTGAATCTGACTTTGTAGAAGGCAGTATTAAATCAGTAATATTTTAATCAATTTTCTTGTTTAGGTTCAAGTTTTTGTGTTGCCCTAGGAAAATCCCATGCCAAGGGCTCCTGATCAATTCCTTTCTCAAATAAACGTTTTTTGGTCCGATGTAATTACGCGATTGACAGTGGAAGAAGATTTTTTCGCTCCGGGTTTGAATTTTCCACGGTACTCTGTTGCTTGTATCGATAACTTCCTTAGTACTTTTGACTCTGCTCATAGTCACTTCAATTGAAGTCAAATTACCCTTAACGGTAACATAGGACTTAGACTCAAATACGTAAAACTATTCAACTAGGCTCCGTTTACAGTCATGCACCCTTTTCAGACAAGTTTTCAAGCAACATTTGGTAGGACTATAACCGGGCTCAAATTATTCTCTAAATCTTATCTTTTTGCTGAAAAATTTTAACAATTTGCTAAAATTATGATTTCGGATGAACAAGTGTTGGCAAGACGTGTTGAATTGCCATCTGCGAGTGTTGGCAAGACGTGTTCAAGCGATACAGTTGGAAAAATTATTCTATTTCTAAACTGGTTTGAATTGACACTCCTGCCTCTATATACTGTACATTTCGATTGAACAGAGTGTCAAAAGGTTAAGTGTACATTGTGACCACAAAGTGAATATAAGAAAGAGGCAGCAGCTGCATTTGAACTTGTTTGCCTCTGATTTGAGGGAAGGCATTCCTACCAAGCGACATAGGAATTGGACAAGCATTTTAGCAAAGGTGAATTATGAAGGCTTCTGGAGTATTAGTTGGATTGCTTCTTGTATCAAGCCTTCAAGGCTTAGTTCAGAGTAAAGGAACGGTGAAGAACCTAAAGGAATTATTCATAGGTCGCTGTCATGAGTTCTATCAAATTTCACAGCCTCAAATACTTCCAAAAAGTTGTTCGCTTTTGTGGAGCAAGTTTCACAAGGCATTTCGTAATAAAAGTGCATGCCTAGCAAAGCCAAGTGACTACAAAGAGTATTGTGAATACGCTGATGATTCAAGAAAAATAAATCAGGTTGGTGCAGTAGACTTTAAGACATTAAAAACAGGCAAACGGGCAACAGAAAGTTTCACAGTAACTTTGAAGGTTGATTTTCTGATTCCATCAGGCAGGTGTTGTTCCCCTGCGCACCTATTCGTAGCCCTTCTAGAAGTTATATCTACCTGCTTGAGAATACCATGGATTATTGTCATTTGTTTACCTAATAAAGGTTATCTCATATTACAAAAGTATAACCCTAAAAATCCTTAAAATTTGAATAGTTTTAAAGGTTGTTGTAAGTATTCCTTCAACTACTTTGCGGAAATTGCGGAAATAATCACGACCAAAACAGCTGACAACAAAAAGGTGAGAACAAGACGTAATTCAACTATAAGCTTCTGCTAGGCCCAAAATTCTGTTTACATGAAAGGAGAGAAACTTTAGATATGTAAAAAACTGGAATGTTTAATGCTCACAAAGCTGACACTCTATCTCTAGAAGCCTATAAACTGTCAATAAATAGATTCCAAGCTAAATCTATTTATTTCAATCACAATTCTTAAACGAGATAATCTGTTAGTTTCAAACCCGAAATGAAAAACACCTACAATGCCTGCCAAAAGTACTTGGAACACCCACCAATTTACGCTGCATTTGATATCTTTCATTCCTTTCATGAAAAAAATTTGCTACTTCCGCCCCCTTCCCCCTCAAACAATGTTGATGATTTAGAGAAATATCATAAAAGAAGCGCAAAAGAAAGTGCTTCCTAAAATCCTAGTCCGTTTGATAGTAAACCAACATTGTTCCGTGGGGGAGAGGGGGATGATTGGTTTTGACCTTGGAAATTGATGTCAGTGTTCCAAGACTTTTGGCAGGCATTGTAGTCTATATTTGTGACTTCACCCCTGTCCTCTTCTATACATCAGAGCGTGTACCGCTGAGCTTATATGGCATCGATCACTCAATGACTGATCTGCAAATAATAGTTTTCATTTCTTTATTCGATACTCTAGCAAAAACATTTAGAAATTTTTCCTTTTTTGTAAATGAAAGCCTCGCTGTGAAATCTATCTTTTGATCGTAGAGCCTTTTCTGGGAAGCAACGAAAGATACAGTGGAGCTTATAACTCAAGTTTATCCAAATTTTGTGGCTCTTGGAAACACAATTCAAGGGTAATTGATCTTTGGGAAATGGTACTTCCGACTCTTGAAACGTATTTATCCTAAAATAATCATAAAATCCTCCTATATTTAATTTCCAAGAGCTTGTTTTATGCTCTTGAGCATGTCTAAGATTAAATTAAATTAATTAGTCTAAGAATAAGAATAAGCTTGTCATGTGGCGTGGTCGGCATAAAGGTTACTTTAATCACGAAGGGACATTAAGTAAATATATTAAATCTGCAGATTGTTTGGTTTAGCTTTTTCAACACAAATTTTTTGCAGGTTTGCTTTACAAGAAGCTCCTAGATTCCATTACAAAATGCCAAACGCTGCTTCGTTCTTTCTTGTTGGATCTAATAGGCCCAAATATAAGCAACTTTAAAGCAATACTTGTTTTTTAATAAGAATTACACTTTTCAAATCTAACCTTCACTCTTTTTTATAAGAACAAGCTTATAACAACATGAGGCTCAAAATTGGTCAAAATGTAAAAACAAATTAAGAACAAAATGAGGTCGAGCTACTGTAAAATGCAATTTTAAACAGCGTTTTTTCTCAAAAACGAGGATTTTTAGCCGTGTGTTGGTGCTTTTTCGGTGAATATTTTAACTTGTCGGCAAATGAAAGCTGTGTCTCACTTACTTTATTGACAAATGGGGCCTGAGCGAAAAAGCTAGCAATCGCACTGCTAGCAACCTATTACGGTGGAAAAATTAACTGTGTTAGGCGCCAATATCTTTCACAGTGTTTCAAATCGCTATAAGAAATAAATAATTTTACATGATTTGGTATCTAGGTAATTACAAGAGGTGTTCGGTTATTTGGCAGCTTTCATCGAATATCATTAAATACCATTGTCAGAGTATTTTCAATGATTTCTTAGGCCCCGTTTAAACGGGAACGGATCCGCATAGATCCGTACCCAAACTAGCTACGGTAGGCCTTGCGTTTACACGGGCACGGTAGGATCCGTCGCATCTTTTCTAGGAGAGATCCGTACTTTTTTGGGTACGATTCGAACGCGAATTCATTTGGATCCGTACCTTCGTCGGCGCCGTGTAAACGGGAAGATAAGGATCTGCAACAATAATATAGAAGCGCCGAAGGCGTACCTGTCTAACTCACAGGTACGCTGTGAGGCAAATTTGTTTACTTCCGCCATTTTGAATAGTGGCAAAAAGGAACTTGCTCCATACTGAGTCCTTATAAATTTGGTGAAAGTAAGGATTGATTTCGTTCACTTCTCTTTTGAATATCGATGTGAAATGTGATGAGTAGTCTTATATTGCACTTAAATTTATAAATTGATGTTAATATTGGAAAAAGAAGCCGTCATTCACGAATTCCAAGCATTTACAGTCGCGGTGCATGCTGTCACGTTGAAATTCCAGAAAAAAATGATTGATCTGTTTTAAAATGGATCCAGCATCAATATTTAGCCACTCAATGCATAATTTTCTTAACACGTTTGTACAAAGATTAGATTTAGTTTAGACTTTTTCTTTCTTTGTTTACAGAAACTTCCATGAAATATCTAGGCCTAACTCTAGAAAAATCCCAAAATAGGTCATAATTCAATGCTTGGTTATTAATAACAGAGTTTTGATATAGTAACCAAATTTCTATTTTATATAATCATTGGTATTTTAGAATATTTCAAAACCACACTCGTTGCTTGTAATTATTCTTCAGCACAATGCATCCTTCCCCGCATTTTTAGCCCTGTAAAATACCTTAGGGGTACATTTTCACGACGAAGATCACTAATTTGGCCTTACCAAATAAAAAAAATTTGATTCATATCAAATTTCTTTTCAACAAATTCAATTTGACAAACTAAATATAAAACATTTTCCTACATACGCCATATTAGGTTCTAAACGACAGACAAAAAAAATTCAAGAATTATATATTTAAAATGGTCTATATTATTAGAAAATAGACTCAGAAAGTTCTTTCTAATTTATATGAAGATAAAAATTGTAAGCACATATCTTTTCAACTCATAAAAACACGACAGGCCACTGCTATATTCCTCCTGTAACTGTAACTTTTAAAATTCTGTTTAAAACCCCCAAAAATTGTTATGTAATGTTGATTTATATCTCCTCTGACTACCTGCACCAGAAAGGGCACTGAAATAGTTGTGAGCCACGAGAAAATAATTCATTAAAACAAGCAATTTTCCATACTGAACCCTATTGCAGCTCGCTTTTTGCCACTATTCAAAATGGCGGAAGTAAACAAATTTGCCTCACTCGGAAGTACGCAGCATGACCCGAGTTAGACATCTAGCGCCTTCGGCGCTCCTATATGATTGATCCGCAAAAGCACGGCTGTAAAACGAGACTGTTGCTGGAGTCAATGGAGGCTATTTCAATTGTAGGCAGCACTCATCATGCAACAAAGAAACTACTCTCCCACCCCCACTCTTTCTTCCTCAGTCGGCAGCCTTTCCGAACCCTGTCTTCATTTTGTTTTATTTTCTTTTCACCTTTTCTTATTTATTTGTTCTTTATCTTGGCTATTTGGAAAGTCCTCTGTTGATGTTTCTGGATAGGCCTCGATAAATTTAATAGAGCGTCTTCGTATTTCGATATAACAGTCCCCCAGTCTTCTCCATTTTGCATTTTAGCAGCATTGTAATCCATAACTACTTTCATCAACAAAGCTGTCTCCTCGTCTGCCAATGTAAAAATTAACGCTTATCGTTGTTTGCAAATGAAACCATCTTACTGTAGGTGTTCTCCCGCAAAAATGAAAATTAACAATTACCTTGTCATTGCGCATGCTTAAAAAAAGCGATTCGATTTTGATCCGTTCCCGTGTAAACGCTTTATAGTTTAGGATCCGGTCTCGTGTAAACGCTTGTGGATCGTACCCATGCTGTACCTAAAAGGTCCGGATCTTTTGGATCCGTTCCTTTTTCTCTCGTGTAAACGGGGCCTTAATTATTCAATTCAAGAATGTATACTATTTTAAGAACCAGTAAAATCAAGTTCAGGCTGATTGTTCTTAATTTTTTCGAAAATGGTTTTTTCTTAATTTGTTCTTGATTTTATAGGGTGTAAGCAGTGTGATTGCTATCTTTTCGCTCTAGGGAAGTGTTCAGTGCTCATTTGCCAACAAAGTGAGTGAGACAACCTTCATTCGCCGACAAGTTTGAATACTCACCTAAAAAGCACCCACACATGGCTAAAAACCCTCGTTTTTTGAGATAAAAATTGTTCAATAGTGCATTTTACATTAAATCAGGCTCGGCTTGTTCTCAATTTGTTCTTAACTTTTGACCAATTTGAGACATGTTTTTATAAAGTTTTTCTTACAAAAAATATTGTATCTAATGGTTCGTTTCTCCTTGTTAAGTATATGATAGATTGGCTGGGATTAGTTGGGCGATGAGAATATACGATAATGCTTTTTCTAATAACCCATTTCTAAAGTAGATTATTAGAAAAGGCATTATCGTAAAACATCAGCCGAAAATATTTCGATTATCAAAAGCCCATAGTACATCACGCGACATAGATACAGCAATCAAAATATTCCCATGTTCTCTTGGACACACACGTCTTTCGTTGTCTCCTTATTGGCATATCAAAAACAGAATTATTCTCTAGGTATATTCCGAATAGACTTCTTTGGTGCGGTGGCTCAGGACCAGATGGGATAAACTACACACATTGTCCTGGTCTTAACGAATGTGGCTTTGAAGTTTACTATCCATACTGGGCATATGCTTCACAACAAGTGAGGATTTCTATTTAAAATTATGGATAAAAAAATTCTTGCGATTCAAGATTCAATGTTATATTTGTATCTATAATGTTGTATTGAGATGGTCTTGAAGAAGAATTGTGACACTATATGCCTCATCAAAAGTGAAAATATAAGAAAATAATACAAAAATGCTGATTAAATTCCCTTCCATAAGAAGCCTAGCTACGCCTCTGAAGAAAATTATTGCAACGCAAAGTTTAAAAACAGACATTATTCTGTTTTTAAAGAGTTATTCACCAATGAGAATCAGGGAATGGCAGTGTGAGGAAAATAGATATTTACGCTTCAAACTGGAGTAATTTGCCTGCTTCTAATTGACTACATCTTGAAATTTCTTAAACTTTCAACAAATTAATTCAGAGTTACACAATCTATGTTGCCTATAATTAAAAATGATTTCTACGAAAAAAGGGAAACTTCTTAAAAAATATATGTTTTTTTCTATTTAAATTCTTTGCAGTACGAAATAGTATTAAGTTATCTTTTCTGCTAAACTTGTTTTTTTCACTTGCAGTTTGCAAAGAAAGTTACTGGTGTTGTTTACGTTTTGTTGAATGGCTCTAGAGAAGATGGAGTGCCGACATACAGCAGAGACAGGTAAGGTCATACTAGATGTTAAAAATTCAAGCAATCGGTGCAAAATTTCAAAAATGGCTTTAAAAAAGCAAAAACTTTGAAGCATTCTAAACAGAGGGACGGGGGGGGGGGCAATAGAACCCCCGAAAAATCGACTAAAACGATTCTTTTGAAATTATCGTCATTTTATTTTGGAATCCCTGGTAGCTGGGTTAGAACCAAACTAAGTGTTGCTGTGTTATTGCAACATACCTCAGTCACTATGTAATGGTGTCAAGCGCAAGCTCACAATTGTAGATGGCTGTTATTTATGTTTGCAGAATGGTGTCAAGTTGGTGACGATGCCCATGGGGGAGTAGAATATGTTATCCACCGGTCACCCCTGAATGTATCTCAAAAACATGAGAGAAAAGAACCGTTTAAGTCGCCATAAATCTCGACAAACTAACATAACACATATTTCCATTACACGCCTTTAATAAAAATCCTAACTCAGAACCTAGGTCATGAAGTCCCTAATTTCTGAACCTCTATCAGTCGAATTGCGGTACCAAGACCTCCCTAATAGCTCCTTTTTTTTAACTGCACATTAAGTGACATGATAATAGCATAGACACAAAAAATTCTGAGTTTTGCTTTTAACTGTAGCGGAACAAGGCCAAAAGACAAAAAGGGAAAAAACAAAATTAATTTGCGTAAAAGTACCACGTCAATAAATAAATACTTTTGCATTTAATATAGAGTAAAGCAATGACTACACTCTTTATTATTAGAATGCAATAAATTTTGCCCAGCCTCTATCTTTTAAAAAATTTTTCGTTTTGAGCCCGAATATGTTTTTTTCGAATCCGATATGGTTTCAGGAAAAGAATTGCTTGCTCTCAAATAGAAAACACCTTTCCTTTTTCTCCCCAACGTCTGTCACTAGAGTTCAAGCATTTCCCCAACATCTGTCACTAGACTCTTCCCCTTCCCAATTTCTCCCAGAAACAATAATCTGTGTTCTCCTGAGAAACGTCTATTTGTCTATCCTGAACGGTATAGTATTTTGTTAAACTTGGCCTGGGAGATGCTTTTTTAGCTATTTAGAAGGTATGGTTTCAAAAATTTCCTTCCGCGTCGGCCCCAACCCTTGGGTCATCCTACTACACTAAACATGATTCTCAGCCCCCCATGTTCAATTTCTACAAGCTGTCTCTGAAAAATGTTATCAACTCAACTATAAAAAAGTCAACGTGCTAAGAATATATCTGTAAATACCTTCTATAGAGCTGAAAAACTTTACTAAATCTAAAAATCTTGTTTTTGTTTATTAAGTCTTTGCCCTCACACTGCTTCCATACGCACATACCATATATTTGTTGGTGGTGCCATGACCCACTGCACATTGATATTCATTCGCCTTGCTGACCCCCCTAATTGACATGAAAGATTTACGGCTCTGATTCTAAAACTTTTCGTCTGACATGATTCAGAGAAAAAAACTTTAAGAACACAATGTTCGCAAAAAAGAAACTAAAAGTATGTCACATTTTATGAAAGAAAACTAGTTGGATACATTTATCAAATAGTTTCCCAGGCCCTACGTTGCTTTTCCCCAGAGATCGCAGAAACGGTACTAAAAAACAATACAAAAAATCACCCTGCTCTTGGTTTTTATTACTTTTAGCCCCCCAAAACGTGAAAGCCTCCTCCCCAATCCTTAACATACTCTGCGGATTTTGCTTGCCCCACAGCCATTAAAAAACTTCACTAACACTCCATGCTTTCTGTAAATGAAGCAATAGCTCTACTAAAGGACCTTCTAAATTTTATTTTCCAGAGTATGACTGTTTGTAAGCAAAGAAAGGGAAGTGCATGAGAGCTATTTGCGCAAACTTTCAAAGAGAAATAGCCTTTATAACATATAATCAAACCCCTAAATCGACCCAGTTTGCCTACAAATTGTAAACAGTAGCTTTTCTCGTATTCGCAACACCCCTGTGAAATAAGCCAGATGAAAACCGTCCTTGATGTGAAATTTCCCGATCAGAGAGCCCTTTTTATAAAAAATCAAATGACCCGGCCATTTTTCCATTTCCAGATGTCTCCTGGCAGCTGCGATTTTTTGTCACCTGTCAGTTTTAAGTTCCCCCTTTGGCACGACATCCAATTACATGCTTGTCCAAGAGACGGAAATTGCTGCTATTGTCATATTAAGCTACTATCCTCCCTGAAGAAAAGAGCTCGGAGTGCCTATTACACAGGGGTGTTTCGGATATGAATTTGGATAAACTATAAGTTTTAAAGTTTATCAAAGAGCAACGAAGTAATGTTGAAAACCAGGGTCATTATAACTTTTGATGTTGTGTGCCAAGTCATTTAATGATAGGTATGATGACTTTGCAAAATACCCCATAAACCACAGCATTCTGTGGCATCAGGAGTTTTCGTTTTATTTTTTTTGCTTTGACTGTTAATGATGTTCTGACATGGTTTGCAAAATACTAAGATTTTTAATGCAGAAAAAACACCTCTCCCTTGTCAAAACCATTTGTGTTCAGTCATTTAAATAAGTCACACATTATATCAAGTTGCCCAATAGCTTTAGGGGCAAATCTTGAACTGCTCAAGAATAAAATATCCTTCATACACTTTACCTTTCAAGTTTTTTTTAAATTTATTGGCTTGAAAATACTATCAATCTTTATAATTACTTGGTGCTTTCAATCCAAAAGCTTTATTTAAGTCTTCTGTTTTACTTTCACGTGCGTTGTAGCTTCGTGGCTAGAAAGAACACTCACGTATATTGGCTTGAAAATACGATCAGTCCGAGACCACATTTTTCCTTCTACAGAGCTTTTTATCTTTACAGAAGCAGTTTTCAAAATTACTTTTTTGAGTCATACTCAAGGCTTATAAATAAAGTTAGTTACTTTGCAATTAACTTTCTGTCTTGGACTGACTACCTTGTAGCTACTTTGCAAAACTGGAACTCCCAAATATGGACAATAAAGCTGTGACTGAGCTGCGTGTATGGGTTATATACGATCTACATAAAAAGCAAAAGTAAGTGCATAGTTTGAGGCGACTCTTTCTTAAAGATGCGATTATTCAGTAGTGTAACGATTTGGGCAGCTAATAACTTTTCGAATTCTAATCTTTTCACCATCTCATGTTCGAAACCCTTTAATTGTGGATATATGCATACTTTATAATTATCTTTTATATATTTGATGCCACAACCTTGATATTATACATAAGCAGATTTTTCCAAAACACAAGTTATCCGTTAGTAATATATTATTGTCTTTACAGGGTCCACAAAAGTCTTCACTAAATGAGTTTTACGTCAATTTATATGTTTAGGCTATCGCTACTACAACAGTAGCTGGGGTACTGTTTAGAATTTTTTAAAATCTTACTGAAGCAATAGGCCTTTACCAAAAATCTTTCTTTTTTTCGCCCATGGTTATGATAAAAACGACCTGTTGGGTTCCCTTAAACTTAGATATGATTTCTAGATATTTAATCTTGAGATTTTTGTCGTTAAAGTGAAAAGGACGTAAGTTGATTTGTATGAACCTTTCTCTCCTTAGCTGACGTTTTATAATCTAAAGACTTTATAATGCAATGTACCATTTTTACACTTTTAAGTACCCCTCTATTAGAAAGGAAAAAACACTTTTTACCTTTTACGTTGTCACCTCGTCTTAAACATCTTTTCATCTAAAATACTTAAAAGCAAATACATCAAAGATTATAATAAATTTTATGCTTTCACTACAGGGAGAAGTGTGGTGAAAAGTCACTGGTTCACTTAGCAGAAGACACTAAGAAGTTTGGATTGAAATATACTTGTACAGACAACCCTCTGTAAGTTATTCACACTTGAACCTCTTACTATTCGTGAATGATATTTTGACAGTATTCTCGTAGGTAGTTCGCCTTAACAAACAGTAGTAACATTAACGCCTCAACCGATATTGATGTTTCAACAGGTTATGTTCAACGAAATCTTCATCTTCCAAAATATTCCACACTCATTCTGATTGAATTTACAGACAAATTGATAATGACCGATCATAAATGTGCTGTGACAAAGTCAATTACTACAGAGGCAATTTTTTGCTAAACATTTTTCAAAGAACACAAATAAGATTCTATAAATTTGGTTTGAATCGTCAATGATATATAAAGACACAGCATTGTATCAAACGTAAAAGTTTAACCTTGATTATACTTTCCATTCTTTGTAATTCTTGTGACACTAGGAGCGTCTTAATCAGCTTAGTTCAATAAATTATATCAAAGATAAAAGACTTCATCTGTACTACAATGATTGTGCCGATGGACAATGAAGATGAAATAAAGTTGAGTTCCGTGAATTTGGTACAGAAAAAATACGTACTTAATGTCCCTGTTTAAATCTTATGTCAATAGAAGAGCAGAAGATCATAGTTATTTCATAAAAAATTAATAAAAAGCTTTTACATTATCATATTGAAGAATTGTTTTCTGGATGCCACTATAGTAGTTACCGCCGCATATGATTAAAAAACCCTTTATAGTGGACAGCATTTCGAAATAGAAACACGTGCAAGATTTGTACAACTGATGACCTACGCCTCTCCTGCTATGGGGGCAGTTGCTCTAAAAATCATGGCAATTTTAAAAATAATCTAAATCCTCGAGCCATACGTACTTGTGGCTAGAGAATTTCTATAATGAATATTTATATGAGGAATACAAAGATAATGTTGCTAATTAAAAACGATATCAAGAATGACGCCTGTTGACCTAGCCTTATTCCTTTTTAATTGGTCCTGATTAAATTGGTTTTTAGTTTTGCACAGGGCCTAGACGTTATCTAGATTCTTAATTCTAAGCTTGTTATAAACAGTTCGAGCAAGGCCCAATTCAAAAGCCCGTGGCTTAATTGTTAAAAGATGATATCAGAACCTTGGTCTTTTTGGAGAGGTTTTCTTCTTAACCATGACCCAGGATACAACGTGCTCAGTGAACAGCCATTAGTGTTCAGTGTTGTTGGCAAGTCGCACTATAGCAGTCTTCTTGTAGCCTCACCCTCGCTGCAGGGGAGTAGAAAATTGTTGAAGAGTGTGTGTGTGTGTGTGTGTGTGTGTGTATGTGAGGGGGGGGGGGGCACAGCTTACCACATTCAAACCATTTCTACATTTGTGTTTATGTTGTAAATTTTGTATCACATCGTTGCATTTGTATTGCAGTCTATTCTTAATTTTATTTTAATATAGGTTCTTGCGGCCGCTGATGTGCTTCAAGTACCAAACTGCAAAAGCTTGTAATGTCTTCAATTCGTTGACTTCCGCAGGAGTTAATATCTCCATTGCATGGTATGTAAGATTCGCTTTGTGCTTTGTAAACACACTTGATTTTCTATTTTGTTTCACACTGTGTACCCACATTTGTTATCAGAATACCTAATTTTTGCTCATCCTCAATATTCTCGAATTTTTAAGATTTGAGCCTAAGATCCTAAATTATTCTTAAGCTATACAAAGTGTATCTGGACTGCATTTTAGTGTAGATGAATCCAAAGGCGAACACCAGTAGTTCAAAACATAAAGTGTGAAACTTGCATTTGAATTGCTTTTCAAAAACACTCAAATGAACGAAAAAATTAAATTCTTGATAAACCTTGAGCCTTGCATTAATCGTAAATCATTCTTACATTACAACGATTTTGAGCCTTAATTTTCTTTTAGACTTATTAACATATAAAAAAGTATATAGTCCTCTGAAATTTATTTAACTTCTATACTAAATGTCATTCGTAAAATGATGCTTGGACAGAATAGCGACCCTTTTGCTATTTTGAAATAATATTTTTAACATATCTTCAAGGAATATAAATACATATCTCAATAATTTAATGTTATTCTGCACTTGAAGCACTGATCTAAAAAGTTACAGATATCAGTTACAAATGATCTGAGATATGAACTTGAGCTGGTTCAACATTGAAAAGTATTTGAAAGAGACTGTTAATGCTAGCTCTTTTAGATCAGAGAGTTGCAACCGACTAAAATATTTCAAAACTATCCCGATAAATGAGTGTATCAGAATCTAATGCATTCCCTTCGAATAATATTTGTAGTGGACACATATTTTCCAACTCTTGATTATCGCACTTACAGAGTAAAATAAATATAAACATAAATACACAGTTTTGTGAAATTACGATTCTGTGATATTAATTTTGAATTCATTAAATATAGATTTTATGTTCAAGTTTCATAGCTGATGAGTAAATGTGAATACTTTTGAAATCTCAATTTTACAGGCTTTGCAGTTTCCTGTTGTTCTGCAATGGAGTTCGTCAACTTGTTGCTGGAATTTGGTGAAAAAAATCGCTGAAATTATGCAAAAACTAGATTCTTTCATTATCATGAAGGTCAACAAACCAAAATCGAACACTACTTATTGACTGCTAACATTTTACCATTTTCTAACCATTTCTTTAAATTGTATCTTTATTAATATAACAAACAATTAATGGAAAAACTTGTCTTGGAAAAGGGATGAGGAACGTAGTTGCATTTCAAGCGAAGTTTTGTGATCAGCGCTGAGTTGAAAAGTTTGAAGCATCGGTAGTAGAGACTATTTATCAAAAGTGTTGCTCATGCACATTTCGAGGGAACTTACGTTACAACGAACTTCAAAGCAAGATTTTTAAAATCATTGGCACCATTGCTAAAACTATTTACATGGTATTCTAATTGATGATAGTTGTTTTGAGCGACTTTCTCTTTACTCCAACGTGTTTTCATCAGATTTCTAATAAGAAATTCTATAAAAAATGGGTTGATGCCTACGAGAAGTGCTGTGGGATCTTACAAAACGATTCTTTGGAATCATCAATAAAACAAACTGCTTCTTTTCGAAAACTTTCAATTAAGCCAAAACGTTAGTTGACTTTGATCTATATTGTAAACTAAACTTCGGAAATACAGCCTCTGCGAAGGTTTATTCTGCGCTCTTCCCAGGCTTTCTATATAGCACGTGCGATGAGGTGCGATTTTGTGGTTTTGTTAGTTGGTTAGTTAGGTTTTAGAGTTAAGCATGAGTGATGATTTAAAATGTTTGCGATAATTATCTAGTAGTTTCTTTTTGGTCAAATATTCTCAACCCACACGGTTTATAATTTACAACAATCTGTCAGACAGTTAATCTTTCAACATTATTTCGGGAGTAAAAAGATGCTTTATTTATCACGTGATATAAATTCAAACAAAGCGAGTAAATTCATATTCACCTGGATTAAACTGTAAAACACTCGTAATATGCAACTTCACTAACCTAGGCATTTAGCACTCTTTGAAGTTTTGAGAAACAAATACAGCATATTCCCAAGCCTAAACGATTTTTAACCATAAAAAGTGAATGCTTTTAAAAACTTTCGCAATTTTGTTGATATCTTCACTAAATTTAACTTACAAAATAGCCAACAGGCTGACAAAATTCCATTAGGCAAAATCTTCTCTTTTTACCCCTAAATTAAAGGTGCCACTTTAAGTTCTCTTTGCACTGACTGTATAAAGCCTTAGGACCTTAGGATGGGTATTTTACCTGGTGATCGCATTAAACGTGAAAATCACAGAGAAAAATGGACTGTATTTTTCTATAAACCACAGGGCACACTGCTGAAACTTAATTTTTGGACAATGCAATCCAAGACAAGAGATTTTCAAGAAAAAGATTCCATTTACTAAAAAAGATCGAATAATTTTACAATAACTACACAAAATGGTTTACTTTTGTCAAAAAATTCCATCTGCATTTGAAATTCCAAACATATAAAAAACTTAATTTTGCTGGTGAATTTTTTCTTTTACGAATGATGCTACTTATCTGAAAATTTTTCTACATTTTAACATTAAATGCTTAAAAGTTTCGAAATGAAAATAACATTACATTATAGAAATTGTCAATTTTAATTTTGTGTAAGAATAAATTATAAAAGGACCTGAGAAAAATCTCCATTGACCATTTGGAGACATTCTACGGAGAAAGAGCGCTTTATTTTGCTGCATTCGTCTTGGTACGGATAAGTTGGTTTTTACAGTAGTTCTTTAGCATCTTCAGCCACAAAAGAATATTCAATGAGCTCAGCACCGTATGACTTCATGCACTATAGCCGCTACACTCTCTTGCTTTATCATTGCTAAGGTGGAGTGCTATTCTCGTTTTCAAACTATCTCAAAATACAATGGAATATCTTATAGCCTAGCCAACGATGTGAGACGTTTTTAAGTTGGTGTACTATAAAAAATACTTGACATGAATTTATTGGTAATGAATATATGAAATATTTAAAATCTTATTAATCAACATTAACTTGATATAGATAGGGTCTGGAGATCCAAAAAAGTTAAATACTCCCATAACTGTTAGCTCGTTGTTTCACTCTGACGTTAAACTGCGTTCTCGAAAAGCTCAGATGTTTGGCAGTTGTAGCTGTAGGTGCCAATTCAAGTGAACCTACAATTTCTTCTATCAATATATACGGCAAAAGCAAGATTTCAAGACCTTGAGGCTCTAGTCCCAATGGCCTAAGTACAAAATCTGCTTTCTAGCAGTTTTTCACCACAAGCTCCTACATTAATTGTTTACATACAAAGTGGATGCACATCAAAAACAGCTCCGGATGTTTTCAACGGTACCCCTTGAGCAGTTACCTTTTCATGCCATTTCTACAAGGGATGACATTATTTTTAGGATACTTCAAACAGTGCAACTTTCCATTGTATACAAACTGTGAATTGAAATCCGCAAAAGAACCACTTCCGCAAAAGAAATCTACCAAAGACTATAAGATAGAAAAACTCTTTCAACGAGCAGATACCGGAGGTGATGGATCATGTGCCACACTCTTTCTTGAATGAAGCCAGCGTGGTAGAGAGAAGAAGGTGCCATCTTTTATCAGCTTGTTCAATAAAAAGACTGCTAACATGAAGTAATGGCAAATAAAACCAAGTGCCGCCCATTTTCTCAATGCATGTGACATCGAGTAGCCCTGAAAATTAAAACGGAAATCATTATAGACAGCTGTTGGATAATGAATAAGTAAATATTGAACTATTGTTGGGTGTGTCTAAAAAGTCAAGACTTGCGTATTTCAGAAGAGTTTTGGAGACTTGCAGCAATCATTTGATTAATCAAATAGAATTTGCATCTTACATCCTCTTGAAATATCACTTGGTGGGAAATTTGTCTAAATATACGGGAAAAGTACTAGAAATAGTTCATCTTATTCTAAGTTTCAGAATCAATGGTTCCACAAACAAGTGACAATAAGTATTCCAGAAAAGAGGCTCTTTATTCAGATTAGTTTTTGATTTCCTCAAACTTAACAAAAAATTTCCTTAAAAGTTCTTTAGGACTGGGAAGCATTTTTTGCATTGCTAAACACTTAAAACTGTATTTTTGTTTTGATTAGCTTAATTGCCTAAAGTGGAATATAAAGAATGGCTGAGAAAGGTATAACAGGGTTACTGAGATGAGGGAATGATAAATTTCTCAACTCTTTACGTTTTAGTACAAGATTGAGAAAGCGAATACAGTGAAATCGAAAATACCGTTAATCGAAAAATGAAAATGGAGTTAATTACACAATATTCAAGTCTCATTTAAAATCTGAAAGAAAGACCATTTCTATTTCATTTACTGTCGCAACACTTGCCTTGGACAGAATGCAACTTTTCTAGTGAATCGATGTATGTATATGCTGTACCTGGCACAAAAAACCAGCACAAAGAACAAACCTCTAATTAGATTATGTAATAAATGACCTAGAAAAATGAAACAGTACCTTGTCTTGCACGTCTGGATCGTTATCAAAAAGGCAGCCAAGATATGCCAGGTTCCAAACTGCAATAAAGCCAAATGCCAAATTTGCACACGTCACCCAGAAATTTCCCTATAAACCGAGGATAGTAGTCAATGATGAATAAATCGAATGGTGAACAAGCTATGTCATAGCCTTAACAGGATGAAAATTCAAAGTATCAAAAACCCATATAATGTAAATTTTACATCAACACTAACTCTTTCGTCTACCAGTGAATTCCATTAGATTCAAAAATACCATTTTCCAATCATTACAACCGCAACGATCTGATTTCAGAATTTTAAAATGGCTTTGAAAAAATCAAACATTTTACAACATACTTAATTTCGTCTGACACTTCTCAGAGTATAGAACGTCCGAATGGGGTTCCGAAAGAACAAGATGGAAAATATATACCCAGTTGTGGATCGAAATAGGCCAATCAGAAATACGCGAGCACATGACCGGTATAGTTGCCCAGTCAGTACCGCATGCCTATAGGAAAATTACCACTGGAGTCTTATAGAATGTTATAGAATTCTTCAATTAAAATACCACAAAGTAGCATGCTACGGACATGGTCGCTTCATGAAACGTTCAATCACATATACCTGGAGCAACGGCAACATAAAGTTGATGGCAAGATCTTGGCTATTTCAAAATTTTGATGCTACGTGCCAACAAAATAAAGAAGCCGATAACTACATACCTGTTTATACCGATGTGTACAACTCTTTCTGCACCTCCTTGCCTCAATACAGGCACCGAATGCAGAGGCAAGGGTTTTTCTTGCACCTATAATAAAACAAATTAACATCAGCTGGCGAGCAGATGGACAATAGAGGATGAAAATAGAAATAGAGGAAGCATCTCTTGCATACAAGTTAATCACGGGAAACAAATATTTTTTTTCAAACAATAATTAAATGGCAAGAAACAAATTTTTCTTTCTTCTACTAGAGGTTATTCACAAGATTAGGAAAAATGTCTTCACGAATACAATCAAAGCGCATAATCTTTATAGTGGCAATATTATACAAAATAGACAAGAACGATAATTCAGCAGAACAGGATTCCGATCACCTATCAAGGAGATTATGCTACACTTTCATTATAAATTATGGTGTCTACGTTTATACATGTTGACCCAGTGAAAATGAAATCATATGTCTGAAATTAACACACTATTAGGAGCAGCCTTTTTCTAAAAGTATTTAAAGGGAATAAAATCCACTAGGGGAAGGTTTAGGCCAGGAATAGAAGGAGAGATCTTTAAAATATGTGGAGAATAAGATGATTTGTATTAAAATATTTTAAAGAGAATGAACGGACATATATCCCAGAGTTCTTGATATAATATCAAATTCCATTCAATTTGAATCGGCATTGAGCTGTATCCAAAAATAGTAGCAAAGATAATTCTACTATGATTGGTTCCTTGTCAATAGGTGAGTAGATTAGCTAGTTTTATAACAATTAGATCTCTTAAATGCATAAATATATATATTGTAAATAAAATTAAGTGAACGTTGATCAAGCGGTCTATTGCTATTTCTTAGGCTAGATAAAACCTGTAGAACAAGCCTGCTCTATACACTAAACATAAAATGAAAATGCAGCCATGAATCAAACAAGAAAGGGCTAAAGAAAACGAGATGAAAGATTTGCTCAAAACATTGGTTATTGAAGAAAATTAGAATAAATAGAGTCTCACTGTTTTCAATGAAGGCAAACACTCCAATAGACAGCAAAATAACAGATAGCTGAAAATTTAGTCCCTATAAAAAAGAGATTTTTAATAAAGGTTTCAGTTGACATGAATGGAGTTCTTAAAGAAAACAATAAAAACATGCTAAGTGGCTTCCACCATTATTCTCTGCGACCACGCTTCTTCAAATTTGTTCTAAATATCCTGCTTGTATAAAATCTAAAAATGAAATGATTCAAACCTTATATTCAGTTAATTTTCATTATTGATTCTGTGTTTGTATTTGTTTCTGCCTAGCACACGAAGGTTGGGTTGATTTCTAGGACACTGAGAAGCTACGCTTATCGAGCAGTGTCCGTGTCGTTCCTCTCCATGTGACCATACCTCTTCATTATAAACCTGATCATACCTACATAAACCCTACAAAACCGCTATTGTACAGACAGAAGGAGTTAATTTCACCTTAAAGCCCTGTTACACGAAATAATATTCAACAAGAGTAATACTATTTTAAGCACAAATATTTGTTCTTTGAATATTATTCCTTATATTTCGATGAAGAATTTTCCAAAGAATATTCCTATTGCATCATCATCCGATGATTTGAATATTCGTGTCAAGGTGAATTAATTCAAACTAGTTTCATTTTATTCCTGGTTTGGAGAAAATTCAGACAATAGGAATGCGGATGTGTACGGATGTGAACTCTTTTCTGTGCTTTGGTATGCAAGTTGAGCAACAGACAGGAGTGAATATATTTGTTTTCTTGTTTCTACCTAGCATCCGAATGGAGTTTATAGGAAACTGAGAAGCTTATGCTTATCCAGCAGTGTCCTGGTCCTTCCTCTCGATGTGATCACACCTCATGATCCCTACGCCTGAAATTACAGAGAGCTGGCGACTCTCCTCACTCTGGGTAAAGGTTTGGTTATGCCAGGGACTCGAATGGACCCTTGGGTCTGTAGCCAGCGCCTTTGAGCTATCCTCCACCACGTCGGAGTGAATATGGCCACCAGCGAACATCCCAAGATTTTAATAGAAACTTTTTGCAGGAAACAGTTGCAAGAAATATAGCCCCAACTTTGTAGGGTAGCTTCATTACGTTCAAGACGTAATTGTAAGCTCCTTTTTCATATAAACCGGAAAACATGGCGGTGGTACGGTCAACGACCCTGAGGAAGGGCAATAGAGAATGATTTAAAGGGCCATTCTCGAACACCGCCCTGTCTTTTTTAGGAAGGTTTCCAAAGCTTGAGGGAATTGTCCGGAGGTAGACCTAATCAACCAACCAGATTTGAATCGAGGTGTCTGATAAGATCTCTCTTTGAAAAATTCTTCATTGGAATCCAAGTAAAAATAATAAAAAAAATTATTCTTGCAGAACCGAGCCTTTAGACGAATAAAAAAGCTGATTACTCTCCTCTTTCTTAGTAAATGTTGTGTCATGTCAGGGACTTAAATCTTAGACCCTTGGATCCTTAGGCAGTGACTCTAACCACTAATCCATCATCGTACCTGAGTGACTTGCAAAATAAATATGCAGTAACCTGTACTTACGTGAAGCAGCGAGCTTGCAAAATATGTCAATAATATGGCAGGGAATGTGCCTAAATGTCTTGACGTCTTGAAAACATCTGAAAATTGAAAAAATGCATTCTTTACCAAAATAGCCAGACAATTTGCTACATTAATGCATACAAATAATCAACAGGTGTTACACAATTTAACAACATTTAGAAAGAAACTGTAATATTCCCAACAAGCAAAGGAATGAGCAAAAGAATACTAGACAAGGCAAGACACATTGGAAAACTGCTAATCTAAAGTATGTTACAAAATTTTGTCGGAAAACATGTTTTACAAAATTTATCTAAGAAACTGATAAAATTGGGCACATTACCAGCAAAGAGTACAATTTGTTTAATAGAAAATGTACATCAAAACAATAAAAATATGTCATTGATATAGCTGTATTTATCTCAAGTACCATTTTTAAACTACACACTCAGCCACCTTTGGTCACCAGGTAATGTGTGGCACCTGGCTTCAAGAAATTTAACTAGAAAATGGTATCAACAAACTTGAAACAACGTGTATTGAAGAGTTATAATGTTGAGAAACGATGCAAACAAGCTCTATTAACAAACAAGTTATGTTTCCAGCTTTGGCACAATTGGCTCCTGCATTAGTTTTATTGGTGGATTTTGTTCTGCCAGTTGCCAGGAAAAGCATCTGAATCTTGTCAAAAAAAACATTGGGAAGGCAGTCATATCACATTGCTGAAAATTTTACATCCGAAATGAAATTTTAAACAGAGTAGAGTGAAATGATGAGCAAAAGATGTACTAATAAACTAACTGCTACAAAATTTTATAGATTGCTCACTGGGTTGTGATTGTAATGAAAAAGGTTAGGTTATGATTGAGACCCAATTCTAATCTGAAGCAGATAATTTTCAAATTGAGTGACCTGGCATAGATTGGTTTAGATCAGAGTTTCTTAAGTATTTTGAGAGCTGGCCCAGACAAACATCTGGATTTTGTTCCAGGGCCACTGAGTTTTCAACATTTACATAGCTTTTGTTAAAAAAGCTGTTCAAAATGAAATTCAGATCTCATACTTTCCAGGATACACTAGAGATAAGATAGGCCAGCCTATTACTTTGTTTTAGATTCTATATTCATAAAATCTATCCAGTGTATGTATTTTCAAGAAATATGTTTTGGAAAGGTAGAAGATAGAAAGGAAATAGGGGGTGGCAATGATAGCATGGAATGACATGGTGCTGGGTGGGTGCTGGAAGGATTGGCCCAATGTGCAATACACAGCTAATTTACACGCCCAAGGCTAGGGGTAACTTTCTTGAGGAGGGGTCCCAGAAGCCTCAAATTTACAAGGTACATAAACCTAAAAGTGGTTTACACAAAGTTTTGTAACTTTACATTTTGTGTACCAGATTAAGTCAGAAGATTGTTGTTTGTCCCCACTGTGCTATTTCTAAATTAGGATTTATCTTTGTTAGGTCGACTTAAAGCGCTTGGAGTCAGACCCAGGACCCAGGGTTTGTGAAACATACTCTATAGAGACCAAAATGTGGTGATAGTGGATTTGCTTAGATTACTTTCTTAACTTGTCAAAGCAGTAAATATTTTGCTTTTACATGTTCAAAATAAAACATTCAAGGATATCAGAGATAGAAAATACAAAACTATATCAAATTCCAAATTTTGAAAGTGTAAGCCAAAAGTATTTTTAAGGAAAAGTTATTTGGTGGGCTAGAAGATGAAATCTTGTTGCAGCGCCATTTAGCAGGTAGAAAATAACTTGCATTAGCCCTAAGCAGGTATCAGCCAGCTAGCATAAACCACACACAGAGTCAACATATTAATCAGCATTCAGAAAGCCACAAGAAATCAAATTTGTCACAATCAATTGGTAAATCACCAAATGAAATGGTATACGGAAATCCCTTACATAAAGTGATTAATTACCATACTTACAATTTTTTAACCAGTAATGCATTGGTAAGTTCCAGTTAGTTACAACTTCCCCCAAGGAACGTGGAATCTCAACAGATATTGGTTTAGAGACAGGATATTTCCTGAAATAGTACAAAAGTCAGCAATCATAAGATCATTTTCAAGTAAATAAGCCACTGGTACAGCAAAGGAAAGATTTATCATTCAAATTCTGAAGTTTTTGAAGCATTTTTCATAATATGACCACCTATAAAGATTGTTACAATAAAAATGCATTATAAAAGAACAAACAGCAAAAAGAGAAAAACTTCAGAAACAATATAAACAGGTTTGACAGAAAAAATCAAATGCTAGGTATACCATTCTATAAAACTTTGTTGCGTTTCTTCTTGCTGTTGTAGACTTGATTCTGACTTTTCACAGTTAGCATCATTTGCATTCTGGTCATTCACAACACAATTATCTCCAACGTCTTTGTTTTCCTTTTCTGTTGAGACACCATCTGGTGGAAAAATTCTTATGATTCCCATAGCAATGCAGGTAAGCTCTGATGTGTAACTTACAAAGTAATTGCTGAACCTAAAACCATTGGCATCTTTGTAAGCATCTATCCATCTAGAGAGGAAAGCAAATAGTAATTGAAACAGATTTGTTATTTTTGCTTGTATACTTACAAAATACTTCATCCAACTTTTTCCACTACAAATAGCTTTTGATTTCTTTGCCTACCCTCATAATTTATCCATGAACATTTTGTAAATGAAGATTTCTTTACTTGGAAAGTCTTAAAAATAACTTGAATAAAATCTGAAGATTCACTTGACAAAAAAAAGTAACAAAACTTAGAAAAAGTTATCATATGTATAATACATCAGTTAAAAAATCTTTAAGGGGTTCTTAAAATTCTATTAAAGCAGTGCAATGAAACAACAACTGTTGATTAAAAGAATAATTTGACATACATGTTTGAGCCTAGCTTTGGAATAACATATGTTGTACCACATGTGGACCACAGAAGACACACAGCAGACAGAACCATAGTTCTTACAATATTCAAGAACCAGTTAAAAGTCTAAAGAAAAAACAGGGAATACAAAAAGATTTGTAATAACTATAAAAAGATTAACTATAACATGTTATGAATCCTTTTCCACTTCAAAATCAAATTTTTCTCCAGGGCATTGTTGGACAAATCTTTTTACAGGAAGACAAGAAATATACTAAATATAGCTGCCTCCTCACAAGGTAAGCGAGTAAAGGAGCAGGAGAACAAGAAACATATATATTTACCTCAAAAATTGATGAAAATAACTATTTTACTGGTTTATCATATAGAGCTCAATGTCCTGTAGACAGGGTCATATGTGCTTAGGTGCAAGGAGCAAAAGGTTCTAAGCTGCAACTCCAAATTTTGCACTTGATACAATCATCAAGCAACCATTCACTTAAAATTCATAATATACTATAATTATATAATACATGAGAAAGAAAAAGCAGTTATCATGTTCTACTTTATACCAAAACAACCATTAAAGTAGCTAAAATGTATTCTTTGAAAACATTGTTAAGGTATTGTTTACGGAGCATATAAAATGATACAATGACCAGTTGATAAATAGGGTTAAGAGTGGGACAATTTTTTTCCTCTTGGCTAAATTGTAGAATACAATTTTAGTTACATTTCATCTCTTTCTAATTCTTTGTAAATTTGCAGTTATTTTACTTACTAAAGGCTGTGGCTTAAATAGCTGCATGTATTCACTAAATGTCACAAAAGGCCCAAAGATGATGCTTGCAGGATTTAGCACATATCCATAGTAGCTAGCTGCATTCAAACTTAGGAGCTCACTGTTTTTCTTTCCATATCCAATAGAAATCAACTTCATTGCAACAATCATTACAGAGCCTAGAAGTGAACAAAGATCTGCTTAAAATGCTGCCAGTTAAAATGCTGTGAAGTAACATTCAAAATAGCATAGGATTGAAGCAACTAATACTCCTTAAATACCTGACTCTATTCAAACATATACAAGTATAAATGGATATATATTGAATTTGCTTTTAGTGTATAGAACAGGACAGTCTTAAGATCCTTTTTAGAACTACCTAGATTGTTTACACCAAGAGTGTGTATACCTCTGATTATAAAACATCAAGCAATTAATGGCAGACTTCTAACAGTAATTTTCATCACCTCTTATCTTATTCCATTCCATTTCACCAACAAAGAATTTTTCACTAAAAAACAGAACATTCAAAATGAGAAATTAATTTTCTAAGATTAATAAATGAGCAAATCACAATCTGAGCAATGTTCATAATATTCAGGAAAGTCTTGAACACAGTTTTGACTTTCAAGTTACATTTTACAATTTCTTATTTTATCCCTTTTTCTTTTATAGGTCCTTGATTGATAACCGGATTTTTATCCTGAACAGGTAAACCTGCACAAATATTACTTATATCTTTTATTATTATCATTATTATCAAGGACTGAGGTATACATCTAAAAAATTCTGTGTCTGTTTTTGTAAGAATATATATTATTATCTATATACTTAAAATGCACAGAAAATAACTGTTCTGTAATATTTACCAAGACAGCATAAAAACGACGGAGAAAAATGCAAGAAATCCACCACGGCCTGTTTGGTTGGTGGAAAGGCAAATATGGCCAGCCATTGCAAGTAACATGACATATCCAGTTGACTGTTCATAAAAATGCCACAACGCTATGAAGCCAAAAACAAATGAAAAGAAATGGAGCAGTTTTTGGTTCAGTCTCAGAAGCCACAGCAGTCTCAACACCAGGCACAGTACCAAAAGGAGCCAAAGGGACTGCAACCCTTGGGAAAGAGTAGGCCACAAACATTCATTCCAAACACTAAATTCACTAGCTATTCTATGGTGTTCTTGTTGCATTAGTTGTTGCAGCAACTCATTTTCATCGTCATAATAAGCTTCCGAATCGTGATATTGTCCTGACAAGGCAGCCTGATCGTCAACATCATCGTATTCATAAAATTCGTGTTCCATTTTTGTAGGCAGAGGCACTCTCTTGATCTCTTTCAGCCTTTATCATAGGCCTATGGTGACGACCCTATCAAAAGATGTGTTCCTTCAATAGATGGTGATAAGAAAAGGCGGGTGACATTGGCAGTACTTAGACAAATTCCAGCCATTCGCTGCTTAACCAAATGATTTTCTATGTTGCCTTGAAAAACTGTTCGAGTTTTTAATCCAAATCGGAAGAGCATCAATCTTCAAAAGAATGAACGATTTCCGCCATTTATCAGCCTCGTTGCAAATATATTCCCGCCTTCTTAGAACTTAGAACCATGCAAAAGGTGCTAAGTCACCCATATGTATAAAAAATCTTGGCACCAAACACAGTCTCCGTTGCCTTTTGAAAGAACTTAAATGTTCGGGTGCTTTTCTTTAGATCCTTTTATTATGAGTATCGATTTTTGAATTCTCACTGATCTGAACACCAAGTAGAATAACATTGCTATTAATTTTATCATGAGAAGTTTCTCAGTCATCTTATTCGATTGAAACTAATTAAAGGTTTTGCTAAAGTTGGCTTTCATAAGTTTTAATGGTTCATCGAATTTTTTTGCAATGACAAACATTTTTTGTCGCCAGCCAATGGCTAAATAAAGGTAGTAAAAAATAATTTCAAAATACAAAAGAGAAGAGTATCAAGTACTCATCCCTGTGATACTCCTTGCCCAGGATCATCAACCAAGGGGCTTTGTTTCTCAACAGTCCCTTTACTTTGTGTTTCAATTTCCTGCTAGATGGAGAGTATTGCAACTGGTTGCAATAATAAATTCATTTCTACTCTATAACTATGTGCCTGTGCCTAGACAGTATAGCTTTGGGGAGGGGGGCGTTCAGGAAAAAAGTGACCAGCTACATTTTTTTTGACTAATTTTTTCTCCTTTAAATATGTATTAAAAATGAATTATCTTATACACACTTAATGATAACAAAGTTAGAGCAAAGCAATTATAGCCTTTAACGCCCATGTTGGCGACGCTGATCATATTAAAACAAGTATCCAGACATATGATAATTGAACACTAGAGCACAAACCTGGGAGCAACATATGATTTGACAAAGGAGGGAAAAGGGGCAAAAAGTTTGCAGTTCGAAAAATCAAAGGTAAAAAGATCCATTGTATGGTTTAAGGACATTTTGAGATTTATTTCGGGGCTAAACCAGTTAAAGTGCCGAGTATGACGTGTAATATTTTGTTCTTGAGTCACCTAAAAAGAAGTACGCAAAAATTACTTCACCGGGTGTAAATAAATGTGAACAAGAAAATAGTCAGTGAGGCTACGAATTCCACATGGTGCCAGCGAGTCAGCTGCACATAAACTATATTCTAGCGATGTGACCAAATCTATTAATTGAAACATCTAACATGCATGATTTTGACAATAACCTAATCAACATCATTTTGTAAGGAAATTAAAGAAATGCTAAAGACACACAAATTGCTTGGAGAATACGATAATTATAACACAAATGTTGTCTTGGTTTTCAACTTGATTTCTAATCGAGTGCACTTTGAAGGTTGTAATAGAACACCGAACTGTGACGTCCTCAAAAATCTATTTTAGAATTTCTTAATTTTGATCACATAACTTGAAAGAACGCCATAAAATACCCCTCAAAATGCAATGTAAGTTATTCTGTTTAAGGTGGACGTATGGCAGATTTTCATTTTCATGGAGGTTTTGATACTAATGGTTGTACAACCTTCAAACTTGAGAATTTTGAAATGAAACTTTCCAATAATGATCATTAATAACTAAAGAAAATTTTTGAAGTTTAAAATAATTGGTCACATGACCATGGTGTATTCTACAGACCAGAATAGTCCGGCAGTGAAACATGCATAAGAAATTATTAAAAATGTAATAAAAATGTTACAGAAGCAGCTGATATGTAAAAAAGGTCCTCATGGTATAGTGTTTGTTTTGTATTGATAAAAAGTTTCTATGGCAACCGTTGCCATAGATACACAGAGAAACACTATTTTCTTTGATTTTGGTTCATCTATTTGACTTAGCAAAATTTTGTCTGTACAAAACAATAAGCTCATTGAAACCATTCTTCTTGCCAAATTTGGTGCTGATATCTTTTCTTGTTCATCAGAAAACCTTTCTTGAGTAAAAACGTCCGTAAATTCAAAAATCGCATTTAAAGTTTTCCATGCAGTAAATAAGACATATTAGGTACAGTGAAAAGAACTTTTTAATGTTAAATGAAAAAGTGACTTCTAACTTACAATGGATAGATTCTTATCCTGATTTCAGTTTCATATAAAGTTTATTTCATTGCTCTTCTTTTCTTTGCTGGGTGTATGCTGACAGAAATACTTTCTTCGTTTACAAACTCTATTTCCACCTCTCTTTCAGAAGGCTTTTCAATCAATGATATGTTTCTTTTTTTGCCTGACCTTCTCTGACTTGCTGGTTTGCTACAGGAAAATGCACCTGATGAATAATGTTCTCCTGTTTTAGTGCCCTTTTTCTTCTCGTGTCTTAAGGTCCTTCGGCGTTTCTGGTATGAGCTTTTGCACTTCCTGCTTGCATCAAAAATTCTTTTCGCATTTTCATTTCTCAACAGCTTGATCGTATTAACCCCAGGCTCTGTTATCCCCATTGCTTTTAGCAAGTTGATCTGGCTTCCTGCTCCCTGGTTCCAAATCAGCACTGCATTAGCACAGGCAGAATTCATCTTGCGATTACCGCAAAAAACTCGTTTTGGACACTTATTCCAAAGAATATTGTTCAAAGCTTCGTTCTGGTTTTGCGTGTAACCCTTCAAGCATCGTTGTAGAAGTGACTTTTCAGACAATCTTTCAAAAATTGGCTTCAATTCTTTTCTAAACACATCAGGTAGGCACTTTGATGGCTTGTATGTATTTGTTCCGCTTGTAATATCTCTCTGGTATTTACACCAGGAATCCTTTCCAGAAGGACAGAACTTGTGTTGTACAGCAATATCCTCATTTTGGCACTTAATCATGTGAAAAAATATTGCCCAGATGGCATTTTCCATAGCTTTCACATTGCCAAGGTTGTTGCGAATAGCAAGACCATAATAGTTTTGAATTGAATCTATAACTACATCAGTGAGTCTACCATGTCCGCCAACTGTAGCACCATCTTCGAGCTTTCTGCCTTTGGATTTATTTTTATATTTTCTTAGGTTGCTTCCCATGCGTTTTTGTATATGGCCAATACAATCTTCCTTTGAAATTTGGTATTCTGAGCCATATTCTTCAAACAATGCTGTGGAAACTTCTGAAAACGATGAAGAGTCTCCATCTCCTACATAAATGGTGTATTTTAGCTTATGCTTTTCTACTGAGCGTTTGAAAATAGTGATTGCTGCTTCTTTTTCCATTGCTTCAGACGACAGTGTGTGATTTATGAGGCATTTGTCTTTGTGCTTATCAAACCAGCTTTTAAATTTCTCTGACTCTTTGTCCCATTTTGCTCTGGCCTTACATTCAAAGCAAACTTTTGATTTGACCTCATAATCAAGAACCTCCCCTGTCTCAATTGCCATGACAAATACCACACCATGCAAGGAAGAATGCCCATAGCGTTTTTGCCAAGTACCATCTACAGAAACAGCAATGGGAAAAACATCTTCCTCAACATCTAAGTTTTTACATTCCTCTTCTTTGACCTTCAGAATACTTTTTAATCTAAATGCTGCTTGAGCCATGCTGTTTTCTGCCACTTTAGCACTTATAAGTTCTAGATCTTTAAGATGGTCATTGTATGAAGAATTGTTTACTGGGGGAGGTAGATCTAGCATACCACAAAGTCTTTGAAGGTTGGTTTGTCCATTGCCAGTATAAAAACCTGCTTGAGTAAGTCTGAGATTTATTTCTGAATGTTGCTTGCCAAGGCAGTCAACCTTCTCAGTTGTATGGAAATTGACACTGTAATGGCAGTTTTGACATTCCAAATAAAGTGACTCATCCAGCCCAGATCTCCTTCGATCCACTTGAAAAAGTTTCAAACAGCCATTTGAAGATTTACACATTTTGCAGACGGCTATCTTTTCCAGAGCCATATCCAACAACTTTGAATTAATAATCTTGTTGCCAAATGCCTCTGTGCTTGGATGTGAAACAGTGCTTGTCAAACCAAGATTAAAAGCCTTCTGTCGTGTAAGGACTTGTTCCCTTTCTGACTTCAAAATGGGACAGTTTTCGGAAATTTTCTCAAATGACCTATTGAGTTTATCTGGCGTAGAGCTTCCACCTGGCCTAGAGTCATTCTCATTAGGCCTTTCTTCGTTATCGTCATCGTTCTTGATATCCTGTCTTCTAAGGCCAATAAACTTTCTCTTCCTGGCGTACTTACTTCTCGACTTATTCCCTGGCATTCCAAAAACAAGTTTTTATAATATTCAAGTACCAAAAAATCTTCTATTTCCTTCCTACAAAGTATGTGAGCGAAAGAAATGACATTGTCAAAGTAAATCTTGTCATTTTGCTGCGGTAGTTCTTGATGTAGAAGACACATAATTCATTCAATTCAATGAAGTAGGAAAATAGTTGGCACGGCACGAAATGTAACAAGTTTCAGAGGGGAAAGTCCCAAAACGGCCCCTTAGCAACACAATTTTTGCGTTGCTAAGGGTAGTAAGCATTTTGCAACGCCAATTATTGCAACTTTTTGAGCCAAATTCCAACCAAATCAAGCTGATTCTATCGCTACAGATATTAAACTCTCAAGAAAACACAAAAAAATAAATTTGAAAAAATTTTCATTCTTTCTCAAAATCTGCCATACGTCCACCTTAAGATTTGGCAACATATAGACAATGAAAGATTTCAATTTTGCTAACAGATTACTGTTAATCTGGCCTGGTTCATAACGTTATGAACGAAAATCAATTCACAGAGGTTTGATTGGGAAAAAGCCTATGATTATGTGGCCATCCCTCAGCCAACACATTCAATTGGTATCGCACATTTAGAGGTATTTCATAATGCTTTTTTAGGTTATATGGTCAAAATTCAAAAGTTCTTAAAATATGATATTTTCATATTGGTTCTCTATCAAATCAAATCAAAAGACGTCATGCTGATATCTATCAGTGATTTTGGGGAGTGGGGGATGTGGTGTGTTCACTATTACCCATTATGAAAACTCTGCTGCGATGCCTTTCAATAAACGACTCTACCAGAAAAAACTTGAAGTCAAATGTATAGCTCATTGCCGGTATGGTACTGCACCGCAATTTCTTCTACCCGTTCATAATCCTTTGACTCTGTGTGGCTCTGGTACCCAGGGTAGGTACAACATGGCTTGCATCTTACCAGATGATGTATACTTCTTTTACTCGGGAGTCATAGATGATTTATAGCAGTTCTAATATTGGATAAAGGCCATGAAATGATTGACGTATGTTTCAAGTATTTCCCATAAGAGCTTGTAATGTCCTAAGCCAAGGTACAACATTTTAGCATCCAACATTTTGAAAATTTTTGAAATGTTAGCTTGGCAAAAATTGCGATAGCATTTTGATAATTGGGTTCAAAATAGGAAAACTTTTGTGCGACCTCAAATGACTTAACAGATCAATTTCTCACCAAGAATTTTACACTTTTAGAGGATTCAGCGAATAAAATGAAGTTGGCATCAATTTTGGCGCAGTTATGTTTTGTACACTGACAAACACAAAGTTTAAATCTAATTGAATTGGGGGTGATTTATACGAGGGACAGGGGTGGGAAACTATCCAGAACTAATATATATTGGGACTAGGGGATCAGTTTATTTATGGACACTAAGTGGAGCCAATGTTGGTGACACTTTTGTAGCTCGTATTGCAAGAAACAATATTAGACAACAACGAAACCTTCAAAAACAACTAGACACGTGTAACATGATAGGAAAGTTACGAGTTTCTTAGGCCCGGTAAACTGTCAAGTGATTGAATAAACCTAATTAAATTATAACTCTATATTTCACATAACGAATTTAACAAAAGTAAACATGCTTCAGCTACTCTGAAAATGTTACTTAAACGAAAAACATTCAAAAGTAAGATACTACCTTTTACAACAAATTACAACAACTTTGATAACCTTGAATTAACCTTAATGCTATGAGTTATGCAAACGTGAAGGAATGTCTACCATCCTGTAAATAATAACGGCAAAAACGATGATATTAATGACCATGAGGACCGCTAGAAAAAAGAAATAGTTTTGGACTGTTGAGTCAACGAAATAGTCACTTGGTGGGTACCACTGGAAAGATATTATAACCAAAGCAAGAAGATGACCAGCAGACATTGAGATGAAGTACATAACAGTTGCAAGTCTTCTGAAGCCTCCTGTGCAAAGTCTATGGGCAGCATTCAATGCTAAAAGGAAAGTCAATGGCTCGTGACATCTCTAGCAAAAACACTTGGCAAGGATGTGCTATAATCAGTAATATACAGAAAATATGTAGTACCTTAGGCAGGGTCTAATTTAAGATACTACCTAGGGGACAATTGCCCCTCCAGCACCAGCTGATTTCCTTTCGAGAAGGCTATGATCCTAGGCGAGAGAAGCTTAAAAGGTGTATCAAGAGACGAACAAATACAATATTCGTAAAATCAAATTCTTGAAAATGAATGATATATTATAAAACTAAGTATGATAGCTTGTTTTTTCAGAAATATATGAACCATGAAAGAGACTGGTGAGTACCTGTCAGGCTAGATAAAACTTCACTTAGCCCAAGTAGAAAGTATTGTGGGAGTTGAACAAATATATTGAGTTTCACTGCTGTAACATTCAGCGTGCCAACCGATTGATGGAAAATCTCCTTTGAATTTTTATGAAAAATACCAGATCTCTCGACGCATCCAGCTAAAACAAGAAGATTTTGTAATGCATAATTGTATTGGTAGTGTGAAAAAATAAAAAAAGCAAGATTATATTAGTAATGCAACAGCTGGTTGGGTCATGTTAGTATTAAATCTTAAGAACACTGATAATAAAATCTATAATATTAAAAGCACTGATATTAAAAAGTAGTTGGTGCAATAGTGTGTACAATATCGATACGCGGAAGAATATAAGGAATGCTGTCTCGTAACAAAATAAAATTGTGAGCTGCTGCGTTGCGACAAGCTATGTCGGAGGATGACACCAAGTAAACAAAGAACAAAATCTTATCGAGTCTGAAATTATCAAGAAATCTGAATACAGGCACTGGTATTGAAGTGTTGATAAATTATTTGAACACTCTTTTGCAAAGAAATGAGTTGAATAAAACACGTGAAATATATGCAAAATTTGGTAGACCTCGACGTGAGAATCGCAAGTAAAGGAAAGGCGTTCTAAATGACCTTGGTTATATCAAACAGAACAGGGACTGTGTAGCAGAATCAGATAGAAATCGATGACCTTACTGTTCACTGTTCTGGCTTTCAAAATCCTAGAAGTTGCAAAATTGCCTTTTTGAGATAGACAAGTGGTTTTGACTGTGGTAGACTACAGCAAGGAAGATGAGATTATTGATCAGGTAAATCCAATTGTAAAAGAAGGCCAATGTTGAAATTCACTTGATTACTAAAGTGATGACGTCACATAAATCTATTTTTAGAATTTTTGAATTTTGAACCCAAAACCTGAAAGATTATTATGAAATACCTCTAAATGTGCAAAATCAGTCTATTGTGTTACGAATTGGCAGGGATATGACCACGTGTGTTTGGCTCTTTCCCCATCAAACCGCAAACTTTAAATCTCTCGTTGGCCATATCTCAACCGATTTTAGACATATTCGGTCAACTTAACATATTTGAAAGTATTTCATGGTGATCATGAAATTTGGAGGGGACAGTAAACCATTTATAGAGAGGGTAGTAATTCCGTACACATTGGTCGGAAAGACAGTAATTATGAGTTAGCAGAGATAGTGTGAATGGCAACATCACACCTTTCCCAGGAAAAGAAGCAATGAAGATAGCAAAGATTAAGCTAGACCTATAAAATGATGGCTAGGATTTGGGATATAGATGTGGATACAAGATCTTCTGGCTTCTATTGCATATATTCTAAGACCAAGCCATGACATTTGACAAATGCTTTCCATCAGCAGGAAAACCAGACGAAATGGCAAGGAAAAATTTGCAAAACGAAGTTCATAACACGCTTTGTCGTCTAAAAAGGGTAAACTGAAAGTCATGCTAATAGATGCCAACTTTTTGGATGTTGACTGTCAGCAGACTCTTCATCATCAGAAATATTTGTCGTGGAAAAAAAAGAAGTCTACACCTGACTCGGTGTCAACCTTGAGAAATCAACCTTTTGATTTGATTTGATTTGATTTTTATTCAATTCAAATTTTACTTCATTTCTAAAAAAGGCTAGTTAGTTATATAAATTATAAAAAAATCAACTAAAGAATGCAACAACAACAATAACATTATTTAAAAGACAAATCAAAGCAGAGTTCTTAAGGAGGAGCCTTCAAAGTAGGTTAACTAACGAGATGAAGGCCCCCCTTTGCTTCAGCAATCTATATGTTCATCTATAAAAGTGTCTCATGGAATTAAATTAAATCACTTAACGGACTAATAACCTTGACGAATTGGACTGGAAATAAATACAAGCTGTAAACAATTATTTAGTTGCATTGAAATTTAAAGATTTTTGTGAGAAAAGCACACATTTTGAAAAAAAATGTTGAAGCTTCACTCTTCTGAGAATAAAATGTTAGAGCATGGATTAAAAACATGGTGTAATGTCAACACAATGCAAAATGAAGACAAGAAGTCAACATTATCGTTCAAAGGTATTAACATGATGATAAAAACACTGGGTCCTGAAAGCAAAAAAAGGAAGGAATTGGAATGACAGAAGTGGTATGGATGTACACTGAGGTGTTTCAGGGAAACCAAAAGGTGTATATAGAGGGTTCACAGAAGACAAGCAACTGGCATCAGAGTCCCTAATAGCCAACAAAAGGAATTTTTTCTGCATTTCACCAAATTGACTTAAGTATACAAGATATTACCATTGCACGAATTCTGTTAAAACTTGATAAAGTTGTTTGTGGGTGGAATAATTCTGCATCAAAAAGGGGTACCAAAGAATTGTCAAAGAGCTAAAAACTGGAAGCAGTTTATCACAGCATGACACAGCATTATTCTACCTTCATATAAACAAGATCTATCAGTGTGGGTCTCATGATCTCTAACGTTCTACCTGGACGATTGCATTCATGGTTAGTTAAGTTTTTAAAGGATTCAAAAATCCATTGTATTTACATACAATCCTCACAAAAACATGCATGAACTACATAAAAGGCATGAACAAATCTGCAATCAAAGCCTTTGTTATGTAGCTACTACAATCATTATAGATCCATTCTCAGATCATTGACTCTGAATTGACATTGCCAACATCAATCAGTTTATTCAAACACAAAATCCAACTTTTCAATGGACATTGTCAACACAGCAACTTACTGACTCCACTAAAAACAGGGAGAGTGTTTTTGAAACCAAGAATCATTGTTGTAAACAGGTGCAATTAGTGACAACCAAAAATTAGACTCCATGTAATACATTGCTTTATTTGTAAAGAAAAGAAAACAAATGTATATCATACAGCAGCTGGTTTGATTTTATGACACAAAAATGCAAACAAAGTCTTGCTTTTGAACATTCATTGAAGGGAATTCCTATCATTCAAAGTCAAATCCCAATTAACATTTATTGTACAAATTCAATGCATGAAACTGATCTATTTCTTTATATGAATTATCAAGATAGAAATGATAAAACAAATACAACTTTAATAGCACTTACCAACAATTACAGAAATGCAACCAAAGGACATGCCAAGAATAATTCGCCAAGTGATAGGAAATTGCCTTTCTCTGGCCTCTAAAGCAGGGTATATAACTTTATCAAGAAATGGTGTGACCAGCATCACAGTTACAACAGTAAACAAATTCATCCAAGCCACTGGAAAGCTCTTTCCTGCAACTCTTGTATCCAAATGTATTCCTTGATGGTAGTATGTTGTGTAGCACTGAAAAGGGGTAAATAATTAGCCTGGATTTTCAAAAATGCCAAGTTAACACCATAACAAATCATCAAGTAATGAAAGCAAACATGATTTGGTTGAAAAGCAGATTTTTTCCAAACATAATTTTGAAGTGCAATTATAGCCTCTTTTTGCAAGGTGACAGCGGTGTTGTGAAGTGATAAACAGTAAAAATGTGTAATAACAAAACTATTTATAGTCATGGCAGGCAACTTTTATACATCTTTTGCAAGCTTCAAAATTTATGGACAATGATAAGAAATTTGATAGACTGAATATACCTGATGCAAAAATAAAAGGCGTGGCTGGCAAGAATTTTTCAAGTAGACCCTCCAAAGCTTCCTATTCTATTAACATATGCTGTGATAAATTGTCTACACCAGGACTAAAAAACAACAGGCTAGAACAGGCTAAGATGTAAAAGGTAATTATGTGGATTGACACCCTGTTTTTATCTTGTTCTCTGTCAATTGTTCTACCACAGCCTCCCATTTGACTGGCCTTTCCATTTTGCTCCTGCATACCTACCCATTTTAAATTTTAATTGTGATTTTGAAATCTTTGTCTTTTTGCAACTACCAACACTAAACAAACAATGTGCACAGTGCTGATCACTTGGCTATGCACAATTTTGATAGATAATTGAGTAAATGACTTTCTATTCTAGTGGAAGATCATTAATTGGTTTTTTTAATGCAGTCTGCTAACCTGTGCATGAATAATCCAATAGGGAATCAAGAATAGAAACAATACTGCCATGTCATAAAGGCATTTTACTCTGTTGACATCACAATCCTCATATGTTCCTCCATGCTTAGACATGGCATAATCTATCCAACTGGTTGGCCTCGCTGTGCCATCATCATTGGCATTCTCAAAATTTGTAGAGCTGGTGAAAGGAAATATAGATGTTACCACCTTGTTTATTTGAAAATTATCCAAAAAAATCCTCCCTGTAAAATCTTTTATCACTTATTTTAATTTTGCAACTAAATTAAAGAATGCATTACAAAAACAGATCCTAATGAAAACAAAGTCTTTAAAAACTTTCTTAATAAATTTCTGAACTCCCACTATGTTTTCAGCCAGATTCCCAAGTTCCACGAATCCCCAAATCCAGGTGTTATTGATTGCCAAATCCTGTTAACAAATATTTTGACAATTCCAGACTGGATGATTCCTGCTTCCTCAAAAGAATATTGAGTACCCCCAATACATAGGTTTTTTCTATTTATTCATATATAAGAATTACCTTTTTGAAATCTTTTGCAACCCTTTTCTTACTTCATTTGCTTCAGCCAAGATATTATGTAAAACTTTCAATGATCCAGTATGAGATGTAGGTCTCTGCTTATAATGTTTCAGAGGAACCAAAAATAAGGTAAATGCAAGTACTACAACAGCAGTGCTGATATAATAACCAGTTTCAAAATTTAGATTCTGATCAATGGCAGTCACAACTGCAACAGACAAGATAATGAGAAGATTTGAAGCCCAGTGAAGCTTCCATGCATATGCTTTTTGCCTTTCTTTACCATTTTGCGATGGGCTCATGATAGTAAACTCTGGCAATGCTGTTCTTGTTGAGGCCTCTCCAAAGCATATAAGGAATAGAGCCAAAATACTCCACCATCTACAAGATCTATTGGAAACACTAGCATTAAGTCCTGACAGTGCTGAAATTCCAATAATATAGCCTATAAAACCCACCAAAATGATTCCAAATCTTTTGATACCTAGATCTATGCACACCAGAAAAGCTGCAGACATTAGAAGACAGCAGCTTACGACAGCATATGAAAAAATGATTGAGCTCCTTGCATCACATTGCAAATATGTTTCTGCAAATAGAATGAAATCTGCCACGAGACAAAAATAAACAATCTTGTGCAAGCAGTCTGATAGAGCTACACAGGCAAGCAACTGTTTAAATCTTTTGAAAACCTCATCTGTATTTGCAGGTTTTACAAAATAGGTAATAGTGGGCTGTTCTTTTTCCTGTGGTAATAAAAAAGTCTGTTCTGATGGATTTGGATTTCGCCGAAAATAATGGGCATGACCTCCTTGTACATCTACAGCGGTGACTCCTGTTTCTTGATGAGAAAGACTGTTTTCCACCCTAGATCCTGTTATTCCATCTTCTGTTGTCCTGCCTGCTTGCAAGACGGAGTCCTCTTCATTCATCAAATCAAACCCATAATTCAAGTAGCTGTTTTGGACTCCTTCGGCTGACATCTCTGCAAAGGTACTTGCAAGAAGCAGAAAAGACGATTTTTGTGGTTATATTACAAACTCTTTGAAATTCATCGTGGAACTCAAGATGGCATGCGAATAAACAAGTCATGTAACAGCAGTGCCAAAAAGCATCTTATTTCAGCCTCCTTCTGGAGAGATTCTTGGAAGAAAACTTTCGACTTGCAGAAGGGTGTGGGGCCAAAAATTTTCAAAGCAGGTCCCTCTAAAAGCTGTTGTCGTGTTCCTTTTAAGAATTTTAATTTCAAGAATTTTCTGATCAAACTTTAGTCTTCAATGAATTTTACAATAACGTGAATTGGGAACTATGCAATTAATTTTAATATTGCTCGACTTGAAGGTGAAGCTAAACTTTTTATGGAAACGTATTGTTGATAAAAGGTCCATTGATGACTGTAATCAATTTTAGTTCTGTGCGGAGATTATTTGCCTTTCGAAAGTTTTCAAGTTTTTTGAAAAAAAAACTTGAGGCAAAGAGCGCACCGGGAAATTTCCCGATGTCCCGGTGGGCTAGCCGAAATTTGCTACAAAATACGCCTATTTCACCCAGTTCTTGCATTCAAATGTTTTGTACTGCCAAAAAGTTTTCCAAATGTGCTGCCACTTTGAACAAGGTGGTGCAATACTTTTGATACCCTAGTGTATTAGCCCAAGAGAACTAACATTAGAATACAGTAAGTACCTGCATACAAGAAACCCCTTTTTAAACTAAGGCCTCGTAAAGTTTCTTACAACAGAGACTTTCATCATCAGGGTCCAGGGGTGGCGCTAGAAACTAAACCACGATCTGCCGACAATCTTAGAAAAATTAAAGTGCCGACGACTATAAAAATGGTTGTCGACATATTTCATGAACACCACTTAACGTATCTTTAAATCTTAAATTCTCTTAAAATGAATGAAAAAAGTTTTAACGTGTCAATCAAATCAATCAAATCAAATCAAATCGTATACATTCTTTTAAAAAGATCGACGACAATGTAAATGTCAAGCATCTTACCCACTGAAATTGGGAAAATATCTCATTGACAGTGAAAAAGGCTACGCATTTAATAGTTGGCACAAGCCCTTGGGGCAAGATACCCAAAGAGACTTCCCTGCGAGCGAAGCGAGCTAAAAGATTTTGCGACCACGCCCTTAAGTTTAGCTGAAGATACATTCCAGAATATTTCTTGGAGCCATCTTCTTCCAATTGTTTGGGATGTTTTACTCTGCTGGGTATGGTTTTTCATGCTTGAATAAATCCATTTTTAGAAATTAAATACACTACTTTAAAAGGCCCCGTAAAGCCTTGAAACTCTAGGGAAAGTTTCCCCCTTGCCCCCTCTTTGCGGCCCTGGTTATTTGATGCCTCTGTTATTTGAAAGTCAAAAAGCCAGCCAGAACTTCAAATTGATGGTTCTTTTAAAAAAATTAGTTCCTCCTTCGACAGTTTCAAAGTGCCGACAGTCCGTTTTCTTCTCTTACATTGGGCTGCCCACGGGGTTTCTTTGGGAATTTTTGGGGGCAGCCCCCCCCATAATATCTCATAAAGCCATCCCTGCCAGGGTCTAAGTTTCTTATCAATATGTACTGTCAAGTCAAATCAAGTCACACTATATGACAGTAACATCCATGGTCCTGTATTCAATGGTAGAAGTGTATGATACATAATCTAAAATGTAATTTTCATATCGATAGAATACACGCACTACAAATTTAGTGTTGACAACCTTCCATAAAACACGACTGTTTCAGCTTGAAAATAAGAAACAATTTAATCTTTTAATTTCAGGTATAGATTTTTTCTCGAAAAATGGACCCTTTGCAGGAGAGGGACATGTTTCTATACACGGGACTTTTTTTATATACGGGTACTTGCTGTAGGGCAGATGCATGTTTTGATACACTGATTAAAATTCAAAACATATACCATTTTTGGCATTCTTTAAAGCATTGAATGATGGTTGAATGGAAAATACCTTAAGTCAATTTAATCTACTTAGATTATTCTTAATACTATACGATAATTTAATATACTTGAGACTACAAACGTTGCTATTCAATAGAAATACCGGGGTTTGAATTTCAAGTGTTTAGAGAGGGGGCATCTTGAAAATGCACAGTACCTTTCTTAAACTCATTTCTTAATGATCGAGAAAATCATTATTATTATTATTATTATTCATTATTATTATGTAGTTGTAAAATTTAATGTAAAAAAAGCTTAAATGTATCTGACACTACCAAGGTTCGTTGTCGAGAAACAATGTTTTGTGCTGGCGTGACGGAGAAAGATCGTTTAAGTCAACCATGTGATGAGGGAGTTGAATTAGCTGCAGGTCCATGTCTCCCATCTCAATGATACCCCCTTACTGTACGTGTCTCTAGAGATGTGAACACTGTTGGGGCTTTTACAAAATGTGCTACAGCAGTAGAGATTGGCTACTTCTTATATAAATAATACTTCTGTATATTGTGGGGGGATTTTGCTTCATTAATGACAGTTCCAATAAATAAACTGAACGCAGAAAATTTATTCGTAATTGCAAAACGGGTGTGCTGGACAATCTATTTCTTAAGATTACGGTAGACGTTTTCTGGATGTAAACATCCATTTTTCAATTTATTCACATTCTAGTACCCTGGGTGCCAAAGTCTCCATAGTTTAGTTTCGGAAACATGGTTCGAAACTAGCCACAGAAATATGTTCTTTAGGCATCCACTCATTATTTGCCACCGCAGCCGTCTACAATACGTTATCACCGACATTCAAGTCACATAATGATAGCTAACAGAAGTTTTGAAAATGGAAGCTATCTCATGTAAACGAAAATGTCATTCCTTCTTATGGTCACGTGTCTAATTAACCAAAACTTGCTACAATAGAATGGCACTTCAATGTATCCCAAGTATCGATGCGTTTTAAGCACCAGACCCTGAATGGTATTTAAGCCAGAACGACTTGACCCGAAATACAATGTGGTTTACATGGTCCCAATCTGTACCCTGTTACTTCGAACTGTGAAACCCCGTATTCTAGAACAGGATTCACAGTTTCTCTAGATACAGGTACGAGAAAGATGTTTTATTCCCAAACGTAAAATTGAATGGCTAAAGTATTTGCACACAGCTAGCACCAACTTAGAGTTGTCAAACTTTTGTCTCAAAATGTTCTCAGGTCCATCCTTTATAGCCAAGTACGCACTTTGGGCTCTTTTGAAGGTGGTACACTATTTTAAGCAAAAAGATTTTCCTGGAAACTTTTCTTACAATATTTTCCAATTATTGTTATACACTAGCTTGCAAGCTAGAATATAACTAAAGTAAGATTAAAATAAAATTGTACTAGGAAAAAATGGCAATTCACTACGAACATAGCCCTTTATCAAGTTAAGATACAAAGCGATGGCTGTTTTTTAATTTTCGATGACTGTTTTTTAATTTGATTTGTATTTTCTATTATATTAAAAATTTACAGAAAGAAATTCAAGCTGATGACATTGGTTACGTTCCATTGCCTCTGCAAAATTCTTAAAAATGGAAGAAAGGTATCCTTTGAAAAAGAATCTAAGTCTTGGAAACAGACAATGAGTCAAGAGGATATTGATTTGATTCAAAATTTGGCAAGAACAGTAAGGCAACTTCTTGTAAGCTTCTACTTCTTGAAAAGTTGATGCTGCTCACCTTGCTCTCTTATTTTAAAGATGTTGTGCTTATCAAACTTTTGTATTGTACTTGTGAATTAATGATTTTGTGCTTTTAAAATTTTTCAACCAATAATTAACATTAGTGTTTTCGTTTTAGAAAATTTAGGTCTATTTGTCTAATATTATTAAAATAGCACACATTGAATGCATTCTCCAATACAGAACATGAAATTTTATCAATTGATTTGTACATGCAGATCTTAATGCAGAGCGCACATGCAAGGCAAATTAAATTTATGGGCAAATGCACTTCTACTTCCACTTCCACTTCTACTTCCACTTCTACATCTACTTCTACGAATTTAATCAACAACTTCAATACTGAAGGCTCTATTGATGTAAAGAAAAACAAAAACAAACAAACAAACATACAAAAACACACAAAGGTTAACAACAAATAATAACAAATAAATAAGTTAAGCAAATGAGCAGCAGTTCCGTGACTAAGATAGTATTTATCCAATGTTAATATTTTACCCTATGAATTTTTACCCTGCGAAATCAAACTGCACTGCAACCGTACTTATTTATCTGTTACTGGTTTCTTTACGAATTTCTTTTAAAATTTTTTTATTAAACTTGTTTTGCCTTTTTTACATTAAGTTTTTCTGTGCAGACAATGACGATAAAGTTTTACAGTAAGTTTTTACATTATATTCTAGATATGCAGCACACATATCCAGCATATAATTGATATTATAACCTTTAAATTAAGTTTAGTGTAAATCTATCCAATATAACACATTATTATTTTATTTTCATTGATTGAAATGTTTTTTAACATTTCTATTAAATATTTCTATTACTAAGATAAAACTGAAAATTTTTCTCGTTGAGTTAATTAAAAGATAAAACCTTCAATCGTGTTACCCGTGACAAATTAAACGCTTGCATTTACATCGGAGAATTTGGTTATTCGGTTCCAAGCCTTGCGTGTAACATTTCGATTTACATCTCGAGGCAATTTGTATTCTGAGTCGTTAAGCAGGAACGAACAGGAATAATTGCACTACAAATTCGTACAAAACAAGTCTTTGACAGAATTTTCTTAAAAGAAACAGTTTTCAAATCACAAACAAAAATGACAATTTACCAAAACAAATCAGTAAAATAAATTAATTTTTAGCCTCTCTGTAAATACTCTGTCGACTGATAGCCGTTTTTTAAGCGAATAATAATCTCACAAAAACTGTGTAACAACTTAAAAGCAAGGAATAGTGCCAACAATATATTACTTAAGTTATATTTGAAATCGTCTTACCAATTTCTATCTTAGAAAAAACAAAATACAAAAATTGTGTTTGAAAACAAAAAAATTTGATGTTTTCTACATCAAACAGATATCGATTAACCTTCCAGTTATTTATCTCAATGTAAGACGTTCTTAAAGAATAATAATGACGATTTTCATAATTAAAGCCTCAGAGCACTGTAGAAGAAAACAAGCCTACTAAAACTTCACAGAAATTAAGAAATATAATTTATACAGCATATGGTAAAGCAATTATACAGTTGAATCCCGTTTGGTCGGACCTTGGTGAAAGAAAATAGTCTGACACTTAGCGAATGTCTGATTCTTATCGAATACGACTTTTGACTTGAATCGTCATCGTGGATGACCAGTGCCTTTCTTGGCTTGAAGAAGTTAAGAAAATCGAATGAGAATTGAAAATCAGTTTGATCAAGTGAAATTCCGAGTCAACCGGGGTAGGACTTAACGGGATTCCACTGTACTGTTATATAATATAATCGAGAAAAATTTTAACAAAGCAATGCTTTACAAGAAAATCAAATTCTAAATTCAGCATAGCAGCAAAGAGTCTTGACTCTCCTATCGCAGAAAAAATAATATACCGGTTAGGATGCCATGTTTCTTTTACTTATATCGTGATGAACAACATTACTTTAAATGAATCCTGGACAATCAGAAATACCAGGTATCGAAGTTATAACCAGTCAAGGTTCATAATTAGAGACTATGTATACACTATGACATTAAGGAGTCCAAAAAATACGTTAGAAAAATTTCCCCTACAGGTAGTAAAAAATCGATTGGTTGGTAGAAGCACATTTTGGATACGACTTAACAATGATTTGATTAAACACATCCATGCACTTTCTAGCAGCAATCATCTTTTTAAAATTGCTTTTGTTACTGCAGACAGTGTGAAATATCCTGTATCTTAGATAAGGTAAACGATGATGACATGTTTTGGTATCAATGCCCAAGGCAACATATCAAAGAATCATTTGAGGTGACAGTTATTGATTTCCATGCAGAGTGAGACAGTGTAGATTTTTAACTTTTTCAATTTTTCAATTTGTCTGGACCAACCTGGCCTCTGTAGACGTAGACATGCCAACAAAGGCTAAATTTTGGTGTTCAGAACGGTGAGGTTGACTTACACAACATTTCCTTTTCAGCAGTAGCATCAAAGGAAATCTATGGCATCATATATATCGAAAATCATAATAAAAAGCTTGCAGCACCTTCTAAGTTAAACAGCTAGAAGTTTTTTCCAAGGCAATTTGAAAGCAAGCATGGCAAAACTGTTCGCTCTTCCCTGGAAAACAATGGCAAGAATAAGTGTCTGCAAAGAAAAATCATGTTACCTAAAATAGAGGTATAAATAAATAATGATTTAAGCAAGACTTTTTCGTTATTCAAGACTTTATTCAAAACTTTGGAATGTTCTACCCTTTCCTGTTTCCCAGGCTTTTACAAACTGTCCTTATTCTAAACAAAATAATTAAACTTGAACTTTCTTCCTAATCCCTCCTTCAATTCCCCTAACAAGAATAATTTTGACGAAATAAACATTGTATTACCTATAGTGATCAATCATTTCGTCTATATTGGAAAATTTTGTACCAGATCCAGGAATGAAGACTTTGTCTCCAGAAAAGCAGAGCTGCAAAAAATAGTCATATGTTTAAGATGCTATATAATATGCGAAAATTCTTATGCACAATTGTTTGGCCTTTGGACCTTGACAGCTATGTTGAAGGCCAAAAATTACTTGTTTAGAGCCTAACTTCCTGTGAAACAAAAACGATTGGTTGTCTCAACAAGAAAGTTTGCCATTCACTTGAGAACTGATTACTGGTTGAACATATAACTTTCCTTTCAATATTATGACAAAAATGTTTCCGACTATCATGAAGAAGACTTATCAATACTGATTAAAAAGAGAAAGCATCCTTCATAACCACAGCTTAATCTTTGTAGACAGCAAGACATGGAAAATCTAAAGAACCGAATTGAAATTTTTAAAACTGAAGATATCATTATAGGAAAACCTGCCAAAAAGACAGCAAGATTCATGAAAAAGGCTAAAGACAACAGACACGTTTCCACACATTCTTGATTTTTAGAAAATACAGTCCACATTGTATTAACATAGAACTGCATATCAGAGAAAATGTGACAGTTTATACTCCTCTAGTTTCAAATACAATTCACAGGAGTTTTTGTTTATGAATCTGACATCTAAAAATAAATACACATGTCAATTTACCTTATAGTGGAACAAGACCTTGGTTGGTGTTACTCCTTTACAAAAAATTGCTAATACCTGCAATTGGAAATAAATACATGTTCACTTGTATGTTGCTTGTGTGCCGCAGTGGATAACATGGTTGCCATGTACCACTGTGGGTAGATTATAAAATTGTTTGAGCAAGGCTCCAGGATATGATTAAAAAGCAACATTAGGGCCAGTAATTTTAAATAAAATAGATATCGAGTAGCCTAGAGTTAAAAATATTTGGTTCCAAACAGATATGACAAAGGTTGTAACCACGTGATTTAAATTCGAAATCTTTGTAATCATTTTAATGGGTAATATTATGTGTATTATATTATTACATTCAATATATGCCTAATCATTCAATAATAGCAATTTACTTTGCAGCCAGCTTCACTCTGTGAATCCCTTATCAAGAATGTTCCATTTCTTTGGTCCTCTGGCAATGTGCTGATGCAATCTTTTAGGTATCCATCAAAGTCCTAGAGCAAAAATATATCTGTTGATTCAAATGCAGATTTGTTGCAGAAATAACTTTATTACTCGAGGGACCAAGAAACCCTTTTCCTCTCTCATCTAGTCCCTCCCCCCCCCCCACTTTTATCGCAAACAGAACACTGGGATTAGTTTGCTTGTTTTTCAATCAATTTCTGTTATCTGGAATTAACTCCAACTTCTACAAGAATGGTTTGGTGATAAATGATGTCATTACCTGGTATATCCAAACATGCATTTAACATTGGAAGATCTAAAATAATATGGTATAGACCATTTACAAGCACTCTCCCTCAGACATTGCTCAGTGTGTAAACATAGGAAAATGGCTGAAGAAGGCAAGCAGAATGACTAATCCTGTACTAATTCTTTCTTAGACTTTAAGTTCAAAATTTTTTCCAATAAATACAATTGATGGTAGTTTCATGGTGCTTATGAAACAAAGGCAGATTATGCACAATTAAGTATCTCTCACAGATGAACATTAGCATGATTGAAATACCCTTTAAATATCTAAAAACAATGCCTGTAAGAGATAGAAGTTCTGTTTGGAAGGGAACAGTATTTTAGGGTTTGTTAGAGAAAAAAGACAAGCATATACATATATAAAAGACTACACCAACCATTCTTTCGACCAGATGTTTAACTGGAGGAGTTGGTTGGAAGCTAAGACACTTTGAGAAACCATAGTTATAGCCATCATTTGTAGGGTCTATAGCACCACATTGTAACTGTTTTGTAGATACACTTTTTCTTTTTTGGTCCATTGTAAGCCCTTCAACACTTGAAATTGAGCTTGAACTGTTCCTAGCAATAATATTACTATTAAAACCTTTTGAGGCATAATCAATTTCCAAACTTTTCCTTCTTGGGTGCCATGAACTATGTCTATTTTTCCTTCTTGGCCTTCGAAATTTAACAGTTCTGTGCCCTGTCACATCCTCTTGTGAATGTTCCTTGCGTCTCTTTCTTGCCAATCTAGGTGGAATTGTTTCTTCACTAGAAATTCTACTACTGTATCCAACTGAGCTAGCCTGTTTTGTCTGTGATTTTGGGGTGCTTGGATGGCTTTCAGGAAAACCAACTTCTGTTAAGTCCGGATATATATGTCTTGAAGCTGACCCAAAATTGTCAAATGTTTTGAAATTTGGGACACTGAAAGTTCCATACTTGTGGTTGGGAAATCCTTTAAAAGATTAAAAGTCAAGATCAACTTAATAAGAGAAATTGATGACCAAAGGAGCAACTAGGCAGGATCATGTTTGAGTAATAGGGCAACATCACTGCATGGATGTCAATCTTCAATATTAAAAAAATGTAGAAATCTTCTGGAGATGTTGATCTGTTATTGGTTATTCAAAAAATTTTCTACATTACATACTTGAAACATTATTGCCTATGGTTTCATAGATTTTCACTCACTAGCACTTTTCCTTGTTTATTATGACCCTACTGTTTATCAATTTTTGAATACATAAATTAGTTAATAAAATGCCTTGAGAGCATTTATAAAACAAATAAAAAAATACGTAAATATAGGACAACTACAGAAAATATAACTTTCCAGACTAATGCATGGAGCCTTCAGTATCCTAAATGAATAGATGGAGGTTCAAAGTAGAAACAGGTAATTAATTATCCCTTGAGAGATCTAGGAGGTTGCTAAGGTGAACACTTATGCTGAACAACCTCAATGGCAATGCTGGTTAATGAGTCTTCCATTCAAAAGTACAACATGGAGCTTTTGAATTCCTGAGAAGGTTTAAACAGTAGTGAGAATTCAAGCTTCTGCAATTCAAATGTTACCATAAACTCAATTAGCATTTAAGATATCTATGATTTTAACTATGATCAACCAAAATAGGCATGCTAGCAGGCCAACATGTCAGACAACAGATGCTACCTAGGCATGGTACAATCAGTGACACGATAAAAACAGTGGGGGATTTTGCATAGATGTTAAATTTGCTGGTGTATATAAACTAGGCATTCTTTCATTGCGCAGTTAAAGCCAAGTATACAAAATGCATCAGTTCCTCCTTGATGTTCTTCTTTATGTGCCAACCTCTCAAAAATCAACCAAATTTTGGGGTTGGGGTATTCAAGATATACCAGATTATTGAAGATGAAGATGGAAAATTATTTCCTAATTGCCATAGCAAAGGATTGATGATATTTTTACCTCCTTTTCTAGTCCTGTAGAATACATCATCGTGATCTTCATTTCTTATGACCTGATGTAAACAAAAAAAACATTATTTGATAAAAGGGCTTTTTTTAATTTATGGATTTCTCTATTTCCATGAATAAACAGTTTGGTTTTTCTACAAATTAGACTTTCCCAGTTAAAAAGTCAAATGTACTGAAAATAAATATAATCACAGTCGCAACGAGATCGTCAAGTCATGGATGCACAGTCATTGCCCATAACAACAACAAAGCTTGTCCTAAAATATACTGTCGGAGTTTTTTTTACATCTCACCTCATACACTCCATGGTCATGAGGTCTAGAGACATCAGTGAAAGTGCTTGCTTCGGAATCTTGACGGCGTAGTCTTCCCTTCGTCTTGCTGCTTGCATTCTTGAGTTTAGCCCAAAAAGAAATAATTAAAACCAAAGGAACAAGGCCGCCGAAACACAACAAAGCAGCGGCGAGGCCATAAGCCCACTCTTCGAATACACAAACATATTGGGCTCCATCGTGTCTCAACTCTGTTAGAGCTGGGCAAGCAAGTGAGCAATTCATTGACATTCCATTTCTTTTGAAACAAAACCCAACTAGGTAGGTCAGCTACCGGTTTTCAGAATTTACAATTTAGGCCATTCTCTATCGGTTGATCGGTACCCTTGTTGCCCTATGGTCTGCCTGTGAGAACCATGTGATCAGTCTCTTGCCAACAGTTAATGTTTGTCAAGAAAACTTGCCAATAATCTGGGACCCTGGAAGGGGGGGGGGGGTTACGAGGGGAATTCGCCTCACAAAAATTCCCAAAATGTACTTAAGTCCGTACAAAAATCGCTCTGCTCGGGAATTTTTGCATGTTTAGGGCCACAAAACATTCATTCAAGCCCCCTTAAAGACTCATTGTCAACAATGAGCCATTGCGCTACGCAAGCATCCCTTAAAACTTTGATTTATCCGTAGAAGATTACTGTGTTAGCAATGAGTCCTTCTGTAATGTGCTGCTCCGTGGTCCTTGCCAATAATACTTATTTTCAGGAGCGGATTTTAAAGGCAATGATTCGAGGGGTGTTTAGATGATGATCGGATTTTTATGCCACTCATTTCAGCTGTCTGAAAAAAAGATAGAAACGCCCAATTTTCTAATTTCACTTTGTAACAATGATGTCTTACATCTTTACTTCATCTAACTTACATTTCCAACAGTAACTTGTTAAACATACTGGTTATATTTCTTCTCTACTGACTACCATAAAAGCTTTTACTGAATCATAAAAATTTTACCAGATATAGTACAATATACTGGTGGAGGATGTTACAACCCTACACCTCCGGTAAGACAGTTCCTGTTTGTCTTGGAAAATTTAATGTAGAAAATTGAAACTAAGCTGTTCCATGAATTTTTCTTGGATTATCTAAACATCATTTTGTGGAGGCAAAGATTCACTTTGTATGGTAAAGGAAATTTTGAATGAGATTGCAGGAAAACACAAAAACAAGAATTTCTACGATAATCTTTCTATTGATAAACTACGATTTTCTGTGATTTTGACACGAATATTATTGTCGCTTCAATGTTACTGGTTGAGTTCGAAGAATTGTTTGCTCCAAAGAACACAAAACTAAAGAAAGTATTCCCATGCATATAGTGTTGGCATCATTTCTTTCAAAGGCATCATTACTTCTTATTGTAAAATTAAGGTTTCTTATTTATCAGCCAGTGATGAAAATTTCTTAGCTAATCAGTAGCAACAGTACTGAATTTCTTATACAGGGTATTGTATCAGCTAGGAAAATTTTCCAGGACAAATAGGATACCGTAAATCCTCGAAATGGCCCCCCTCGAAAAAGCCCTCCCCTCGAATAAGCCCCCACTCTAAAACTACAAACTGTCAATAAGCCCCCCTCGAATAAGCCCCTACTGCTACCGTATATTCTCGAATTGGACCCCTTAATTTGACGGTTTTTGCCATCTGAGGTTGCCTATTGCGTTCTATTGAAATTCCACGACAAATTCGTACTTTTGGTAGTAATTAATTAAGGTGGTCTTATACCCTTAGCACGAAAATGCATATGGTCAAGTTCAAATTGTTCTATTTCAGAAAAATCTAAACCTATGTACATGAAATTTTACAATATGTTGAAAAAATGTTCAAATTTTATTTTACAATATATTTTGGATTGGTCATGTGACTAGGGTGTATTTTATGGACTGGAATATGCCGGACCAGCTTCAAACTTTAAGAAAGGTTTTAACTCCAATTTGTAGCTTTAGGGGGATAAGCAGCCATCCAAATGAAAGAGTAAGTGAAGTAGACTTGGATGAATAGAGGAATTTGTTGGCATGACAACTGTTGCTATGGAAACTTAAAAAAACTGTTTTTTCTGGGTACAGATCTTCAGAATTGACTTATCACAATTTCCTCTATTCATCCCTCTATAAATCATTATCAAAACTTGCTGACAAAATATGACTGCAATATTTGGCACAGTTCTTGAGATATCCTTTCTTAAAGTTCAAAAAGACCGTTTTTCAGAAACGGCCTTTAAAGTATAGGTATACAGAATTCAACTTGGATTGCAAGTGTTCACATCCTATGGCTTGAATTGTATCCTTTTAAAAACCTTTTAAAGTACAAATCCTTAGTTAATTGAAGCAAAGTTGATCATTCCCTCTTAAATACTAGATTTTGTCATTTTTCTTATGTCTTTTCAACAGTGACCATGGACACAGTGCTTTCGTCAACAAATTTTATTGTCAATTCTTCTGTGGCTTGTCCATCTACTTTGCTACATTTAACTTTGGTATCTGGGACTTTGTATAAACTGAATGATCCAGACAAATAGGACTTCCCAGATTTAGTGCTCTGCTTTCTGAACTGTCTGAGCTTCTGCCTTCTTTTCCTGTACTTCTCTTTACATTTATCTGCTGCTTTCTTTATTCTTGCTTCATTTGCTTTACGGAAACCTCTCAAGGTATTTATTCCAATGTTTTTGACACCCATCCTTGAGAGCACATTGCCTGCACTAGCTGCACCTACATTCCACTGTAAAATTGAGGCACAAACTGCTGTTTCCAATTTCCTCTTACCACAAAAAACTCGCTTTGGACATTTTGACCAAAGAACATTGTTCAATGATTCATTCTGGTTTTGCGTCAGTCCTTTCAAGCAACGTTGCAAAAGATTACGATCAGAAAGTCTCTCAAATATTGATCTCAACTCATTTCTAAATACAGAAGGAAGACATTTTGATTGATCATATGTGTTGCTTCTCTTCAATAGATCTTTCTGATATTTGCACCATGAAGATTCTCCCTTGGGGCAAAAACGATGCTGAACTTCAAGAGACTCTCCATCATTTTTTATGCAGTGATAGTATATGGCCCACACTGCTTTTGTCATTGATTCAATCCCATTGCTATTATTTCTTATAGCATAACCATAGTAGTTCTGGAAAGAATCAATAACAGCATCAGTTAGTCTCCCACGGCCACCAAGACTTCCACCATCTGATAATTTTCTCCCTTTATTTTTGTTTTTGAAATTGCGTAGAGCAGCCCCCATCCTTTTCTGAATATGACCAATGCAGTCCTCTTTCAACACAAGATATTGCTCTCCATATTTTTGAAAGACTGCATTAGCAACTTCAGCATAAGCAGAAGAATCACCATCACCAACATAAGTAGTGTACTTAAGACCATGCAGTTCAACAGATCTAAGGAACATCATCACAGCTGCATCCTTTTCCATTGATTCAGCAGATTTTTCATGATTTATTGAACATTGAAGTTTATGATGTTCAAACCACTGTTGATACTTTTGAGAATCTTTGTCCCACTTATCCCTTGATCTGCACTCATAACACACTTTTGATCTGACTTCATAGTCCAGAACTTCACCTGTTTCTATGGCAACGATAAAAACTACACCATGAAGGGAAGAAAATCCATAGCGTTTCTGCCATGTTCCATCTACAGATACACTGGCATAAAATGTGTCTGACTTTACATTCATGTTCCTGAAATTTTCATCAAAATCTTTCAATTTCTTCTTTAAATTTTCTGCAGATTTTTTCAGAGCTTCCTGAACTTCTGCATGATATGCATCTTGCAACTTTTTCATTGTATTGTTGAAGGCATTGATACTTAATGGGGGTGGGAGATCTAATGAGCAACAAAGTTTAGATAGACTTTGCAAGCCATTGCCAGTTTCTAAGCCACCTTGAATAAGTCTTATATTGACTTCTGCAGATCCCCTTTCATTTTGCTGCACATTTTGGCTCGTAAAAAATGAAACTATTTGTTCACAGTTTGCACATTTCCAGAACAATTTCTCTACAAGCCCTTGTCTTTTGTTATCCTCTTGCCATAACTGCAGCAGACCTTTTGAATTCTTACAATTCTTGCAAACAGCTATTTTGGCCAAACTCTCTAGCAAATTATTGATACAGACCAACTTGTGTCCATAAGCTCTTCTTGCTGATGAGGAATTCCTGTCATCATTTGAAAAAAGACCAACTTTGAAAGCTTCCCCTCTTGTTGTAATCCTATCAGTATCTTCTTTCAGTAATGGACAGTTACGATGAATTTTTTCGAAGGATCTATTCAGCTTGCCTGGAGAGTTCGAAGCCGTTTCCAAACCCGAGGTCGATGGGCCTAACTCTTCTTCAACAACACTTACTCCCAAATCTTGCTTTCTCTTTCCTCTAAAGATACCTTTCCGACTTTTTCTATATCTTGATTCTTTCTTACATCCAACCATACTCAAATTCGAGAGAGCGTGCCCAACAGTGTCAGTTTTTCTTGAGGTAACAAACTTTTGAGAATTTGGTTTAGTTTTTGAGCCAACCGATTTGCAAGTACTTCAGGTTGAATGTCATAAACTGCCATTCAATTCAATTAGCTGACAATGTCAAAGGTCCTCACAAATATGATAAAAATGATTTTTTTGGGGGGAGGGGGGGGGAGGGGGGGGATTATGCCTTTTTTAGGAGGCTATCCACCCTAGCAACACGAAAAAGTGGTTGCTAAGGAAGACGAAGCAGACTGCTTTCACATTTTTTTTATTTTTCACCATAAAGTAGCCACTTAGACTGAACTTTTTAAACTTAAAACATGCTATGATAGTTAAGGAATGGATAAAAGGCAAAACCTCAATTTTTAAAAAAATTCAGTTTCGTTCGAATTTTAGGGTATAGGACCACCATGCTCATAAAGAAATTCCTACTAAAATAAACAAGGTCTTTTAATAATGTCTACTTATTGTCTACAAATTTATAAGCCCCCCCCCCTCGTATAAGCCCCCCTCTCGAATAAGCCCCCGTTCAAAAATATCAAAAATAAACAAGCCTCCAGGGGGCTAATTCAAGGATTTACGGTATTGGAAAAGCGAGAGTTGGCTGATTGACATAGGTCACAGGACCAATCACATAGTCGATGATAATCACATGCCACGTCAATCATAAAAATCAACGATAGTATATAAATCGATGCATTGTCAACAAGGAGGAGAAAGTTGATATTTATTCGAATGCAGGGACGTCGGAGAGGGGGCACGGGGGAAACCGCCCCTCTTGCCCTTCGGTAGAAGGGACAAGGGGACCAATGTTCCTTTTTTATAAAAGTGCACTCGATATATATAATCTAATATAAAATATAAGATAATGTTAGAAAATATCTTTTCAATGTCAGTTTTGAAATAGTGTGAGAACTAACTAATACATAAATCCATGGAGCATTATGCACACTATTGACTGCAGGTGTTGCAGGTGCATTCCCAGCAGAGACTAAAATTGCGTTCTAATCTACAAAGTAACATAGAGAGCCCTCCTGGATGAAGAGAAGCATGTCATTTAAAAGTTGAGTGAAGAAAAATGGTCCAAGTACTTAGCTCGAGGCATTCCTTGATTAAATGGTCTCCATCGGGTTTTGCAATCATTGAAAATATTCATGTAAAATCCTGGCAGTAGTGACTTTTTCATAACCAAAATTCTCAAAACTTGTAATGAATTTCTTATGACAATTTAGGTTATTTACGAGATGCCTACAGAGCATCGAAACAAAATGACAGTTAAACAAGAATTAGTTGAAGCGGGGATTTTTTTCAAATGCTCTTTTACTAAAGCCTTCCCTCTTTGCCCTTTGGTCGTTTTAGCGTCCCGGTTCGAAAGCTGGTCGTTCTACCATCATGACCTATCATATATAAGTGGGAGGGAGACGGAATCAGGGTTTTATGTGGGAAAATCAGAAAACAATAGATATCAAGTTGTCTCTTATTTGTTCGGGAGATGAATCGTGCCCGTCTTCCAGACATGCACTAGCCCCCGTTTCGGGGCCATTGCACATGCGCATTATCACTTGAAGCCCTGGCAGGAAGTTCAAGAATTGTGTTGTCGCAGACAGAACAGCTGTGCGAATACTGTTATTAATGCGCATGTGCTATGACCCCGCAACACTGATTGGTTTAAAACGGCATTGTTTCGAAACAAAGGACTGCCAGTTTCGTTTCCGAACAATTATATGGTGCTCTAGGTTTGATGTTCTGTTGTTGTTCATTTTGAGAGAATCATAAATTACTTGTCCATTCAAACTTTCTTTAGCATTTGAAATATCTTTAGCAAGAAGAAGGAGACCACATTATTATACAAATGAAAAATATCTCCTTGTAAGTCAAAGAGTTTAATAAGTAAACGCGGAGCTTCTTTTAGGAATCTTATATTGTTCGATTAAAAATAAAGATCGATTCCCTTCTTTTGCGCGAAAGTTCTCGGCTACTTTCTTTTAAGAGAGTCCAGACGAGAGCTCAATTTCAACTAAAAAGCAAAATCAAAAGAAGACAAAAACAACATCACGATATTGCATTGCCATGAATGTTCATAATAATTGCCACAAGTTGCAAATAAAACACATCTTTATAAAAAACATGAAAACTGAAGCCAGTACGATAGTAATTGATGCTAGCAAAGAGCGGGAATATAAAGTACTACGGTCTGTTTGGTTGTGACGTCGCCGCCCAAAATTCGCTGCTAAAAGCAGCACACTCAGTGGTTTTCCTTTAAGATCAAATCACCAAACTTAGCAAGGAAAATCGCCCGCGAGTTTTATTGAAACTGTTAGGCCTATTCAGTACTAGAAGATCTTAGAGCTGACTCACAAAGAAATGAATGCATATACAACGAAGTTGGAATAAAATTTGAACATCTGGTTACTATTTTTTCAATTGAAGGCCAAATCTGACAATAACACCTTGCGATAGGGAACAACTAAAGATCTGCGCAAAACCATATAAACGACAACCTTATTTACATGGAGCCCTAAACAATCAAGAACACGTGTGTTGTAAAAGCAGTTAACAAATATGCAATAACATAACAGCATAAAACTGCGCACATATGACGTATGGTAATCAAGATATAAAAAGCAAGGTAAAGGTGGCAAATTTACATTAAAATATCGCAACGAAAGTGCTTTCATATATAAGAAACATTTTATTCCGCAGTGGGCTTTGAGCAACCTAGGACTCCGTTGGCATAATACCGTACAACGATGCTTTCTATTCAACCGCACCAGACTGCTTATTCGGTCACACCATACCAGGTACATAGGTTGTTGTCATAGCAACCCCCACATTAATCCAAACGTTTTTCTATTTGTTTGGCATTAAATCTGCCATTAGCGAATCTACTTAATTTTTGTAAAACTGTAAAAAGTATATTCAAAGTATTGATACTCCACAACAAAGTTGTGTCGAAACTACAGAAAAACTTATTTTGTGTATACAACTTTCTTCAGTAGACGAGAGCTGTAAATCGTTTGAATGTGTAAAAGACTATTTCCAACGGAAACTTGAGGGGTATTATTGGAAAGAAATTCTGTTCAAAACAAGATTAATAAGAAATAAATTGCAAGAAAAATGAATGTTTTTGTTGTAAGTCGAGATCGAAATTCCCCTGCGGATTGTTCGATTTATTAGGCAATGATAGCCATCCGGTCAAGTGTGAACGGGGCCTAGGTATTATAATGGAGCTTGAAGTTATTTAGATTCAACCTTTTTAAAATATGTAAGATTTTCACTATCAATATAAACTGGACCTGAGTAGAAGGATTGTTAAGATGCTGGAAAATGACAGTTGTTTCAGAGCATGGAACATCAGCCAAAAAATTATTTGGTAAATTTAGTAGAAACATGAATTGTTTACGAAAGGTGATTCTAAAAATGCAAGTTTGGCTTCTACAGAATTGGTAGAAAGTAAAATCAGAGGGGCAGGAACTAGCTAATGACTGGCTTTTCCAAGGTTTCTCTGAAAAGATACAACTCTTGCCATGAATTGGGGGAATCCTACCGAACAAGAATACTAACAACGTTCATAAAATTCAAACATTATAAAACTCAGCAGCGTCAGCGCTGACAAACTGAAGCAAAACTGTGAAAATGGGCCTATTAGGGCAAACAAGAATACATCTACAAATGTTCAATCCTCTTCGAATTATATTACTTTTTCATTTTTAGCTTAAATATTCGGCTTTCTAAGCTTTTGAAAACATCGGTGACAGCTTTATCAAATAGTTTTGATTTAGCACAGTGGATATGGCCTAACGTATGTAAGTTGGGAAATACTCTCCCATGCCTTTGGTTGCCTGTCAGTGGACAAATTTCAGAACTTCTATTCAGAGTCACTGATTGTCCTATGCTTCTATCTCCATCGAATAATTCTTCTACAGTTGCCAAGGCTGTGTCAGCTTTTCCATCAATGCTGCTTTCTTCTTCGTACGGAGACAGTTCCATGTCTGAGCCGGAATTGGCAAGACGAGGGTCATTGCTTGATTGAGCTTGGTTGACGTGCTTGTCAGTTGGCAATTGGACAATGGCTCCATTACATGTGGCTTTATCATTAATCTCATCATCACAGCCATCACTGTCTATTGAAGACAAATCCATATCGGACCCTGATGGTGTAAAATGGCTATTTTGGGGCTCATTGGTAGATTGAGCTTGATAAACGCTTTGGTCAGTTCCTACCCGGTTACCCGCCCCTTTCTTATAAATGTACTCCACTTGCACAGGAGCGTTGCTCTTTCCACTGGGCGAGGAAATTGAAGAAGAACTCAAAACACCTGCATTTTTAACGTGGCCTGTTATGTTGATTGCAGCTGCTGGTTTCGACACGGTAACAGTTTCGGTTTTCTTTAAAGTTTTCCCACCATTTACGTCCCACCTGCTTTTCAAAGAAGAATCACTAGGTTTGCTATGGCCATTCTTCCTGGTCGTAGTACCTTGGTTCTGGCTTGAATCTTTGCTTTCCAAACGGGATTCTCCTGGAGATGAAACGTATTTATTACAAAACGAAAAGAGCATGTTGCAGTACTGATTGAAACGACACATTAGGTGATATACTAGAGATTAGATTATTTCCAATACTGAAATCAAAATCAAAATTTCTAAACGAAAGTAATAAAGGAAAATACAAGGACCGAGATAAAGGGCAAATGGGAAATTTGTGGAGAAAAAATTCTTCCTAATTTTGCCAATCTGATGAGATCGCAAAGGAATGTGAAAACTAGGAGAGGTTTGAGTGGCTTTGAGGAATTGCTTTCAATCAAGACCAATACAAACCGTCGGCTGTCAGCAAGGCTACACAAAGTTTCTTAAGTCATCAAGATATTTATTCAAAAGAATGAATCTAAAAATGAAAAATTTGAAATTTCAGAACGCCATTGCCCCTCCCCCCCTATCTCGATCCCTGCTATATAAAATCCAAATTCTGCAAAGAAATCCATTGAAAAAGATTTTGAGAATACATTCAATGAGTATTCATCGGCGAAATCAGCAGCTGAGGGCCTAACGACACAGCATAGAGCACCTTTCGATGGCATTATCAATTATCGTCAATGTAAATATAGCTATAGGGAGCTCAATCTCTAGCGTCCAGGAATTTCGAAGAATACCATTTCAAATGAAATTTTTCTTTCAATGTCCACTTTCTAAACTCTCTTAAAACACGAAAATCGAGCTGACCTGTTCATCGAATAAGCATCAAGCCCTTCGTCGCCAACCATCTCGCCGAAAAAAGGCCGATCGTCTTCTCTTGGAAATGTGACATCCTTCCGTCGTTGTTCAGCTTTCCTCTTCTTAAAAATCACATCCAAAGGCCTCGATGTGGAATAAGATGAATCCTCATCTTGGTTCTCAAAATCATCATATAAAACCTCAGTTCTTCGATGTGAGTTCAAGCCTCGTGGAGGAGCATCGCTGACAAAGTCTAAATCTCGCTCGAGCTCTTCAAGATCGACATCGGCTGGCCTGAAAGGTACTTTGATATCAAGAAGAGATGGGGGTTGAGTAGAATCAGTTCGCCTTGAAGATATGCGATTCGGGGAATCCAATCTCGGATTTTTTAGGTAAGATCTTCCAGTTCTTTTTCGTTCTCTATCGTGCATGTCATACTCGTTTCTCTGTTCGTATGGACTCCTTTCGTTTCTCTGTTCGTATGGACTCCTTTCTTTGTATCCGAGGTGCTGTTTGTTGTCTTTACCGTAGCTTCTTTGATCTTCAGAATCAAAGTCATTATAGTACTGTTTTTGATATTTTTCAAAAATCTGACGCTGTCTTTCTAAATACTCGCGTTCACGTTCTATATCTCCATCAAAAGATCTACGATCATCGTCATCGGTAATCAAAGCCCTTGGCCGCTCGGGAAGTCCCGAACGCCTGCCCGCAGGATCATCATCACCAGCGCCATCCTCATCAGCATACCTCATGCTGTACTTTTGATCCCTTAAGTCACGATCACTTTGTTCGTCTTCAACAGGGTAGTCATCATAATCCACAGAATCTTCCTTGTAGTTTTCTACTACTCTCTGGCTACGTTGAGTTCGTCTGTCTCGCGCTGACCAACTGCTAGTTTCCGGTTTCCTGATCTCACGCCGATCTTCGTCATAGTACGGCTCTTTCTCGTCATAATACGTTTTCAGTCTATCATACTCTACCTCTTTGTAATCCTGCTGCGCATCTCTTTGTAGATAGTCTTGATCATTAAGCTCTTCGTTTTCATAACGATGATACTCTCTCGAATAACTTCTATCATCATCATAATCAGAAAGTCTAGCACGAAACTCCTCCTCCCTATAGAGATCGTAGACGTCTTCTTTAATTCTATTTATATGATCATCAGTGTGGCAGAGACGTTCATCTCGAAGGACTTGTCCTCTCTTTGCATCAAACCATCTTTCCTCGTATTCTGGTTGTATTCTTTCATAATGTGATCTTCGGGAGTCAACCTGACTTTCTTCAACAAAGTCTTGGTCATTGGTTTCCATACTTGGACTATGCAGATATTGGCCTCTTCGATAATACTTTGAACCTGCTTGTTCCTCAAACTCTTCTTCCATAAGTTCTACAGGACGCATGTTCCTAGCAGCTCTCCCACCACGACTTAAACGTTTCCCCCTAGAATCATCTTCATCAAAGTAATATGCCTCTCTAGTTTTATCTTTTGAATCCTTCCTTAATCCAGCGTTCAATTTTAGTGTTGGGCGAGCATTCGTAGCCTTTTTTCGAAAACGATGCCTTGGGACAAATTCCTCCATACTGCCCTTCCTACTCGGTGACCTAGCACGTTCGTCAATATATTCACCTTCAGCCACGATATTACCTTCAATTATACCAGAATCGTGTGAATTACGCCTCATAAGCCTCTGTGCTATCTTCTTTGGCAATGTCTTCAAATTACTTCCATCTTTATGGTGCAAGCTGTAGTTTGCCCTTTGGCGTGTTTTGTCAATAAAAGAATGGCTCCCTACCCGGTCAAAATTTTCTTGGTGCTCTATGCAGTGTCGTACACGTGCTAAACCGTGTTCGTGACCAGTAAATGACAGAGATGAACTTTCAAGACCTGGTCTTGAATTCCTACCTTTCGCATCCTTCACACTTTTAGCAGTACTATCTTTAGATTTTCTTAATAGCTGCGACTCGCTAGAAGGAACAAAGTGAGAGTCCATCCATGGCGTACCTATCCAAGGACGGGACAGGGAGCCACTCTTCTCTTTGCGGATCAAGTTCTTCTCTAATTCTTTTCTTTGTTCACTGTCTAACGAAGACGTTTCTACCGGCACAATGTTAGTGCTACAGCTGACACGTACAACAGATTTTTCCGTGGAAATTTGGGTGCGATTTTCTGAAGCACTGGAATCTTCCCAAAGAGGAACTGGAACACCTTTGGAGATTGAACTAGTCTGACTAGGGCTGGAAAGATCGTTATTTTCTTGCTGCTTGTAGCGATCTTTTGTGTGATTCGGCAAAGTTTCTTTGGAAAAGACGGCTGCTTCTAAATGTTTACTAAAAAATAGAAAAGATAGTTATCATTCAAAATGATAAAACATTGAAAGTCTTTTATTGCATTGTTAAATTAAGAAAATGGAAGCAAGGGACAATATACCATAAAAACATAGGCTCTATAGTCGAACACTTGGTCGATGATGATACTTTCAAACAACAGACCTTTATGGCCATTAGTCTGTGCTGGAGAAACATAGATTAATCTCTCGAGCATGTTTTGCGATTACTGGCATTAGCAAAAAGCTTGTAATTCAGCAAGCCAAGCGATCTTCAAAATTATTAGCTGCAAAGGAATTCCTTAAGAGGATTAAGATCAACATGATAATCATAATCATATTCTGTAGGTAGGTGAAAACTCACAAATAAATTTACGATTCTCTTAAAAAACAGTTAAAGTACTTCGTTACTTTAATAAAGACGGTACAGTGAATTCCTACAAAGAATGGCCTAAGAATTGAGGGACATAAAGGCTGCCGTTCATCAATAATAATGCTAACAATGAGCCTTTGTGAGGGTGGCAAATTATCCAGGCGACAATCCAAACAATGGCAGTAGACTTCTACTGATTCTTCTAGAACCATAATTGATTTCAGACTGTCTGAAAATGCATTATGGGATGCTTGCGTAGCGTAATGGCTCATTGTTAGAAATGTGTCTTTAAAGAACCTATTTTCCTAAAATAATCGTAAGGTATTCATTACTAAGGGTATTGACGTCATTTATTACCCTGGATACCACCTGACGCCCTTTTTGGTAAGACTTTCCAATCAAATTCACGACTGCTACTTGAAAGTGGCACTTTCATTGAAGCAACCAAAGCAACAAATATAGCATACCAAGCGAAACACATTCTCAGTATCCCGTTGAGCTGATTGGGTATTTTGATCCAGAAATTATAATGGTTAATGATCATATTGCAAAAAAAGATCTATCAATACAAAATCGCAAAACTATTCTCAAGTTCAATGAACAATTTTACCCATCAAGCATGCATTTTTTGCAAACATTTTCTGCACAAACATAACATTTTCTCTTCTCATGTAAATTAAATTAGTTGCGTTATATCCTAACAATACACAAGTTAACAATAGTCATCTTTAGAAATTATTGTCTTTCAAAACCAGTTTGACTAGCAACTAAAGATCAATATATATCAAGGGGCCTTTGGACCCTTTTCGAGTTTAGCAAACTTCGCTTCTTTGAGAATCGAACTTAATACTTTTTCAAAGACCTTGAAGGAGAATTGTCGATCTCCTTTTCCTAATCATATTATTCAGGCACCCTCAGTCAATGGTACATTAGTGATCAAGTTCTTATTTTTGCCATACGCTGGTAATTCAAATCCAAGTCCACCTACAAAAAGCCTTATGCCAAAATGTTTTTGAAGGCCAATCCAAGAATTGACTATACATCGTCGGGTACCAACAATTTATACTAACGATTTATGATGAAGAAAGGAAAAAATTCATCTTTGAACAGCGTGGTAGAGCAATCATTAAAACAATAGATCACGGATCACGGAATAATTTACCTTATTCAAAGAACACATTGAATATTTTAGCAGCCATTGCAAAGCCTCCATCGTATAGCAAATATACCTGGTGCATAATATTCACACCTAAAACTAACTAGCACCCGATAGCTTGTAGTGACTCTACTTAGGCCATTTTACACGCATTTCCTACTCCTTCATCGATCATGCCATTGCCATGACATAAACTTACGTCATTCACGGCATCATCTACCACAGGACATTCCCTTCACCATTGTTTACAAATTCACACATCTATGTCATGCTGACCTCATTTTCAAGCCTAGATCTCTCCTTCTCCGTTGCATCATCATTACATCATCCTAATTCATCCTTAGTCAGCAATTTGATATATGTATATAAGTATGTTAATTTGTATGTGAATTCAGTTCAGTTCAGTTCAGATCAGAGATATACAGCAATACACTGTCTCTCTCACTGGCTCCGTGTTCTCTGCACGTTAAATAAGATTCAGAGTAACATCAACGATGGAAAGTCACAGGATAAGATAGGAGCCACTGCAATTCTTGCTAAATAATATCGTTCCTATCAGCTTTTTTCATCATTATTGAGACCGGCAAGATAAATGCATTCTAAAAATTGACTTACCCAATACCGCCTGAGATTGGGGTTGAATGTTGGCCAGTTTGAATGACGAGATTCTTCGACAGCACCTTTGCCGCGTTCTGTGATGATGACATCAAACTTTGCATAATTATTGATGGTCCCTGAAAAATAATTTTCCATAGCTACAGGTGATATTTACTATCCATAATACTAGCTCTTCGATTATTTTTAAATGCCATGTGGTCAAAGATCTTCGAAATAAAAGCATATTAAATTTAAATTCAACGAAATACGGTGAATTCTCTCCTTTTGAACAGTTTCAAAATTTTGCTTGTAACAGTTCATTTGCTATTAACGATAAAGGTTTTTCAGCAGGTTAATAAGCAAAAAAAAACGATTAGATACAAAATATACTTACGTGGGAATTATCTGCCTCGACATCAGGAGTACTCATTTCATCGGCTAAAAAAAGAGTTTATAATGTGAAAGAGATATTTACCTGAAAAATCAAATAATACCTTTGACTTTATTTCAAGATGAATTTGAAAGAAGGGTGAGCCAATCTTGAATTGTGCTTTAGAGCAACATCAAGGCAAAATAAAGGGTAGTTTACATCTTCAGTCGACGGGCCCCTAATTGGATAGTTTACACTAGACAATCTTTATCCAAGTTGATAATCAGGAAATCATCGTTTTTTGAGTATCAGGAATATCCAAAAAGCTTTATTCAGGGATGGTAGATTACAATCAATGTTAACCGGAATAAAGTATATAGTTTTCTTCCATGTATAGTTTCCTTCCATATATAGTTTTCTTCCATATATAGTTTTCTTCCATATATAGCTTTCTTCCATATATAGTCTTCTTCCATATATAGTTTTCATCCATATCCATGGGCACCTTTTAAGTCATAAGAAGATCCAGCGTTATAAACCATCCTTTAAGTCATTACATTTACATTTTACAAATTACAAACAAATTACATTTACATCGAATAGTAAAAAATGATATTTCAAACAATTCTTATAAAAAAAATGATTTGAGGATGTCATAATCAAATTGCTTACCTTTTTCCTGGCTTTCGTCCTCGCTGTCAAAAGACTTTCGCCGTTTAGAGGCGCTTGAGATACTATCTTGCGAACCTCCACCGTCCGATATTTCCATATCAACAGTGGCGGTGCATTCTGCTTCTTCCGCCTTACCATCTCCATAACCTTGCGAATCCCCCACCGTGGCCAACCAACCTTTGCCTGGTACCTTGGCAGAATGTCCATGAACGGTTTGTGGTTTTCTTATATCGAAAGCGTGGTTTGGTAGAATTACGAGATCAGGAATTGCTGGTCTGCTAAAATCGAAATCGCCTGTTGGGGATGACGGGCTGTAAATTTCATCAAAAATTTGGTCTTCTGAAACCACACCTTCCCCAGCTTCTTTGGCTTTGTAGTTGACGGTAGATGCTTCATGTTTATCAGGTGTCTTTTGCTCAGGCACCTTTGTATTATTTGCTTTGGGAGCATTACTCAACGCATCTTCGTTGACACCATACTTCATTACCTCTTCCGTATCATACCAATTCACAGAGGTCGTTTGTCCGCGCGGGGGGACTACCACGTTATTTTGCACAAAAGGAACCGCCGTCGCGGTGTTTTTAACGTTGCTTTCTAGTCCTTTCAATGCACTCTTTGCCACCATTTCCTCTATAGTAGGTATAGGTTGTACATCCATGATATTGCCACTTGCAGAAGCACCAGCCGGGATTTTCTTTTCGTCATCTTTGCAGACTTGTGGGTGTCTTGAGTCTGGTTCTGCTGGTCTAGAAGACGTCTTAGAACGCTTGTTGCTCAATGGACTAAGATCACTTGCTGAATCTGATAGGGATAATGAAGAACTTCGTCGACGCCTTTTTTCTCTGCCACGTTTATATTTACCTTTAGGAGACTCTCTCTCGCTACTACTGTAATAGCGGGATCCCTCAGGGCTCCTTTCTCGCCTGTAATCTTTGTCATAACTTCTATCGGCTCTATCATTTCTTCGAGAATCTCTAAAGACGCTTTTGTGAGTTGCCTTCGTTCTTGATGACGAAGACGAGCTTCTTTGTCCGTCACCACTTCTCGATCTACTTCGCCTTCTCTTCCTTCCTTCCCTTACAACCCTTCGTGACTTCTTTTCTTTTCTTAGAGAGCTATCTGAAACACTATCTTGTTTTAATTCAGCAACCTTTTCAGCATTTTCACCATGATCGTTACCGTCACTGATCTCTCCTGGGCCGTGCAAACCTGCCTGTTTTTTAATTCTCTCTTCTCTAATTTCGTTTATTTTCTTTCGCAAATCTTCCTTCCCACTGGGTGGAGCAACCACAGGTACCCGTTCCTTACCCTGACTCATTCCCCTATTGGATGTATCTTTATCACTTGAAATAACTGTTATGAGAATATTGTCTTTGTCTTTCAACGAGCCACTGAGTTTTGGCTTCTGAGAATGATTTTTATCCTCTTCTAAACTTTCTTCTGTTGGGTGCTCGTCATGCTGAATTCGTCGCTTATTTAATTGAGACTTCTCTGTCCTACTAGAATCTGTAGAGACATCACTGCTCAAACTGGTGCATCTTTCGCTGTTAGTGTCTTCATTAGAGATGTGGCTTTTGTTCTGTTTTGAATCATTTTGAGAGGCTTCTACAGAATCCTTTATCTTTCCCGCTCTTTCTTCATTAACAGGCATTTCTGCCGAGCCTGATGCCGTTCTCAACTGACCAGACAATGTCCGGTCATTGAAAACTAATCTAGCATCGTTCACTGGGTCTTTTTTGCGCTGACTGTCACGCCCATTCTGATCAATTTGCTCTCTCTTCATCGTCTCGTCGTGGCTGCTTGGATCTTGATCACTTACTCCAGCATATTCAAGACCTTTCCGGCCTTCTTTCTTTCTCAGTTCAGTTGAAGGTTGACTGTCAACAGGTAGCACACTTGCATTCTCTACCTTCTTTTCTGTAGCAATACCGCTTGTCTTGCCAGCACAATCAACTCCTGTTAGCGCAGTTTTATCGTCTTCATGCGACCTGACAAATTCACCAATTTTTGATGTAGACACTTCGAAAGTCGAACCAACATGTGAATTGGTACTACGGTTCAGGGGATCAACAAGGTTAAAGCTCTGCATAAAGGCAGTCGGCGCTGGGGGTGCGGGCAGTGGAATGGATGGGATATTCGGTGCCAGACCTGAACATAATATCTGTTCAGCGTTGTTCAATGCATTCCCCTTAGTAAAACCTGGCAAAACTCCTCGTTGAGTAAGTTCTCTAACAATCGGATGGTTGGGAACAGTGGATAGGGCAGAAGCTCTAGCAGCTTGCACGAGAGCTGCAGTTTGAATTGGTGGGGTTGCAATAAATGCCGGATACAATACGCTTTGTGATTTTCCAGGGTCACTTTCTTTGGGGATGTCTGGTTGTGAATCTGTAGTCGGTGACACTGACAGCAGATTACGAAGTACTGGTGGTAATGGAGGTGGCGGTAAAGCTTGTTGGTCTTTTTCTGAACTTTTTCTAGCATTTTCATACCCATCAACCTTATTGCCTACATGTACTGTCGCTTTTGCATCGGATAAGGGTAGTGTCACTTGCGGTGCCGTAAGGACGTCTGAGGGAGCTTTAATTTGATTCTGATCTTGATTTTGGCCACTCTGTTGTAAACCTTCTGTTTGTGGTGAGGCAATACTGCTTTGTTTCCAAAAATGACTGGTGGAAAATCTGGAGCCTGCACCTTTGTCAAGCTTTTTTGAACCCAGTGGCTTACCAGTCTGAATCGCACCATTCTCTTCTGCTTTGCTTTGTACTCCATCCATTGATTTCTTAGGCTCATAACTCTGTGACGACCGAGGTTCCTTTGCCGGGTCTTTTACTGGCGGTTTGGAAACCTTCTCCTTAGTCTTTTCTTCATCTCTTTCACTACTAGCTTTCAAATTCTGACTGTTTAACACACTCTGCGCAGAAGTCGTATGAGACACCGATGTACATGCCTCACTCGATGTGCCACCAGCAGAAATACTTGACAATGGAATATTGTCTGGTATGTCACTACTGACCGCTTTAGTGGCTTCTAGTGCCTGGGTATTATCACTGGATATCTTTGGAATACTAAGCTTAAGGCGTGGGTCTCTTGGCTTTTCAGTAGCCATTATTTTCTTTGCTTCAACTATTGTTGGAGTAGAACTTTTCTCTGTATATAAAGTATCTGAATGAGTTTCCCAATTTTCGTTTGTATCCGTATTAGAAACAGACCATTGATTGGCGTAGCTGCGATGGCGATTTTCCAGCCTCACAGTTTCACGATAAAGATCTGCTTCTCTATAGTTATTCTCGCTTCCATCCTTGAGTCTATTTTCAGTTTCTAATTGGGACGGATAACCACTTTCTCTGGAAGCACCATCCAACAAAGATGAAGGCTCTGATATCTTTTCACGATATAGAGGAAGCTCTTTTGGATCAAAACTGGTATGGCGCTTTTCCAATGCCTCATCTTCAGGATAAAGATCTACATCCATGTGTCTATATTCAGGTTCATCAAAGTGTTTATTTTCGGTCCCAGATTTCTTTTTTTGCGATTGAAGAACAGCTCCTCTAGAAATGCTGTCTACATATGATGAGACTCTAGATACCTGATTATGGCTATAGGCAGATCCTTTAGCAACAAAGCTAGTATAAGGCTTGCCAAACCTTTCACTGTTGTAATAACGCTCTGAATCTCTGTGTCTATTATCGGTTCCATCCTTGTTTCCGCTTTCAGTTTCTGATTGCAACGGATAACGACTGTCTTTATAAACGCAATCAATCTGCGATGAAGGCTCAGCAATCTGTTTATGATAAGGATGGGGCCCTTTTGCACTGAATCTGTCAGACTGCTTTTCCGATCTCTCCTTTTCATAATGAAGATCTTCATCCCTGGGATATTTTTCAGCTTCTGTGCGCGGTGTAAACCCAGCTTCTCTAGAAATATTAACCATTTGGGAAGTCGGCTCAGATATTTGTTTATAATAGGAGTGGAGCCCTTTTGCACTAAAACTATCAGGACAATTTTCCAACCCCCTGTTCGCAGGATGAATATCTTCATCTCCATGTGTGTTGCCACTTGCACTCTTGAATCTTTTTTCAGTATAACGAGTTTCCCTTAAAATATGACCGGCATGTGATGCGGGCCTAGGCATCTCAGTACGAAGATTAGTAGCTAAGGTTTGAGATACCGAGTCGTATTGTATGTCTGGAGGTAAATCGGAACTCGCAAAGTCAACATTAGAACCTACTGCACTCACAACGTGCAGTCGATCTGACCTATCAGAAATTACATCAGGTCTTGATTTACCCTCAGCCTGTTTTAACGCATTGGTTCTTGTCAAGGTTTCCACACTACCATGGGATGTTGCAGAATTTCTACCAAAGTGCATTCTGTCCTGATCAACCCCGCTGTAACTAACTGACCTTTTGTTGCGCATGAAATGCTGCATCCTTGGGTCTTTTGGTTGCTTGTTTTTTGCAGCATGTGACAAAGCTTGAGGAACATGGGAATATGGAACCGGTACCGAAGGATGAGATGCAGAAATTGAACTTGATTTTGAGCGCGCAATATACCTTGGGTCAGTACGCTTCCCAATGTCTTGCTTGTGTTGTGCATGTAAATCTTCGTGAATATGTCTCGAGGTCTCTTGATGATCAGACCCTGAGCTGAGCAGCTGAATTCCTCCTGGTTTTGTTGTAAAATACGGAGTTTTGAAAATCGGCTTGTATCTCTGCTTTTCAGACAAAATCATTTCTTTATCAGCTGCATATCTGGCGCGTTGAATCCTGGTCGTTATTTCGTTCTTTTCAAGAAGTGAAAAAAATAAAGGGTATTCCGTCCATTCATTCTCGTCATCAAAAGGAGATTCCGAATCATTGACATCGACTACAGGAGGAGGCACAGCAACTGGTGTTGTCAGTTTAAGTTTCTCAAGTTCTAAAAGCCTTGAGTCGAGTATCAATCGAGCGTCTTTTAAGAACTTGTGATTCTCTCGTAAAATTGTGTGCTCGTCTAGAATACAATGTTCAGCAACAATTAAGTAAAAGGAAAAATTTCAAGTTTTTTTCCTCTGAAAATACTCATAGCGTTCTAAAAGCCAAAAAGCAAAAATAATCTTGTCTGCGAGCTAAAACGACAAATTGTCAATAGAAAACTAATTCCTCAAGTTTTATTAAAACGGTAAAAGCAAAATTCTTGAGCTCGTTAGTGTGAATGAAACTATAAGTAAAACAGTTTTTTTTAAAGGTTCTTCTAAAAGTATCTCCGTACAATGCCTGAGGCAGGTCGAAAAAATTTTTTTATTCATATTTTTCTTAAACATCAAGTAAGAAAAATTCGCTTCCTCTTTTAAACGCCTCCTCTATCAGGCTCCCCTTTTTAAACCCCCCACCCCTTTTAAATAGTCGGTCCCATTATAAAAGCATAGAAAATTAAAAAAAAAGTCTAGAGCGTTCTTTCAAAGTAATACAGTATAAAGAAAACATGTAGACATACCAAAGGTTTTGCGAGAAAACAATAGATGTAGTGTTTCCGGATATCCTTCGAGTGTTATCCCTATAAAAACAAAGAAATTTTGGATTTTGAAAGCTGAAGAACTTTACCTACTGGAAACGAATTCAGTACAGCGAAGCTAACCATCCTAAGATGCTAAATCTTAAGAGGGCCATAAAATAATTTGAATATCAAATAACTATTAAAATTACATATTCTTACCGAGCCTTTTTGTCAAATTGCCCGTTGGAAAAATGTACAAATCGTATCCCTGTGGCAGTTTTAACACCAAGACCTAGAAAAGAAATTGCGTGGAAAGTTAGAAAAGCAAATTGAATGATGTTAAACCAAATAATTGATACAACTGCCGCTCAATGAAGGGCGTCAGACAAGCCAATACTTCTTATTTATAAAAAACAATTATACCTCTGGTACACACAAAACACCGGAAAAACACCAAAAATTTTATGAAAATAGTTGGCCTCAAATTTTTTCATGCATTTTGCAGATAAACAGTTTTTGCTATTTTACACTATAAACAAAAGTTTTCCTAAAATGGAGCTAAAATAGCAATAAAACAGCTAAAATTGGAAAAAGTAAGCGACTAAGTCGTCACAAGTCACAAGTTCAGTTGTGACCTTGGTGAACAACGTTTTTAGTGACGTTTCAGCTATCTACCTGAATAAATCAGTGAGTTTGTTGCTTGTATGGCGGCACATGAAGGGCAATCACAATTAACCCGTTTACACGATTCTGGATTAATATTCTTTCGGTAAGAATAGTCAAAGATTTCCTTTGCTCGTGAACAAGGACAATCTTTGGAGCTTTCCGCCTCTATTTCGATGGCTTAACAGCTTAACTTCAAGACCCTTATGTTTTATTCATCATCTCGTTTCTTGTACTTCCAGCTCTTCAACACGTTTCATAAAACAATACTATTTCTAAAAGCAATAATGTCAATTTTTTTGCAGTAGACAACCAATTTTCGATATTATTAAGTAGAACAAGCACTTGATTTGGAACCACTTTCGGGTATATTCGAGAAATTAAGGAGTCTATGAACAGAAAAGTTAAAACAAGTTATACATACACACTTTTAAACATTACAAAAGCGGAAAGGATATTCTCAAAGAAAGAAAAGATGTACCTCTGATCTCTTCTTCAATGTTCTCTTCAGCAACGCAAATTTCGTACTCCGATTATTTTGCGGCCACATTTCACAATGCAGGTACTCTCTTCCTCTCTTCAGAACTGGAATGAGGGAAATGATATGTCAATTAACGTTGAAGCAACCGAACTCCCTCGAATAACAGGTTCATCTAAATAGTGTAGATAAAAATTCTTAGATTTAGATTTTTTCAAGTTGAACCTCTTTACTGAAGGGATTATAGTAAAAGCAATAAAAAGTAAATTGTCTGTATAAATAGTATTCAAAACTAGATTTAACAAGAATGGTTTCCTTAACGCATCAACAGACACGGTAGACCGTGAAGTATACTGTTTGTAAAAATATATTAGAGGTACAAACTTTAAAAATCCATTTGAAAAAAGCAAACATTTTGAAACTTACTAAAGCTTTTCGTCTGTTACTATTTAGTGTGAATAAAACATTAGTGCTCAGTTGTTCATCAAAATAGATCAATCATAAACGCGAGCACGTGACTGTAGAGGTTTCCCGATCAGTGCCGCTTGACTAAAGAAAATATTACTTATGAAGTCTTAAGGATGGAAATAAGCTCCTATTGGCTACACAATAGCGGTTTTTTTCATTTTTATATGCCTTGATTCAAAACTGCTTGATCGAACGACGATAGAGCTCTGCCAATTACCGTAAATTCTCTTTTAACCCCCCCCCTTCTCAACTATGCCCCCTCTCTTATTAACCCCCTTTCATATTAGCCCCCCTTTCAGAAGGAAATAAGAAATAAGAGATTTTTCCTCAATTATGCCTCTTTTTCAGAAGAAAAAATTTAATTAGCCCCCCTCTCAATTTAGCCACCCCATATTTTCACTGATGCCGAAATAAGTAAACTTGACAAAACACATATTTTCATTTTATCCATTGGTCGTTCAATACTTCGCATTAAATCAAAATTCACACCACGTATCTTCCAGTCACGACAAATCCGAAGACAAAGATTTGATGTGCGTTAAGCATGGGCCATGTGAGAGCCTTTTACCCCGGGGGGCTAGAAAGAGAATTTACGGTACCCAAAACATACCCCCGTTATGCTGTTTCCAGAGCACGCACTGTAATAGAAAGTTGCCGGTTCGGCCTAGACTTTGAAGTTTAGGTTTGCATGGTGGGGTTTCTCAAATTCGATACATCGGATCAGTTTTGCCTCCAGGTTTACTTCAGTCAAAAGCGAGCATCTGCTCGTTTAGGTTTGCCCCATTAGAGAATACTTAAAAACTCAATAACCTAAATTACCTAATTACAATGTGCAACAATTAAGCAATAGTATTAACTAGAAAACATTTCATTCGCATTCCATTCGATAAATCTAACGTATAGTTGAACAAGCTCGACCTATGAAAATCTGAATTTAACAATCTGACCCTGAACTCATGATTACTGTAATGCATTAACAAAGTCAAATGGAAAACCTAACTGCGCAGGACCGTTGCAAATTAAATGAATACCACTGTACACTCAGTTGTTTTTATAAAAAACCATATAAAAGAAAAAGAGCCCTAACATGACCAAAAATTAAGAGGCCATGAAACTGGTCGCCCCCGACCTTACGAAACGACTCAAAAATCCCTTTTAAAAAAATGGGGTGGAAATAATTATTTTCGACGATTAGGGACCTATTTTATATTTTAATTGACAAAGATAACAAGAAAAAGAGTTCCTTGGGACTTTTAAGGTGTTTCGTTTCATGTTTCTTTCGTTAGGTTTTCCTAGCTTAGCTTAAAATAAGTGTAGTTTACCAATGACATAACGCTGTACATTATCAAGTCGATTCTACAACGAGAAAAGTCAAACCTTTTGGACACTTGGAGTTCAATGGCGGTGAAGTATACAATGAATGGGGCAGTGCCTCCTCCAGAGTTGAGAGCTTCATTTTCATCCGCAAGGTCAAGTTGTTGCTAAAGTTATAAAAAAGTACGTAGCTATTAAAACTACTGCACAAAACATGTCAAAGGTTTTCACAAAGGTATCATTAAATTATTGATAAAACCAAGAATGGCCTGAGTTAAAAGGAAGATTTTTAAGAAATTACTGTTGTTATGAAAAAAGACTTGATCATTATTCAATAATATCGCATTTTTTGGCTTGATGCAGACTGCCCTTTGTCAGTTATCACAACTGGGTATAAGTGTATGACTGGAAGTGAGTTGTCATTGGTTTCTTATATCGCCCATTGAGGTCAAATCTTTAAAAGGAGCAGGAATGAAAGGTTTTATAATACAGAACCTGAAATTTCGTTCGATAGGCCTATTATGTATATGCTTTATAAGCAAATGAATGGTAAAAGAAAAAGAAGATTTGGAAACAGTCAACATGCAAATCAACTTGCCTGTATATAGGCAAATGACCAGAGAATTCTTTGGTATGGCATATAATCTTCACATCAGTCAAAATCGTCGATTTGTTATACAGCTTTCCTGTCCAGACGGTTAGGGAATTCTCCAATTCCTTATAATAGCGCTCATCGTTTTCTGCATAAAGGTAAATAATACTAGAGCTGTAGCATTTGACTATATAATCGAGTACAATATTTTTAGGTGCTTCATGCACAGAGGAATTCGTTTTAATTAAAGCTTATCACAATCGATAATACTGCAAAATTACGCTCTTGAGATAAAAGAAAAACGGAAGCATCAACAAACCTGAAGACTCTGGCCTAGGTTTCGCTATTGGTACATTTGTTTCTATGGATCTTTGCACTGGCACCTTGCAAAAAATCAATCAAAATTATAAATTCCACTTCATTTTCAACGATACTCAAAAGTCTTAATTTTTTAAGATAACCTTATTGTAGATAATGTGGGTCGTGCTACTAAAAGTAATTTGAACAGGGTTGCAAAAAGTACTAGGTTTCAAGACAGTTTTTAGAGGTCTTTTAAGGCAAAAGGCAGAAAACGTTTAAGCAAAAGAAAAAGTTCCCCGGCAAGGTAAAAAGGAAGTAGAATATTATATCTTTAGGTGCCTAAAAATATGAACAAAACATCACTTTAATGTTTGTTAAGTAGGAGCATTTTAACAACATTTACGGTGATACTTACAGAAACCAATAATTTTCAAACAGACTCTGTACACAGGCTAAATAAAAGAATATTCAAGGGCTGCAAAAAGTTATCAGGACATGGGTGCTAGGTTGCCAGGAAATTTTCATAGGAAGTTTTCTAAAAGCGACTCTATTGGATATAAATGAATTAATTTTGAATTATTACAGCAAGGGATATATTGCTCTTGAAAGTTTCAACTCAAAACTTAAACCAAATAAAAAAATATTAACTTTGTTTCCAATTTTGCCAAACAACATGCTGCAATTTTTTCAAAGGAGAGAAAACTCCCTCTAATAATACATTCCCAGAACGAAAAATATCTTGCAGCAATGACGTTTTCTCAAGCAAATAATTAAAATCCTCACTAGTTAAAATATCATTTCAGTTAAAGGCCACAATACTAGATAAACATAATTGACTTTTCTACAAGATTATTCTTCGCTGTATTCTAAAACATCAAACATCTTCAAAAAACCGTAATTAGGAATACTAAAAAGGGCCAAACAACCAACTATTCAGTTGCAATATATTCAATTTCTTAATACCAATGGGGCCTTGAAGTGATCCGTGATGCCTTTGTTGCTCCCTCTTCAAGGCATGCTACAATGCGGTAGATCTTCGTACAGCCTGTGATCCAAATTACACTATAGTTCGTACTGTTTGAGATATCACAAGGTTGCAATTTTTCAGGCAAGATAAGGCAGTTTTTATACCGTCCTAACTAAAACAGCAAGACAAGGCTTGGTTTTCTCGGGTATAACAGATTTCAGTATTGCCACGGGTATGTTGATTGTTGTGTATACAAAAACATTAATACTTGGCACAAATGTTTGTTAATACCTTAGAGATTATTTCAGCAGCCAACAGTTCTGGTGGTGACTCTTGGATAAGTCTATAGAAAACAACTGCATACGGAACACAGTGCCTCGGCCTTTTGACGTAGAACTCTTCCAGCTCATTGTTCATCTCATAAAGGTAGATCTGTGAAAAACAGAACAACTTTTTCAATTAATAGTAAAGCTAAAATGGAGGTACTACTCAATTTATTATTAAAACAAGGCATGTGAGCTCATTTTCATCCTTTGCCAACAAACATTTCTTACCATTGGGGGACTGACTAGAAGATGGGGAGATGTCTAAAACCAATTTTTTTAAGTCCAATTATCTCTGAACCAATGGTAAAATCATACGATACCCCCTCGAGCAATGAGTTAAGAAAAATTAAATGCAGGCAGAGAAAGATATTAGTTAATAACAAATATATAATTGAAATAAATTTAGATTAACCTGACAAGAGTCAAAAATTCTTGAATAAGCGCTTGGGTTTTTGACAGATTTCGGTTCTGTCTTTCTAAAATCTCTTGAAATGTGTCCCTCGTGGTCCGGTGTTGGCTCTATAAGGTCCCCACTGTTTCCATGCTGCTCAGCAATGGACAAAATTCGACCCTGTTATCAAAGAATTTTAAGTAAGAATAGTGAGACTCTATAGAACAAAAGAGTTGAATATTTCTTAAAAAATTGAAACAAACCCACAATAATGGTATCAGATCATTAAGTTTCAAGGGCCTAAAATCTGGAATTCACTCCCGGAATCAATAAAGACAGCACAAAATACTAGACAATTTAAGTATTTGATCAAAACTTGGTTCCTTGAAAACAAGTGCGCATGCTCGTTTTGCAGTAAATGAACTTTCTTATGCAATCTTTGAAATTGCTCCATGTTAGTCTTAATAAGTGTATATTCACTATTGTAAAAACTAACGTTAAATAATCTACAATACAATACAATACTCAGAATCTTTTTCAAAGGATGTATATATTTCAGCAAATATTTAAGTTATTACGTTTAAAAATTGTTGCAAAGTTTTAAATCAGTTGCAAAATATTCTCCCTTTTTTAGCTGTGAGATATTGTGTAGACACGTGGCGAATCGTTCCGCAAGGCGTGTGGGGGAAACGTGCCAAGTTTCTAAAGTTAATAAATGTACTCAATTACTTATCTATATATCCAAACAAAACAAAAAATGGGTTGAAAAGTCGCTAGGTGCGTTTCAGGAAAAAGTATGAATAGTATGGATGTAACACCAAGGTATCACATTTTGTGGTGCCAGTGGAACGAGTATTTATGAAAAGATTGTAGAGTTAAATATCACTGTTTTTTAAAAATAATTTCTTGGGTGGCTCGTTTGATGGCCTAAACATACACTTTGCAGCGACAGCCTCAATTCTCACATATATATAATTCACAGAATAAGGATTCGCTGTTTCTATTTAAGGCAAAGTTTATTCTAACACAAAAAAATAACTATTTCATCTTTGAGCTATATGTCATACCTCGATAATATGCCATGCAACCTTCAGGAAAGATTGATCACAGCATAGCAAACCAATACTTGACATTTTTACTTTTATTGTAACAAAAGAAATATTCTTACTATAAAGGTATTCAAAAACATACTTTGATGATTTGGAAGACAACCATGATCATCTGCTTATTGTATTTCAGAGGGAACCTTCTCAACACATCAGCACACCGAGAGAGGTATACACCTAAAATTCGTGAAATGATAAATTTGAATCAAGCTGTGAAGAAGTACGCAATTTAGTAATTCCTGAATAAACGATTGCATGTAGGACATTGGAATCGCACTCGATATTTGTTATTTATCAAAAGTCAAACTTAGGACAAGACGGGCCATAATATGACAGCTTTCTGTACCACACAGGTTAAAAAAAATCTCAACGATCTTTGCATGTTGCTTTGCATTGTCTAGCTGAAATAAAAAAATTACGTTTCTAAAGCTATCAACTTTTATATTTAAGAGGATTTTCTTCAAAAATTTGGCTGTTACACAGAAGATAAGTAAATACAAGTCACAAATTTTTCATGCATTCAAGCTGAAACAAATGAGAATATAAAAAATTAATGGAAACTGAATATTGGATACTTCAAATCAGGAAATAAGGCTGAATATCTTCACTTTTTAAACCATTTGCACAATTCAAAGATAACCTATCTTGGTATTCAGCCCAATCTCCAGTGAGAAAAAGTCTTGCGAAATACTTCATGTGAAAAAATTCATCTGAATGCTTTTGTTGAACTCACGGTTAAAATTTGGAAGCATGATAAATGGATATAAAACATGATTGGCCGCTGAAGGATTTCGCAAGCGAAAAGCGAAAAAAGTTAAACTCATTTTTACTTTTTTTCGCAGGGAGATTAATCGCGAAAAATCCCAGTAAAAGTTTACTGCGCATGCCCACAACGTATTTCGCATGAACTTTTTCGCATTTCGCTGGTTTTTATTTTACTGCAGATTGGGCTTTAAGCAAACTCTCCATTACTTCCAAATGGATATTTGGTCAGCTCTGGAGGCTTAAACTTTAGTCAAACATTAAAGTGGCTTCCATTTTTTTAACAAATTAATGTATTTATTATCTGGAATGTCAATACATTTCAGAACAATAAAACTAAACAATTATAAAAAATATCAATAGAAGAAAACAAAAAACAATTAACTAAGCAGCATTTATTTAGCAGAAAAAGCTGTTGAATTACATAAATTGCTAAGAAATTCGCAAAATAGTTTTGTTGTTTTACATTCCTATTTTGGACAATTTCCTGGATAACCCGGCTTGCTGTGAACTTCAAATAAGCTTATCTAGTTTCATAAAGAATCATGGCAATCATTTCCGCAAATTAAATCCGCCTTTGACCAAAGCCAAAAATCTCTTCTCAAATCAATCAATCTCTCTCTCTTTACATTCTTCTCTCTAAAAATGCAATACAGCTACTTCAATGTATTTTTACCTTACATAAAATAATTACTTGTAACAAGAAACGGCTTTTACAAACAAATTCAAATGTTTCTTTGTAGCTGGTCACAAATTCTGATCAAGCATTAACATCGAAGAGTGGACTGTATTTCTTTGCATTCTAATGTGTCAATTTTGGCTTAACTAGTGAAAGTTTCTTTGTTGTACACATATAATTATAGCTCCCATAAGACAAGCAAGAAGTTGAGAAGTTTTGAGCAACTGTAAGACCTAACCTAACAATGTATCCAATTTACCCACAAACTATCTAACAGGATACCCTTTCAAGGTTCAGATATTGTGTAACATCGTGATAAATTGTGTTGCAAATGCAAGCAATCTGCAAATAATGCTCATACTGCATACTTACCACAAGCTGGATCACCAAGGCAAGTTACCTTGGTGTCGTTACCTGTCAGCAGGCCTGTCTTGCAAAGTTTCTTTGCCTATGAAGAGAGTATGAACCATAACAATTTGAATATCTAAATAACAAAAATCAAACTTCTGGCGTCAGAAAGCAATCCTTTCAAATTTCTCGAGTAAAACCTAAACAAAGATTTCAAATGAAAATTTAGTTAGGGAGATATTAATAAAATAGCCAATTAATTACATTATTATAATTGAAATTGGGAAACTCTGGATGTAATTATTCCATCATATTTCACTGTTTGGTGCTTGCTACAAGTCATGTCATCTGTGCTAACAATACCAAAAAATCTTTTCCCAGACTAACCTCTAGATAGCAGTTGGGTTTATCCTTATTTGTTAACTATTCATATGATAGGGTACTTCTTTGAGTTGTTAATAAATTAATAAAACAAAGCTGCTTTGATGGCAGATGCAAATTTCTCACATAAACTTATAAGTCAAAGAAAAATTAAAATAATGTTCTGAGCAGATGGCACGAACCTTTGAAAAATAAACAGGCAATGACATGTTTATAATTAGCAAAAAAGTCAGTACTTTACAAACCCCTAAAGCAAAAGGAAAACAATATTCTAACACATTGAAATGATATCTATATCAAAATGTCTAAAAGCAATTGTATGATCAGCTGAAGTCTAGCCCTTACATTTGTAGTTTAAATAAAGATGAAAAACAGCAACTCCCTCTCCAGCCAAAAAAAAAATTTTTTTTTATCACCTAAATAGTTAGCATCTGGTGTGTGTATTATGACAAAGTCGTTGTTTTTGCAAAATTCCAATTAGTTTAGAAGTTATAAGGCTTTAAAGTTGCACCTTTCCAAGAAAAAAACAACAAAAGCCGAATCAGTTTGGTGACATTCTGACGTCTCAATGTGCGGCTCTCGTTTGCCATGAATTTCGTATATCTTCAAATGAATCGTGAAGGAGTCATGGTCACCATGGATAACTGTGGGTGTGTCCATGCTGTGTCACAACTTTGTTTCGATCACCTGTGTAGGCCTGTAAAGCTATGGCTTCCTGTTCCAGCTCTTTCCTGGCATATAATTAATCAAAATTGATACTCATGTTGTTCTCCAGAAACGATGAACAGCTAAAGGCTTCAGAATTGGTGTCTAAAATACCCAAACTAAAAGCCGGTGGAACAGAACTGAGAGTACCATCACTTGCAGTGTTCAATTTGCGAATCTCCGTCGTTCGATTCGGTTTGAGGCGAGACTAACGAAATACACTGTGACATCAAATTGCGTCACAGTGTCACCAAACCGAAAACTTTTTGTCAGTTAATTCAATTTAGATATCGAAATGCAAGAGCTTATATCTCACAAACTGTAAAAAATATCGAAAAACAAATAACGAATTCGTGATCAGCAGGTTCAACTCCTTGAGCTTAGCCAATAAAATGAAAGTGCAAATTTTGGCTGGAGAGGCCCTTTAAGGAGTAAAGAAACAACCAACTGTACAAAATAACATTATGATAAAATTATGTAAGCATGCAGCAAAACTTATGGCTACAAACCTGATCATGATTATCAACTGTTTTGAAGCCATATATCATCTGCTGTCTTAATGTACTTTCTTTCTGCATTTCAAGCTTCTTTTGATTGAACTGTGCAAGTGAAAAAAATAACATTAAAGTATGTAACGAATATGCTTGCCTTTAGAAATTTTTTAACACACAGACACTCTTTTATAAATAAAATAAAAAAAAGAAAGAGAAAAAATACAATTGAATAGATATTGACAAAAAATAAAAAAAATTAGTATAGGGCTTTCACCAGGCCTTGTGAAGAGCAAAAAGCAGGAGCTTGACAAACTGAACGCCTTCAACTTTCTAGGTGCTCAATTGAGCATCATCAAATATTGTCTATAACAAAATTTGTTTTTTTGCATTTAGTTTTAAGACAGCATTAACATGCTAGGTGCACAATCAATCAAGCTCCTAGAACTTTCTAGGCGCATGCAGAGTTGCTCGAGCAACTCTCCTCAAAAGGCTTGGCTTTCATGTTCAGAAATTAACTTGCATGACAAGAGTGGGGCATGCAAATCAAATTTATTGGATAGCACAAAACAATAAAGTTTTCTATTAAAAACCAAACTTTATCATCACTGTCTGACTCTGGAAAATTGGTAAAAATGGAAATTTTAATTCTTATGAAGTTTGGATGCTTTTTTGATTATTTATTTTCATCACTAGAAGATTTTTCTCTTCAAAGTAAATATTTATCACTAGATGTGTGGAGAAATAATCATCTCTGGGTGTGTGATTAATCCCCCCAAAAGGAAAATTTGGGTGGGTGCCCCCACTGAAAACCCTGGGGTATAAAATGTCATCAAAAGATTAGTGACCACTGGTTTAAAAGTTTATACCAGTATAAACTTTTATACAAATCTTATAAATTATAACATTAGGATCATTTGAGAAGATGGTTCAAATTTGATTAACATAAATTTAAAATACCATGTTATGTACTTTATGTTTTCAGAAGCATATCTAATTGCTCTCAGTTGCTTTTTTGTGTGCCATGCCCCCCATTGAAAACCTTATCTTGAAGATCCAGTCAAATAAACGATTTACCGATTACTAGCGCCATTATGAAATGAGGGAAAATTTCACTTGCCCCAAGCCCCTGAACAAAAACAAAAATTTACCAATTTTCAACACTCCAATTTTACACCAAAACAAAGCTACTTTTACCTAAATTCTAGTGCAAAGTAATATCTAATCACTAAAGTATGTAATAAATACTTACTTACAACGATTTATTTTGTTTTTTGGTCTTCCACTGCCACAATTGACGACGAGGTACAAACATCCTAAATTCATGGTGTTCCCTTTGATCGGGAATATTTTTTGGCCACGTAGGCCCAGAACGTCCAGAAAACGTTTAAATGAATCCTCTTGAGTTTGCCTCTCAGTCAATATACCTCTATTAGAAATAGGCATCAGATTGGCTGAAATACAGAATGCCAAAGATATCCCCTTTTTGATCAGCTGACTCGAGTAAATGCGTCATTGAAGGCGTGTTCTCCCCGCGAGTGCGTGACTCAAAGTTCTCTAAATACGCTATTCTATGCATAAGAATGTGTGGAAGAAAGCTTCCTTTTTCGTTGTATTTCCAATAAAATATTTTAAGTGGGTGTATTGTGTATTATGATATTTTTACTTTAAATTATCTTGCTTTGCTCTATGAAGATTTATACTGAGTTTTGCAAAAGTACGTATTACAAACATCAACATGAGTAAGAGAAAGGAGAGTTGTTGTATTGGAAGCTGCAATAATAAGTCTTGGCTTTCAGATAAATGGTGTGTGAGGGGCCACGTTGAAAATTTGAAATTTCATGCTTTTCCAAAAGATTCGAACAAATTTCACCAATGGGAAAATGCAGTTGCAAAGGGCCGCGTGGACTACAAGATTTGTAATTCATCTCGAGTTTGTTCTAACCATTTTACTGATGGCAGACCTACATTCCAAAACCCATACCCAACATTATATTTGACACCAAGTGAAAGTGCTGAGAAAAGGACTGAATTTAATCGTTCACCGAAAAAGCGAAGAAAATTAGAGAGACAAACAACGGAAACCCCCAAAAGCATCAGAAAGTCCATGTCATTGTCAGCATCAGAAAGTCCCAAAAAGAGCAAAAGAGCAGAGCCAGAACTTAGATTGAGTTTCTGTTTCAGTCAGCTGACAAGGGAATCTGACGTTCGATTTTATACTGGCTTTAAATCGGCAAAATTGTTTCAAGGCATTTTTGAGCATCTTCAGCCAATTGCCTCGCAAATAAGCTACTGGAGCCCATTCAGTCCTTTTCTCAGTATAAATCTTCATAGAGCAAAGCAAGATAATTTAAAGTAAAAATATCATAATACCCAATACACCCACTTAAAATATTTTATTGGAAATACAACGGAAAAGGAAGCTTTCTTCCACACATTCTTATGCATAGAATAGCGTATTTAGAGAACTTTGAGTCACGCACTCACGGGGAGAACACGCCTTCAATGACGCATTTACTCGAGTCAGCTGATCAAAAAGGGGATATCTTTGGCATTCTGTATTTCAGCCAATCTGATGCCTATTTCTAATAGAGGTATATTGACTGAGAGGCAAACTCAAGAGGATTCATTTAAACGTTTTCTGGACGTTCTGGGCCTACGTGGCCAAAAAATATTCCCGATCAAAGGGAACACCATGAATTTAGGATGTTTGTACCTCGTCGTCAATTGTGGCAGTGGAAGACCAAAAAACAAAATAAATCGTTGTAAGTAAGTATTTATTACATACTTTAGTGATTAGATATTACTTTGCACTAGAATTTAGGTAAAAGTAGCTTTGTTTTGGTGTAAAATTGGAGTGTTGAAAATTGGTAAATTTTTGTTTTTGTTCAGGGGCTTGGGGCGAGTGAAATTTTCCCTCATTTCATAATGGCGCTAGTAATCGGTAAATCGTTTATTGTTCAAACTTATCTACAAATCTGGACAAAGCTGTTGTGAAAGATGCCAAAAGACATAAAGGTTTGTTGAGACAGGCAAAGAAAATTTCTTATCTTCTAATTTAAAGCTTGGAAATGTGGACTCCAAAATTGAATTGCAAAACTACTTTCTTACCTGAGAAACAAGTTGTTCATTGTTGACTCTTTCAATACTGTTGATCTGCAAACCACACTTTGAATTCCATAAAGAATGCTCAATTTCTGCTGAAATACTTTTGTACTCTCTAGAGTTTTCATCACATCTTTCAAGAAGCTCTAAAACAACACAAACAAGCGCAATATCAAACCTGATTTCTTTGGCTTGCCTCTCAAAACTCACTCATTTCACAGGACACATCCAGGAAAATATGAAAATAATTTACACATACATAAGAAAATGAAGCAACTTTTCTCTTCATCCTGAATTTTTTCTGGCAAGATTTTATTGCTTGCAATGACTTTTGAGGCAAACAATAGCTTGTGCTTGCTTTCAAGCCCCTTCACTACCAGGGATGAGCTGTAGAGTACCTTTCAATTTACAAAAACAGGCATGTTCTTGATTGGGAAGAATAAAAAATTGGTGAGAGAAGAAGGGCCACTTTTGTGTGCTGCAAGCTTATTGTCAAATTGAAAAAATCTCTTCTTTTTAATCACATATATTAACTGAAAGAATGTGTTCAAAAATTCAACCATTCAGTACTATCTCAGTGCTATTTTAAAAAACAGTATTATTCCTGGCTTCTACAGGGATGAAACTGTATTTTCTACAAATCTTTGCACAATTCTAAGAAAGCACAATTATTTACAATTTGGACTATGAAATTTGTGTTTGAAGAACAGAAAAACAGAAAGCACCAAAATTGCCATATATTTTATGCTTTGAGAAACCCCACAGAAATTTTCCTAAAGAGTGATTTTATGGCAGAATAAATTTCAATACAAGCCTAAGAGAGATAAGAAATGAAAACAACCCTAGCCAACCAGAGCTGTTCTTCACGTCAACCATTCATTGGAATAACATAAAGCATGCAAGCAATTGAAAATATGGAAATTCAAGGACTACTACAAAAAACCGTTGTATCGTGATCTTATGCCCACAGCCCTGATAAACTGTGTCAGTACATTTTGAAATTATAGCAAATAGGGTATACATGTGCAGTTTATTTACCACGAGTGACTGCCTTTTTCGGTATGGTAAACTTTTTTCCTTCACGCGGCATGATCGTGTCTGCTAGCCAAGTTCTCTTCCTGAATTTGCACCTTGACCTAGAATCAGCATTTAGGTTTGATTCATATTGAGATATAGCCTGTCTTTGGCAGAATTCAACTTCGCGGCAGTACACGTAAATTCACATTCTAGATCTCGATTGATAGGGCTCCTTCCATCAGGATATCAACAACACACAACGAGGCTCCGCACATGGGCTTCGGCAAGCAGCACTGCAAACCTTTAGACTAAGAACCGATCGTAATTCAAGAAATTTTCTGATAAACTGGATACTAATTCTCCTTTAAAGGCACCCTCGAAGATAATATTGCATCATCTGCTTTGCTTTAAGTATATTTGCATCTTGTGGAACTGTCTCTTCCCACCTTCCATTAGTGATTTTGGGAATGAATATGACCGACGAGGGCATGCGCATTGGCATAAATGGTTGCTGTTGTTACAGTCTTGTGCCTGATCGGTGGCAAAGGAAAATGGACAGCCTACAGCCAGTTGGGGGCAGGCACGGGGAAGGGGGTTATTGGCTAATTTTTTGGTAGGGGTCTGCAGTGAGCACATTCAAATTGGTACCGTTGGCTAGACTAAGGATGTATCCCACTTACTGATCACTGGTGGATTATTTGACTTTGTTTATCAGTTATTTTGTCAGGCCTCGTGTTTTGCTCAGGAGAGACTGAGGGAGCTTCAGCCCCAACTAATTTCAAAAATGTACATAAATTGATAAAAAATTGCTTTGATCTTGGTCTCTAGTATGTTTAGCCCCCCTCCTGAAGCGTCTTAGCCCCTCAATCTGTAATATGCTGCGCGGTCCTTGGACAGAATCTGCTCTTTTAAGTTAAATTCACAAAATTCTCATTACACTTACAGTATAATTTTGAACCATTCTCGTTCATCCATCCCAATGACAAATATCTTTTGGTGCGATTTTGCCAAAAATATTTGTTACCAGAGTGCAGAGTCGAAACTGAGTTGCTTTATTTCAAAGGAAGTTTAGGGTTTACATAGCCTGTGTCCCATAGAAAAGTGGTTTGATAACTTGATACATTCCCAATAAAAACAAGCATTCTTTAACTTTTCCGAGGCTTGATGCCCGAGGCAGGGAGGGGGGGGGTCCAGGCTAAGTTGATTCATTCGTTTAAATCTTTTACTATTTTCAAGCATAACTTTGTTACATTTGAGTAATTCCATTTCAAAACAGAATTCATTACTTTATTAGACCATGTTCACAAAAGTTACAAATGTGTGTGCTAAGCGACGGCCCTCCTGCCTCTCCCCAGGGATAGGCTAGCCTATCAGTGGACTTACTACAAGCCCCTCTCTATCCAGCCAGATTACTAAATGGATAGAGAGAGACTTGTAGCAAGTCCACCAACCTATCAGTGGACACAATAAGCAAGGCCCAAGGGGCCTAGGTACCACTTTTCTTGAGAATCATTTAAAATGTTACTTGAAACCGAGGGCCAGTTTCCCGCACCCTTAACTTTGCTAGGGCAAATATGCAGCCACCCTTGCAAGTTTTTATATGTTCTTCAAAGTTTAGTTTGCTGCAAGGATAAATTTAAGGTGCAGTGATGACCAATTTGTGCAATGATGAATCGAAAATGTGCAGTGATGAATTGAAAAATGTGCAGTGATTCCACTTTTCATTTGAAATACTCCAAATACTACTGATTTGGATGTTTTTAGAATAAAGACAAATGAATACAAACTATAATCGATAGTCAAATGAGATAATAGAATCAACCTACGTGTGAAACTCAACTAAAACCAGCTTTAACAATAAAAATAATATACAGTTAATCACATACGCACTTCATAATGCAAAAAGTGTTTTTTGCATTATGAAGAAAATAGAAAAAATACTGAAAAATAAATAGATAAAAAGAATAATGCAAAAAATCCTGTTATTGCTAAGATTCCAAGGAATAAGCCGAGGTCTGTGGGGTCGTATAAAGTAATTATGTGAATTTTAAGATTGGAATTAATCAAATGTAATAAAAGCATGCCTTGAAAAAAACAAAATGTTTTAAATGATTGCAAGAAAATAACTGCTAGAAATCTATTCTATTCATATATAGAAATTCTGAAATATATTTTAAGCTAATTCAAAGGGCGTAGTCACAAAATTTTCTGCTCGCTCCGCTCGCAGGGAAGCTTCTTCTTTCGGATTATCCTAGGGCCTCCGACAACTTGGGCTTTCTGTATTGCATGGCCAAAAACACTCAATGCCACTACCACCATCAAATGGCGGCCTGCTTCTCTTCTTTTGTATGAAACACAATACACCACAATAATTGGAGTGAATACAATTTCTATCTTTTAATATCTGGATAAGAATTTTTTTTGGCTTTGGGTATCCATAAAGCTTTTTGGCCAGGCATAGTTTTGAAAGATTAGTAGCAGTTACAGATTGGTATCATATAGACAAACCTCAGATTACATAAAAATATAAGGCTGTGTTTTGGACAGTTCTTAGAACATTGAAATATGTAACATGATTAGAGATCAAGTCTCTAAAAACAGCATTTTATGAAAAGAAACAGATGATTTGCCTTTCGAGGATCAATCAATAACTTACAAACACAGTAATTGCATTCCACTCAATTTCCCCCATTCGCAGAGAAATACTTTTTGCTTCTCTGTTTTCTTTTGGCCAGGTTTGATATGTTCTGGTAAGATTTATACATAATCAGTGGTAGCTGTAGTTAGGCCAAATTACACTGAAAATGTCCCTGAAAACAATTTAAAACGTTTTTGGTCCGTCCAAAGAGGTCCAGTCAAAACTTAGCCACACCCTTAGCCACACCCAATTTGGCCCCAAAAATCTGCGTTTTACGCTGTTTTGTGCAGTGATGAAAATTCCTTAAATTAATGCCTGGTTTGCTGTCTGAAGTTATTCCAAGTAGTTTGGCCTTTTTCGTCTCTTCAATTGTGGAATTTCTTATTCTGGTTTTTGTTCTTTCAGTTCTGGTTTGTTTGTGTTTTTGTTTTTTCCCTGGTTTCGTCTTACGTGCATCAGTGACTCATGCCCCCCCCCCCCAACTATTTGAATAATATTTTTTGAGATTGCCATCTCATTGGGACATTTACGATAATGCCTTTTGTCTGGGACATGTGCCCCTCCAAAATGCCCTTCCCTGTACTGGCCCCTCCAAATTTAGAATTACTCTAACGCCCCTGAAACTAATGCAGCTCTTTTCGCTAGTTTCCTTTATTTATAAGAAAGATTTATTTTCTTTTTACAATCAAACAGTAATGTCATCTGACTTTGTTTTCCTTTTATCCTGTTTTGGATTGTTCAAGAAAATAAACATCATTGGGGGAAAAATAGGGGTAGGAAGTGAAGGTTTCCAACGCTTCCTGCAGTGAGCAGTGTATGATTGTAATAAAAAAGTAAGTCTTTACTGCTAGGTTTTTTAATCTACTATGTATTTGTTCAAAGTTTGATCCTATTTTGTGATATGATGTAAGATGGACATGCTGCACATTGAAGTGAATTGTTCCACCATATTACTCTTCAAGAAGGATCATCGCCAGCACGTATGGCTAGGAAAAAGCCAAAATTCAAACGGGAGTTTACCGCATAAATTTAGCTATGCAGACTTGATTGATGGGCAATCTTGACGTTATTATTCAAGAAGCTTATTCTGGATCATTTCAAAGTGTTCTATCGCTATCAAATCGCTCATTTATTGTCTTTAAAACTAAAGTGTCACGGAAGAGAGGCCTTTTTAGGCCCGTTTAGGACTAGCTTTGTACGAAGACTTGGATGTGTATGGCAGCATTATAATGTCCTTATTTGTGAACGCAGTTAACAAAACGATGGGATCTGCTCTATCCGTTGTTTGGGACTATGGAAAATGGATGTTTGGATATGGTACAGACGAACGAAACGATGGTACTGGCATGTCTTGTGCAACACCATTTGTGTTTACAAGACGAAGGTATGGTTGCGGTGGCAAATTTCATTTAAATAAAACAACTAGGGCTGGAAAAAGTGCGTGAAGCCACGAAGCAGCTTCTCAAAAAGCTCGCTTGTCCAGAAAAGGAAGAAAATAGGAAAGGAGAGAAAAGAAGAAAAAGAGAGAGAAAGGGGGAAAAGAGAGGGAGGAGAATGAGGAAGAAAAACGGTAATAAGATAAAAGGAGAGTAATTTGATAGCCTGAAAGATAAGGAAAATGACAGAGTAAGACAAAGATAAATTTTTTTTGAAAATTGGTGAACTGTAAAAATTTCCCGCTCTCCTTAAAATAACTATCAAAACTGTATCCATTTTTGCCTGATCTGTCAAAAACTGAAATTTGAAGGAATGGCAAAATCAGAATCTTTTAATCACAAACTTTAAGTCGGTAATATTAAGAATAAGCTGTCGATTGCAAAAATAAATCTTCAAAATTCAGAGGAAGATTTAATCCCTGAAATTTATTTTGTAAAATTTGGGGTAAGGGTTTCATCTGCAAAAATTTCTTCCGCATAAAATCTTTGAGGTGCTGATTTGCAGAAAGTTATATTATAAATCACATTAGATGCAAATATATGTATTATTGCATTGTATATGAGGGAGCTCGTTCCCTCAGTAAATGTGACGTGACAGTAGGACAACTCGTGACAGTAGGACAACTCGAAAGAAACAACTCATATACTCCTTTTGCGTAGGTAAATAGAGTAAGTAAATTGGTAGTAAACAGGTTTTCGAAATATTTTCCATTAATGTCGTCCAGCCTATCACAAATACCCAAAAAAATAAATTAAGCGAAAACAACACAAAGCAAGCAACATATTTGCAGTCCTCCAGGGTGCACCTCCACGCTCCGATTTGAATGAACAGCAACAAAAGTTATATTGTGCAAACAACAAAAGGGGGTTCGAACTGCACACAATTCCAATGAATCGCTATTTAATTCACGCTCAACGCAAAAAGTCTTTATGCGAGGAGAGACCATAACAGTATAATTAACCATACCTCTTTCCATTTTTGGACTAACTGGACTAAACAGATGATTATAAAAAGTTGAAAAGCAATGAAAAATGTTGATAGAAGAAAGCTTTTAACAAGCCTTTATAATTTGCAAATGTGCAAGAATAGTACATCAACTGGTGTGTGCACACTATAGAATGGAACACATGGCACACTGTAGACTGGCTAATCTTGACATTGACCTTAGATGTGGATGATTTAGAATCAAGATAATTTTTATGCAAAATGTATTATTGTATTTCATGTATTCTCAGCTCTAGTCTCAGTTTTAGTTTCCAACAGAAATTTACACTAAAAGTACAACACAATATCAGATAATTGATACAAAAGTAATCATAAGTATTTATCAGAGCAGAAGAATTCTAAAATTTGGGGCTAATCATGCAAAAAATTGTTCTTTTGCCCCCTTACCAAATTGAAGGTGAAGGTTAATGTGTGCCCCAGTTTTTGCCCTCAAATATATGCATCATGGCCTGTATTATCCTGAATTAAAATGAGATAAATTATTTTGGTGCCATCTTCCCTGATTACGCACTCAAGATAGCTACACAGTAATGACCAAATATTGACTAATTTGTGAGCTTTTACTAGGATTGTATTATGGCTAAATTGCCATACAAATAGGTTGTTTCTGAGCTATTTACAGGATTTTCAGGGTTGCAACAAAACCTAGCCTATGCCATTGCTTACCTTTAGGTGTAGAGTTGGCCAACCTGTTTGTGTAGCAATGGTGTACATGGGCTAGCACAGACCAAATTACCTGAGCAATTTCTTCCAACAGATCAATTTGGTTTAGCAATGATATATTCTTGGTGTGCCTTTGCATTACAACAAAAATACTTTTAGAAAGAAAAATTTCATTAGCTTTGTGTTCAAAACATATGCATCATGACTATTTTTGCAAATAATTTTGAAAGATGGCCTTCAAGATAATTTTGGTCAGATAAAAATATTTCTATTTGCTGCATCAGTTTTTCATATTTAATTTGCTATACACAATACCTACGTCATTATCATCCATAAATATTGTACACTTTGTGAGCATTGCTAATTCCTCTGGCCATCCAGGAGAAAAAAAATTTTTTTTAATTTTTTTAGCAGTTCCAGGGCCATTGCTGTTGCACTCAAATTCCCATTTGTTGACAAAATAGGTGAACCATTGTTTATTTGCTGCCAAGTCTGAACATTTGCTGATGAAGGACCCCTACATGGCAAAACCTCGTTTTTTACAAGCAAACTTCAAAAATGATTGCAAAATTAATTGTGAGAATAATGTTGTGTTTGTTTTGAGTGCAAAGCTAATTCAGATGTTTCTTTCTCTAAATTTTTGTTGTAATGCAGAGGTACATCAAGTCTATGCCCTTGCTAGGCCAAATTTATCTGTGTTAAGCCATTGCTACACTGAATGACACCATTGCTAGGCCAACAGGTATGCCATCTCTATGCCAAAAGGTAGGCAATGGCATAGGTCATGTTTTTCATAATCCTTATTTTCAGGTTTGTTTCATTTTCAATTTTACTCATAAACTCTGTCTTACATAAATTTCATTCATAAATTTCTGTTCTTACACTCCATTTCAGCAAGGCACATGCCAGCCCGAGAGGCCTGTTGAAATGTGCCATTTAAAGGAAAATAACTAGCCAAATAACTTAATCATAGGAACCCTAAAGCAAAAAGAAACTTTGTGATATTTGGTAAGGTGAGAATTTTTTTGTTTCAACTTTAATTTTTTTTTCATAGCTCATTATTCATTGATGAAGATGGCGATGCAGCTCATGAATTTTATGTAGAAGTTACACCACCAAATGGTCGACCATGGATGAAGAGAATTACTGAAAACCTAATTGAACAGGTAAATAACTGAGATATCACATAGCATTCACACACCTTGGTTTTTATATGAAATCAAATCATAATGTTTCAGTTTAGCCTTGCATCCACGTTGCTCTGATGTGAAAATGCATTTAAAATGCACTTTGAAAACTGATCAAAATGAAAGTGGATGGAAATTAGACTGAATTTAGCAGCTCTTATGATATCAAATAGAAACTAGATACCAATGGGAAATATAACCAAAATCAATATTTCAAAACCATTTGACTTGCCAGAGATACATTTCCCAGATATGCTTGGCACCTGTGAGCTTATTTTGTTTTAAACCAACAACACTGACATTTTTTCATTCTTTAGGGATACTAGATGTGAACACACTTAAAAAAACAGTTTCTTGAAATGGAGTTTTTAATAACAGCCAATTATTATCCTGTGTGGATTATACCCACAGTAAAATTGAGTTGGCGTGCCCAGCTGCTATATCACTCATATTTGGTCACATTCATCAATTTTTGAGAGCAATAGCCCTTCATATGTTAATCAAATCAAAGTGGTTGAGGACCTATTTTTCCTCAGAGTTCCTTTGCTTTTGCACTCTAGGATTCATATAAATCAAAAAGAAAGTATTTAAATTACATGATTTTGGACAATCATAGATTGTTTTGCATTTACAGAGAATTCATTGAGCTCGGTCTTAGAACAGTTTTAAATGCTCAAAACTTGTCTCTTTGGTTTAGTCCTTTGCTTCACAGGCTAGGCATATACAGGCCATGCTGGGAATAAAATGGCAGGGGTGCAATGAATCGCACTCCTTGTGGTGCCAAGGCGTGCAATGGTGTGCTATTGCACCAAAGTACTTAATAATACAGTCAGCTGTATATGGACTAGACTACATAACTTTATCATAAGAAAACATAAGCAAGGCTAGTCCAATCAATACATTTTATCAAACAAGCTTTATTAACGTCAAACCCAACATATTAAAGAGAAAAACATTAACAATAAGGTAGGTTGATTATTATGTAATCCTGCAGTTTATAAACCCTTCTGGTCTGCTTCTCCTGACAATCTCGTTCTCAAAATTTAAGAATTCTAACTGTGTTTTCACCATAAAGAAAACTTATCTGTTGACTAGTGTTAGAACGAATTAAATGGTTAATTGCATGTTTATATTTTGTAAGAAAGCTACAGTAGCTAAATCTTCACAATTCAAAGTCTCTTAATTTTGGAACATTTTTGGCCATATTTTATTAGTAGAAGTTTCTAAAGAGTTTTGTATTTGCATACAGATTAGAAAAATGCACATAAAGTAAACTGTATATAGAAGAATTGTGAGTCCTGAGAAAACGGGATTTTACTGATCGCACTTGCAAGATACACTCGTAAACCACAGTGTAATCTGGGTCAAATCATTTAAAGCTTAAAGATCAATAAGCCTGTTTAAATAAACAAAGCCTTACATGTGCCATGGGATTGTAACTACAGTGGAATCCCGATATAACGAACTCTGAAAGGAACCAGAAAATAGTTCGTATATCGGGAGTTTGTTAAACCGAGAGATAATGTTTTTTGGGGGTCCTTATGAGTTCACGCCTAAAAAACCTGTGGTGGGCTTGTTTAGGCTATCTCCAACCTCTGTGCACATGTACAGCCATACATGTACCATTTAACTCAAAAAAACCAATCTGAATTCAAATAATACAACTGGCTGGTCATTGAAAATGAAAATCTTAATGTTCCTTTTATAACTTGGGACCAAGAGATTAGCAAAGCTGGTATCACTTCGCTCCTAGTTGGTGCCTGAATGATGTCTTCAATTACTTCACATTCTTACTTGTCTTTTTCTGCTTCTCCATCTGGGTCTCTCAATAAAGTTTTGTCGTCGCTTATTGCTAATGCCTTATATGTAAGAAGTTATTTGTTAGTGTCAATGTACTCATTCGCAGTAATTTCTGACGCAATCGAACTTTCATCTCGTGGTCTGAGTCCATCAGCCAGTACTTGAAATGTATCATTGGCATATTTTGCCGATTATAAAAATGATTTCTCCCCAAGAGAAAGTGATAAATGAATACCGAAAATAAATAAACAAAATAACAGATGAAGAATTTATGAAAGTTCGTTATATCAAGGGTAATCATGATGAAGGGACCTAAAAATGGTTCGTGATAACGAGAGTTCGATATATCCGGGGTTTGTTATACCGAGAGAATTTGTAAGGAGTTTGTTAGGCAGAATCCAAGGGACCAGGCATTTAGTTCGTTATACCGGGAAGTTCGTTATATCCGGGTTTCGTTATATCGTGATTCCACTGCAGTTATTGCAAATGAGACAAGCGACCACAACTGCAAAGCAAGTTGACATAACAGATGAAGAATTTATGAAAGTTCGTTATATCAAGGGTAATCATGATGAAGGGACCTAAAAATGGTTCGTGATAACGAGAGTTCGATATATCCGGGGTTTGTTATACCGAGAGAATTTGTAAGGAGTTTGTTAGGCAGAATCCAAGGGACCAGGCATTTAGTTCGTTATACCGGGAAGTTCGTTATATCCGGGGTTCGTTATATCGTGATTCCACTGCAGTTATTGCAAATGAGACAAGCGACCACAACTGCAAAGCAAGGATTATCGGCCTAAAAGGTCGAGCGATTTTCAGACCTCAACTCAAAACTTTGATAAAGAAATTATGGAAACCTTCGTTTACAGGGGTTTTTCGCCACTTTCAGAACTTCTGTTAGTTTTAAACATGGTATCATCGTGTGCCTTGAAAGTCCGGCTACTAGAATCTGAAGAAATCGAGAAGTGGATGTTTTCATTCAAAAAACGTTTACCATAACTTTAAGCAAATTAGAATATTCGCCAAATTTTTCGTCAAGTAGAAATCAAATAGAAACGATTGCGTGATTATCACCGTTCGTTCATAGTTGAATTATGATAAAAAAATTACATTGGGCCATATTGGTCACTTTAGAATAAAGTGTTATTTGCAGATTATTTAAGGCGTGCGATAAACTGCACTTCTGAGCAACGGAAGGCGTGTGCCAAGGCGTGGGCGTGCGATCGCACGCCATTCCCAGCATGGCCTGCATATATGTTAAAAATTATTTTCATTGTAGTTTTAAGCCTTGTTAAAGTCTGTGAGAGGTCTTTACTGGTTATATCAGTGACAAAGGTTGAACCCAAATCTTGTAGTTTTTATGTTATTTTGGCTGTTATGTTATGTCTAAGTTGCAAATAGCATTGGGCAATTGGTAGATTCCCAAAAATTCTATATGAGCAGACAAAATCTTCAAAAATGAAAGGAACTGAAATGAACTGAACCAGCAACAAAAATTCAAGTTGTTCGATAGCTCCTTTTGGTGAAGATACCAATTTTAAAAATACCAATTTTCCTTGGAGTAAGACAAGGCTAAGAGTTAGGAACTCACCTTGGTGATAAATCATCTTATTCCGTAATTTTTACAAAGCTAAAAGTTTATTCATACAATTTTATAATGATAATCAATTAGATCCTGAAACATTCTAAACAACCTTTTCACTGATTTATTTGAAGTATTTTAAGCTTTATATTTGAATTGTGTATTCAAGTACCCTTTGTATGCTCTAAACAGAAAATTATCTTGTACAGTTTATTGTTTTACCTTAGTTTTATAAGATTGTAGTTGTAGTGCTGCAAATAAATTTTAAATTTTTTGTTATTTTTCCGCAGGGATTTGTTAAGCTGAAGTATCCTAGACTGCATGTGGATTTTCCAGTTGCTTTGTATGAGGGCTAACTTGTTTTTGGCTTAATGAAATCATTGGTCATGCAGTTGACATAATCAGCATCACAAGCTCTTTGTCTGCATTGGATTTGTCTAGATTGGAAGTCAAGATGATAACAAATGTGGAGGCTGAAGATCCAAGTTGAAATCATTTGTTGAGGTGATTGCAACAAATAGGTTTTGTTATTTGACCTAAAGAATGCATGCAATAATACTGTCTTTTGTATTTATTTGAACATTCCAAATAGGTGTAAATGAAATTTAAATAATTGCTAAAGATTCAGGCTAGTTGTGATTTGTATGCTGTTACCTATGCATTTGTAATACTTACAGAATTTACTGCAACCAAAACAAGTTAGACTGACTCCTCTTCATAACATTTTGTAATATCTTTGACCATTCTAGTGTGCAATTCCATATGTGAGCTTTGTTTTCGTCTCTTAGCTTCAGCTTTGTTAATTAATTTTGTTCAATGCTTTCTCTAGTTATGAAAGCAAGGGTAACAAGAAAAGAAGTAGCTTTGCGTTATTCTGTTAGTGTCTTGAATTGAGTGTGACATATCATGAACATGTATGCGGAATAAAAGAGTACATTTGTGTCAAATCTCATTATCTTTTCCTTGTTCCCATCAGGTGCGTAGCTAGCCAGGGAGGTGTAGGGGGTACTTTGCCATGAATTCGTTGGTAGATCTTCAGTTTGTCTATAAAATCCTCAGTTAGTCGGTAAAATCATCTATCAGCAGGTGGAATAGCACTTAAATTCTTCTATATTTATGTCTATGTCAGTAATTTTTATATTGATGACCCTCCACCCCTCTAGTCTGGAAGGTCAATCGACGCCACTGGTTTCTTTTCACAATTTATTGAGTTCCCTAGCATCTTTCACATCTGATTGGCCCTCTTAAACCTTGCAACAGGCCATTTATTCTTTCTGGAGATCTTCTCATCAATTGTTTCCCTTTCTTGTCTCCAAATAACCAGGTCCACTCTCTCCTTACTGCATGTTCAACAATAAGTTTCACAGTCCTACAACAAAGCATAAAACTTTGGGACTTTGTCACATTTAGGGACCTTTTTGTATTGACATATTGAGTATGTCAAGGAAATTGTAATATTTTATACAATGTATCAATATCAGGGAGCCTAGATGAGCAGTGTCTTGTGGAACATCAAATTTTTATACATTCAAGATCTGAAAGTTGCCAATTTACTTTATGAATTACTTTCTTTTTGCTAGATAAAAAACAGAATTAGACATTTCAAGGTTTGACAGAAACCAGATTTGGTGAATTATCTAGGTAGATTCAAATTTCTAGTAACAAATTGTGGGACAAATTTATAGTTAAAAATTGTGGGACGAAAAGTACTTTAGTATGAAATGTTCCTGCTTTTGAACTGTATGATTTAAACATACGTGAAAATAATGAAAATACCTAATATATACTTGATAAGTGATAATGAAGGCTTGTGGGACTTGAAACGTAGATAATTGGATTTGAAAAAATCTTTTTTAAGCCCTGTTTACACTACACAAACTAACCTGGGTTTGCCCTAGGTTAAAAGTAACCCGGGTCGAACCCTGATGCGTTTACACTGGAAACTGTCAACTTTGTAGTGTAAATAGAATCAAGCAGTGCTGCCACGCACAATATAACATTTCCACCTACAACCTTACAAATTTATACCCACGCACAACCTACGCAGCAACTCAATGTTCTACCCACATACTACTAAAAAGTCTACTTTCTACCTACGGAAGGCTTTCGGCGGTGTCTATTTTCCAATTCTGTTGCTAGATGTTTGCGATTGGGGCATTGCATGATAAGAAAGACAAATAGACCATCCATTTCATTTTTTTTATTTGAATCCTATTGTTATATAGCTGTATTTCAAATCGCTCAGGTGGGGCAAACCAGCGAACAATTCATGGTAGATGGAGGCTGCTCTTCCATTTTTTGGTCGCAAAAATTCTTTAGAATAGAAAAACAATACTTTTAGAACTAATTTTTGCACTTCCACATAATTTTTGCACATTTTCTAATTGTGGTTTCCCTGGCCTAGAGCCCACCTGCACTTTTTGAAAAAATTCCACCTGCACTACCTACAAATTTCGAAAAGTACCTACATTTCAAGATTTATAACGTAGGTTTTCCCGACAGCCTACAAAACTCTCAGAATTCCTACCGTAGGTTGAAATCCCTACCTGTGGCATGAGAAAAATTTGCATTCGCGCTTTGCTGTGTTTGCACTCGGCGAACATTTCTGTCACTACGCATGCGTCCCGAAGAAACTACCCAGGTTAGCCCCTGGTTTGCGTTTACACTATACTTTATCTAAACTAACCCAGGTTCGACCTAGGGCGAACCCACCTTTTGAGATGGGTTGACTAACCTGGGGCGAACCTGGTTTACTTTGCGTTTACACTACAAAAATCTAACCTGGGTTAGTTTTAACCTGGGGCGAACCCAGGTTGATTTGTGTAGTGTAAACAGGGCTTTATTATATATCATGTTTACGGGAACAATTTTAAACATTGACAAATGAAAATGTATTTGAAATGAGAAGAATGGTGCATTTGTAAAAATGCACCTTTTCTTCTGTAAGGGGACTAAAAATGCCCTGGAAATGTATTCTGCATGAAAAGAAATGCGGCTAAAATATGGAAGAGCGGCTAACCTTCAAAAGGCAAGCACAATCACCGACGCAGCTGAAATGAAAGCGGAGACGTATATGACTTGTGGCGTGGAAAAGTGGCGTGGAAAAGTAGCGTGGAAAACTTCTTTACATCCTTACCTTTTCCCAGCCAAAAATGCCAACAGTATGCCCTGTCTCATAAAAACATAAATGATATGATATGAACATAAGATGAAATTAGTTACCAGGTAGCATTAAAAGATTTTCGTGTAATTTAGGCAGAACCCCCGGCAGAGAGAAGGTGGAAGGGGGAGGGGGGTGAAGGAGTTAGAAAAGAAGCTAGGACGAGAAGGACGAAAAGGTTGCGAGAGGAAGAACAGTTGATTGTATTCTAGAGGAAGGGGAATTTTTTGCTGTCATCGTTTCGTAGAGCTTTATATCCTAATCTTGGGGAAGTTGAAGTATTTTTTCGAGTAAAATCTATGCGAACAAACGCGCCTTTTGGAAATTGGTTTAAATGAACAAGAACTCGTTCAACCAGGCTAACACATATATACAGGGACTCCCTATCAGTGGCGGATTTAAGGGGGGCAACTAGGGGCAGTTGCCCCTCCCGCGACGAGTTGAAGCAAGTCTGGCGTCCCTTTTTGGAAATTATGCGCCCCTTTTGAAGAATGAGAATCAGGTAAACAAGCTTCTGAGACCGATAGGTTAATTTGCTTCAAGGATTACCTCGAAGTTATGTTATTTATTCCGAAAATAGATCTAAAATGTTGTATACAGCGTACTCTCGTCAGCAATTTTTTTCAAATTTTTCAGCGCCCCCACCACCAACTGCCCCTCCTTCAAGTTTGCTCTGGATCCGCCCCTGCTCTCTATCAAGAAGTGTGAAAGTCCAAGCATTTTATTTTTAGAAACTGAGATGAAAGAAATTTCATGATTTAGTGAAAAATTAGTTGTTGGGACAAAATCTTGATATCCGGATGGCTTGTAGTTGTGAATAAAAGGAGGTCAATAACGGAATTTTCATCAGGTCTTGGCCCAACATTACTTAGAACGGGCAAGGCACATTGACGTTAATGCTGAAATTGTTTCTAGCGAAAACATCTGAGGGGAGATACAGTACAGTAGTTTATTTTGCCTCAACTTATTGTGCTTCTTGAATGAACATTTTAAAATCAGTTTCTATGTTTCCATCGACCATATCATCCATATCATCCAATTTTTTCCACTTTTCTGTCAGTAGATTGGACGATTTCATCCTCTTATTGGTGCAAAGATTTTAAACATTTTCTTTCTCTTGGCCCTTTCCTAAAAAATATGATTATTTTCCTACTATAATTATAAATCGTTTCGTGTCTCGACTTCATTTCTAAATACTCTGTTTTATGAGCTAACCTTTGTTTTTATCCGCTGTCCTAGAATTTGAATGCGAATTACAATTGCATGTACCTGTATCTTAGAAGCAATTCCTTCAGCACAGGACATCAAATCAGGTCAAGTATATGAGTGCCCCCGAGGGCGAGGGTTGGGGTGGGGGATGGGGTTTAGGTTTTGCGTTACATATGCACCCGTTTCGTGTTACTGGCTCTTTACTAATTATCCAGCTTACTAATTATTGAATTCTTCCTATTATAACTGCTTATCTCTATTGAGCAAATTATTTAAGAATCTACAATTTTTTTTGTGACAGCTCATAATCAATAATGATATTACTGCCTATCTTGAAAGTTAGCCTACAGAAAAAGAGAGGCTTCGTTTACAGTTAGCATTAGGCAAATATGTAAGAGCGAGGATTATAATAAGACCTAGGGCTTCTGTCTTCATCAACAGCATAATGCGGAGCATTAAAATTGAAATTTTTCGCAAGAAAAAAGATTATTCGCCTCTCATCTGGAAAACCATCTGTTTTTCGATTCGACCGCTCTCTTTTTCTTAGATTCCTCTTCATATCGTCCCAGTTTGGCTGGCTGCAGCTGCAAACGAGAAATTGCTTCTGTTTTGTAATTTTAAAATTGGCGTGCTCTTTGAAGTGGAATTGTTGACATTATCAAATATATGCTTTTTCTTTGCGAACTAATCGGGGTGAGGCGCGTGCAAATATATCTCAGTTTGAACCATATTCAATAGGAAAATCTCTGGTCTGGAAGCCCATTGTTCTAACTTTTTGTTTCATTTTAATAATGTCACGTGATCAAGATGAGTGCACAGCTTTCGCGCGTTAGAGTTCAGATTTCTAATTTGCGCCTCGTTTTAACATGATATTTTCAACTTATCATCAGGTTATCAAGTACAGTGGAATCCTGATATAACGAACTCTAAAGGGAACCAGAAAATAGTTCGTTATATCGGGAGTTTGTTAAACCGAGAGATAACGTTTTTTTGGCTCTTTTCGCAGTTCACGCCTTAAGAACCTGCGGTGGGCTTGATTAGGCTATATCCAACCTCTGTGCACTTTTAACTCCAATCTGAATTCACACAATACAACTGGCTGGTCATTGAAAATGAAAATCTTAATGTTCCTTTCATAATTTGGGATCAAGAAATTGGCAAAGCTGGTATCACGTCGCTCCTAGGTGGTGCCTGAATGATGTCTTCGATTACTTTAAATTCTTATTTGCCTTTTCCTGCTTTTCCAACTTGGTTCCGC